TATTGTACAAAACAAGAGTGGTAAAAATCTACAAGAAAATAAGAACAGCGAATTTGAGGATTTTGATCCTAACATCACTTTAGATAATTTAGCTTACGAATCATCTTCTAAATCGCCACGAAGGGGGAATTTTCAATCTGTACAATTGGCAGCTAAAATGGTACGACAATTTCTCATTCATAACTTGCAATTTTTTGTTATTAATTATTATTATTATTATTTTAATTATTTAATTACTTAATTTCATTTTAATTTAGGTGATGATGCATCTAGTGAATCATCTCGGTCATTTTCCCATGGGAATTGGCGCGGCGCGTTTATCGTCTTTAGTCGTGGAATTAGACGATGTTCCAGGTATAGATAGTGATGAATTATCTTCAGCAGTCTTTCAGGCACCAAACATTCAAATGCTGATGCTTTCAAGTTCAGTGATAATGTCCCTAATCGAATTAGAAACATTGGATGCACCAGGAGGTGGTGTAACTGCTGGTTTAACAACAGCTCCATGCATGGTGAGAGTTTTACTAAGAGATTTAACAGGCAAGGCATCATGGGACAGTTCTATTTTATACAATCAACCAACAAGCGATGATGATATAATAATGCCTGGAATAAAATCAGGTAAAATATTCTTTTTCAAAAAGAAATTTAAAAATTGTTTTTCAATATGAAATGTTTTTTTTTTCTACACAGTTGATTGGGGATTGAGAACAGAAAAAGAAGAATTAACAAGTGTATTGCCAGCACTAAGTTGTCCTCCACGTCATACAATGAGACATCGAGAACCTCATATTTTGCCAACTTTTGCAAATGCAGCAAGTGATATGGATAATTTAGACGATGTAGGTCAAATTTTAAAAAAAAAATTTGGAAAAAAACGAATATCTACATTTTTGAAATGTTTATTTTTAGTTGCTTCAGTATATTGGACACACGAGTCCGGAAGTGTTGACAAATCCAGAACTAGCTTTAAATTCACCAGCTAATTCACCGCAGGGTCAGCATCTCGAAAGTGAGACAATTGCCACTATTCTCAGTCAACGGAACTCTGAACGGGAACACATTAATAATTGGAATCAACACATTAGGTTCTTACAATTAATTAATTTCGTAAACGGAAATTAATTTTCAATAATAAAAAAAAATTTTTTTTTTCTTTTTAGTATGTGTGCTTCTCCGGTGAATCCGCCAGTGTGTCGTTTCCCGCCACCCGCATTTCATCATTGTCGTTTACTTTTTTCACATTTGGGTTTATCTGGTTGGGAGCAAAGACGAAGACTTCATATTCTATCGAAAAATGAGAAAATACTTCGCGAATTACGTAATCTAGACAATCAACGATCAAGAGAAACACACAAGATGGCAGTAATTTACGTTAGTCATGGACAAGAGGATAAAAATTCAATACTTAGCAATGTGACTGCAAGTAAAGAATATGAAAATTTTGTCGCAAGATTAGCATGGGAAGTTGAACTCGAATCACATACAGGTTTCCTAGGAGGACTTGTACCAGGCAAAGCTTCTGGATTAACAGCTCCTTATTTCTCTACCTCTTTCTCCGAAGTGCTTTTCCATGTTGCCACAAGAATGCCTTCCGACAGTCCAGAAAGCCTCTTGCAAAAGGTGATTTTCAATTTAAATAAAATATTTATAAAAAAAAAAGATCGAATTTTAATAATTTGTAAAAACTTGTTTCTATTTAAGACAAGACATTTAGGTAACGATGAAATTCACATTGTATGGTCAGAACATTGGCGAGATTATCGCCGTGATATAATTCCCACTGAATTTTGTGACGTATTAATAGTCATCTATCCACTTCCTAACGGTTTGTATAGAGTTCAAATATCACGAAAATCGGAAATTCCATTCTTTGGACCTCTATTCGATGAGTGTATCGTGGAAGATGAAATTCTACCAGGACTAGTGAGAACCACGGCTTTGGCAGCAAGTCGAGCTAAAAGATCAACCCTCAGTCTTTATCAACACTAGTAAGTAAAAATCGCAAAAAAAAGAACAATTTTCTCAATAGAAAAGTAAAAAAATACAATATTTAAAAACAAATAAATTTCAGCTACGAGGAAAGAGCGCGATCAATTGACACAATTACGAGAAATCATAAAGAACCAATGACCTTTGAAGAATTTGCAGCTAATGTTTATTCACCTATTCAACCTCAGAGTCCATTCAGTGGATCATCTTCCGTCTCGGGTTTGTAAAATTAGAAAATAATTCAATTTTTACTTATCATTGAAATAACCAAATTAATTGAAAAATTTAATTTCAATAGGATCGACAATGAGTGTACAATCTGCAGCATCATCGAATTTAGCTGCAGCGCTCATAGATTCTAATCAAGGCAGATCAGGCCTTCGAAGCAGTTCAACAGCTAGCAGTGAAAATCGCGCCAACAGAGGTGACTAATTCAGTCCATTAACCCCCACATTTACCCCGTAACACACAACTTGGCAAGTTAGTATTATTAGATTAGTTACAATTTGCTAGTGCTTTTCCTCTTTCTACTGAGAGACAATCGTTTTTGCGTCTTCCTTTCCTCATCCTCGATATTTAATATTTATTTCCAATTTTCACGATTTAACGAAATTCAAAATTTATATTATTTTTTTAATGATTTTCTTTATTAACTTCTATCGCTTTTATTTTATTTATAATAATAATAATAATTTTTAAATATGGTTCTTAATTTAAAGAAATTTTCAAATTTTTAGAGAATAAGAATTGAAATTTCAAATAAAAATTTGAATTTCAATCGAATAGAAAGATTGATTTTTACGAAGAGAAACTTTAAATATTCGAAATTTAGTTTTTCTAATATAAAAATTCCTGTCGTCTATTTGCTTCTTCGCTAAAAGTTATTTGCTTTTCATTTTTTGCTTAAATTATCATAAATCCTCTCTCATCATTCATCCAAAACGCATTGACAAAAGTCTCACGTCTCTTCTTTTTTGACAGTTTTACAAAATCTATTACGAGGTAATGACTTAAAAATGTTTTACCTTAGAATTAGCTTAACTTTAGCACATTTTCTAATTTTTTTTTTTTTTTAATTTTCACACAAATCTATTTTTTGTTTTTGTCTAAGTGGAAACACATGAGTGTTATCTTTAAGCTGCACATTCTTTTAAGTAATTAATATTAAGAACATTAAATAATTAAATATTTTATAAATTCATTCAAAAAAAAAAAAAAATCTAAACAGTTTTTTAAAAATATATTTTTGTATTTTTTATATATCTTAAAAAATATTTTTTGGAAAGAAAAAGAAATTTTCGTAAAAATTGTGAATGAATTAAAATTATTTTAATACAATAACAAAAACGTTGAAAATAAATAATTTATTTTTAGTTTCGGACGGAAGTCGAGTTTGGTTTAGCAGTGATACACAAGAAAACACTCTACATGGAATATCACCAAGACCAGTGAAAAAAATGTCTTTTAAAAGTGGCCCAAAATTACGAGGTACTTCACAACCTACACCACCTGATAGTCCGCGATATACATGAAGAAAGGTTTCAAATATTTTTAGCGCATATTAATTAATTGTTCAAACTCAGCGGCTGTACTTTAAACTATTTACTTATTAGATATTTATGAATATCAAAAAAAAAAAGAAGAAATGAAATTCTCAAGCTTTAGTTAGAAAAGATAGAAGAAATTTTAATCGTAATTGACGAAATTACGAATTTTCGAAGAATATGAAGCGTCGTCACACTATCAGTTTTTTTTTTTATTATCTTTATATCTGTGATTTAATTTCTTAGCTCACAGTGCCTTTTTTCAGAATATAATTAGTATACATCAAAATTAGATTTCTCGAGCTTCGATCAGAGACAAGAAAAAGGGAACAGGAAAACTTTTTAAGTTCTTTGTTCTTGGCAAATGCAAATTGTACAATTCAATATCGCCGATAAGATTTAGACTTTTATTTTCTCCGTCCTTAGATTTAATTTTGTATGGATTAAATATGTACAGGAAGATCATCAAACATTTTTATATCATGTCAATTTATTCAGAATTGTAAACAATTGGATCATTTCACGCGCACTAATTAATTATCGCACGTTTAAAAAATCTGCGTTTTTTTTAAAAAAATCTAAACTCGACAGTACTTCTTTTTTTTATTTATTTTAGCGACGAAAACTCAAGAAATTTATCAAAATTGCGAGTTTCAAAACAAAGAAAAAAAAATATATAAAATTTTTCCTTTTAGAAGGAATCCTAAAAAGACACCAAGTTTTATCAAATTTAGAAGAAGAAAAAACGATGAATTTAATTATTCATCATTAATTTTTTATATTTACTAACAAAAGAAAAACGTTAATCTTTAAAAATATCCGTAGCTTCGTTTTGCAAATATCCCGCATTGAGGATATTAAAAGCGTTAGAGATTGTACATTCCAAAAACGAAAAAAGAAAAAAACCTACTTCGCGTGATGTATTTATTTCTTGTTAGAAGACTATATTATATATATATATACAAATCGGAGTTTTACTTCGAATGAATTCCAGATTTTGAAGACTATTCAGCATTTTTGATACTTATGGAATAAGTAGTAATTGCTCGAAGAGCTGCGACAAAAAAAAAAAAACAAGAAAATCCGAGAGATTTTAAGGAATTTAATTCCAGTAAAAATAATGTTTTTAAGCCCCCTTAAAAAAAAAAAAACTAGAAATCGCGAGTTTTTAATTCACGCATTTCATCGACTGATTCGGTTCAAAGATAAAAAAAAAAATATATATATTATACATATATAGCAAGTATTAGTGATGGTACGAAATGGATCAGATTTGCAAAATATGGCCAAAGCAGCATTATTTTTTCACTAATTTATAGTCAATCGTGAGAATCATTGTACGTACTTGTAAATAAATAAATATCATTCAATGAGCATAATCGTCATTGGCACACGAAATCTGAAATTATTTTGAGAAAATTATTTTTTGCAAAATAAAAAAAGGAAAAAAAAAAAATCTATCAATTCAAGAAAAAAATATCAAAACAAAGATTTCTTTATACAAAATGTGCCTCATACAAATAATACATTTCTCTTAAAATTAAAATAATGAATAGAAAATTTATTCTTGAAAAAAAAAAATTACTTAGATTTCGTGTGCCAATCAATAACTGCTGCTAAGATCAAATATCTCTTAAAAAATAAATTAATGTCTTATTTTTATTTTTTCTTTAAAAAAATCAACATTTTAAAATTAAATGACAAATTAATATTGCAAATAGGAATTTTTGCATTTAATTAAAAAAAATTTTTTTTAACGTTTTTAAACAATTTTTAAAGAAAGAATTATTATTTTCAAGCACATGAATATTTGATCATTGAAAGCAGGTGATAATATATATATATATATATATAAATGTTGTACTTAACAAAAATTGTTCTTATTATTATTAATATTACCTAATATTAGTATTTATAATTTTAGAATTGTTGACATACTACTTAGCATATATTGCTAAACTATTTTTCTTACCAGAATTTACGTTAGTAACTCGTATAAAGCTTTTAGCGAATTAAAAAAAAAAGGATTCGTTTCGCGTATATATAACATGAAAAAAAATGTTATTGAAACTTTTTTTTCACCTTATTACAAGATAAAAATTTCAATTATTTAGAATCGAATTTATTAAATATAGTTTTTTATTCGCATTATATGCGTAATAGTGGAATTAATCTGTACCGGGGGAAAAAATGTTTCAATAATATTATTATAAACTAAAAAAAAAAAAAAAAAAATGAAACAACACTTGAATTATTTATAACGCTGTGCACAAAGTGATAAAAAAAACATCTCTGCTCTGTCATTCTCTAATTAGAAGAAAACTATGGCTTTCAGAAAAAATAAAGCAGCTATTACTAATAAGTAATACAAAAATAAATAAAAATGCCTTCATTAATTAAACCTTCAAATTAACCAAAAAGTAACTTAAAAAAATTTTATTTCCCTTAAAATTTTGTAATAACAAATTATAAAAATTCTATTACTCTTCATTGTCAGCAGTTAAATGTCTACAACGAAAGAATAACAAGAGTTGGATAGAATAATTTAAAAAAAAACAAATAATATTCGAAACTTACACAATTGGAATAGAATCAAGTTTTTTCAATAGTGGTAATTTACGAGTAACTTGAGATCGCCACAATGATTGATCTAAGCCATCGCAAATTGGATTATTGGCAAATAATAAATCTTGAAGATTTCGAAGTTCTTGTAAACGATTAAATTCATTCCAATCTTTAACTAAATTATTGCTCATATAAAGAACTTTTAAAGCTTTCAGCGAATTAAGACCCTTTAGTTTTTCAATTAAATTATAAGAAATCCATAATTCCTCCAAATTATCACCTAACGCTTCCAATCCAGAAAATGTTTTTATATTATTACGACCCAATGAGAGAATTTTCAAATTTTTCAATGAACCAATTCCAGCAATTTTTTCTATCATATTCGTTGAAAGAGATAATTTTCTAAAAAAAAAACAAATCCAACAAAATTTTGTTGTACTCAAAAATAAAAATAAATATTTCACGGTAAGTGGAAAAAATTTACTCGACTTTTGAAAATGTAGCTAAACTATTATCCATTTTTTCAATTGGAGGCCATTGAAAACCTAAATAAACTTCAATAGCTTCACCAGCTTCTTTATTGTTTGTCTCAACCCATTTTTGAATTGCATCTTTACATGTTGTTCCTTTCGACTATTGAGAAATAATTTTCAATATAACAGAAAATTAATTAACAAATACAAAATAAATAAATAGAAAATACCATTCTGCCCAACGAATAAATATATGTATCAAGAGAACCTCAAAAATTTGACAACACTTTAATTTGAGAATAAATATAAAATTCTCTGAAGTTATCTGAATAATAATAAATCAAATAAACAAATATATTTTTATTACTCATTAAATAAAATTAAATAATTTTTTAATATTAAATTATTATTAACATTTAATAATAATAAATTAATTATTAAAAAAAAAAACCTAATAATATAATAAATATTTATTATAGCCTAACAGAAAAAATAATTAATATTTTTTTTAAACTAAAAACATTAGAGTTTCTTTCTTCCTCTTGATCATTATTTTTTTATCAAATTTTTTTAATTGCAACAATTCGTATATTTATTCATTAAGGAAATATATTTACGAATTATTATTAATTTATTTAATTAGTTAATTGATAATTAAATTATTTATTTATTAAATTTAGTTAAAGATCCTACAGAGAAGTTTAAAGAACGAAATTTATGGGAGAAAGACAACGAAAACCACAAGAAGAATAAAAGAAAATAGAAAACAAGAGAAATTAGATCAAAATCCAAAATAAACAATCGATTTTTTTTTTTAAACAAACGAAACAAGATAAATAAGTGAAACAACAAAATAGAAACAATCGCAAAAATTCTCGCCTACACAACATTTGAAAATGCAAATGCAAAAAAAAAAATTGATAAATTCATTATTATAATAAAATATAATAATAAATAAAATAGAATAAAATTCATAAATTTAAAGTAGAAAATTAAAAAAAAATCCTAGGGAAAAATTCATATGGTGACGGTGAATTAGATATAGAAACTATTAAAAATTAATTATTAAAATAATAGTTAATTTTTAATAAAATAAATTATCGAACAGTACCTTTATAAAATCTGTAGGAAAATTATTAATAAACATCCTAATCTAAATATGACTTTCAGAAATAGACATTAAATTTGTATACAAAAGAATTACAATTTATTTTAATAAATTAATTTTATTAAAAATATTTTAAAAAATTATTTTTTTTGAGTTTATTTTTTAAAAATATTTAAAAACAAAAATTTTACCTTAGAAATTAATAAAATTATTCGATTTTTAATAAAAGTGAAAATAAATAAATCTTTTCTTGGTCTCATTCTATTATTCTTATATTTGTTTATAATTTGTAAATAATCTAGTAAATTACTTAATATTGATTAACCATTTTTTTTTTCAAAGAAATTGATTATTTTCCATGTACCAAGAAAAGTATATACCTAATCTAAGAAATGAATGGAAAATAAAATCCACCTGCTAATTAAATGGATTAAATTACATTTTTTTAAATTAAATAATCTATTTAATTAGCTGTCACCATAAATTTTTCCAAAAAATTACAACTTGCTTCCGCTAATTTTTGGAGAGCAGGAGGGACTTACAAATATTGATGATTTTTCACTTTATAGAGGAGTGTTGAGGGCAATGATCCTTATTTGAACCGCTTTGATCCTTTTAGCCTCCCGCAGGTTCATCCGTTCTCCATCTGAATTTCAATATGTATATTCCCTCGGAGGAAGCTGAATTTTGTATTGCTCAGAATTTTCCCAGTATTCTAAATCTGAAAAATTAAAATTGATTATAATTTTCAGACATTAAAAATTTCTACTTTCTTTTACAATTTTTTTTATTCCACTTTTTTTTTTTTTTAAATATTGATCCTATTAAATGAAACAAATGTGGAAATATTTTTTTTTTAATCAAAATAAATTTACCATTTTTTTCCAAAAATGTTAATTATTAAAAATTATTTTTTTCGAGAAAGCTAATTATTTGGCTATAACTACTATTTATTTGTTATTAATAATCAAAAACAAAAAACTACTACCAAAAAATGCAAGAATTGAGGTTAATTTAAAAAATATTTTCATATTTGTCGATTTTGCATACAACAATGTGATTTGACAAAGGGAGATCGATTTTCCATATTTTTATCAATTAAAGGCTATTATTTCGATCATATCACAATAAAATATCATAATCCACAAGTAAAATAACAAAAAGAATACAAAATTTGTCAAAGAATTACGAAAATTTCACCATTTTTTATAAAAATATAAGAAGCGAAAAAATGACTAACAAGCAATGGACGCCATCTTGAAAAATTGGCATTTTTGCAAAAATTGCTAATTTTTTCCAAAAAAGCTAATTATTTTTCTAAAAATCGATTATTTCACTGTTAAAACTAACCAAAAACAGAAAACTACTTCCAAAAATGCAAGAGTTTAGGTTAAATAAAGAAAAAAAAATTTCATGTTATAGTCAATTTTGCATATTCGACAAATGGCGATCGATTTTCCATATTTTTGTCATTTCAAGGCTATATTTCGATCAAATCATAATAAAATATCATAATCCATAGGTAAAATAACAGAAATAATACAAAATTTGTCTAAGATATACGAAAATCTTACCATTTTTGATGAAAAATATGAGGAGTCAAAAACTGACTAACATGTAATGGACGCCATCTTGAAAAATTGGCAATTTAGCAAAAATTACTAATTTTTTTCAAAAAAGCTAATTATTTTTCTAAAAATCGATTATTTCACTGTTAAAACTAACCAAAAACAGAAAACTACTTCCAAAAATGCAAGAATTTAGGTTAAATAAAAAAAAAAAAATTTCATGTTAGTCGATTTTGCATATTCGACAAATGGCGATCGATTTTCCATATTTTTGTCATTTCAAGGCTATATTTCGATCAAATAATAATAAAATATCATAATCCACAGGTAAAATAACAAAAATAATACAAAATTTATCTAAGAAATACGAAAATCTTACCATTTTTGATGAAAAATATGAGGAGCAATGAACAGCGATCAGCAACAGTGGACGCCATCTTGAAAAATGAGCAACGTCCTTGAAAATTTCATTTCTTCGAAGCCTGAAGAAAAAATAGATATTAAACGGTGATATTAATCACCGTGGAATTTAAAATTATTCCGAAAAATGCAAAAATTAGGGCCATATATATGTATATGCAGGTTTTTGAATTTTAGGTAATTTTACATTGCAACAATAAAGACAATATTGAAAAGGGATGGGAGGGACTTTTATCAATTTTAGCTATTTTTGTCTATTATTTTAACATATTTTATTAAAATAACCTTCACATTATGTGTAATAATCGATAAAATAAAAAAGTTTTATAAATAATAGGAAAATACTACCTTTTATGAAGAAAAAATGATGATCAGCAAGGACGCCGTGGCAGTTGTGAAAATTTTCAAACGAAATAAAATTGTCTGTGTGCTGCGACTTGTGATTGGTTGAATTTTCACCGCAGCTCACCTATGTAACAAGCATTCTGATTGGCTGAAAATGTAACTTGTAATTTGAAATTATAATATTGCATTTTTATACTTTATTTATTTTCTATTTATTTGGTAACTAATTCAATTTAAAATTTTGTTTAAAAACATAATTATTTATATATATATATTGAATATTTTATTTACTTTTTAAGATTTGCTATTTTATCATTTGTCTAGGGACTTTTTTCTTAACTTCCGGTTACCGATGGGCGGTAAAAATTCAAAAGAGGGTTCCTATTGTTGCCACGTGATGTTATAGCACTATAATCGTGAAATTGTTGTAAGATTCACATGTTTTATTTATTAATTAATTTATTATTTTCTCTTAATAAATATTATTATTGTGACAAGTGATTGTAAAAATAGAGACAATGGAATAAATATTTGTCACTCAACTTTGATGGAAAATTGTAAAATAATTGAATAAATGGTAATTAACATTTTCTAACCTTAAATTTTTCCAAAGTATTTTATTTTTGTTTTTAATTATTCAATTTGGTAAATACAAAATTTTTACTTAATTTTTAAATTTAGGCAGACATTAACATCTTTTAATAATAGAAAAATTTTCATATTGTAATTTTTATAGAAACATTAAAAAATATTTTACGACTGGACTGGAAATTTAAAATAACAATATGAATCGGGTAATAAAAGGTAAAATATGAACAGTTTTTTAAAAAATATTTTGGTTTTTACTGAAACTATTTTAACTTTAATATATATAATTTTAGTTATTTTATTTTTGATTAAATTTAAAATTAAATAAGATAGTTTTTGTTTTTTTTGTAATATATTAATTATAATTATTAATAAAATAGATGAGAGCTGTATACCGAAAGAAGCGTTACTAGTTAAAGTACCAAGTATAATAAATCCGTATTATATGCGAATGTATGAAGTCGATAACCATGCATTCAAAGCGAATGCAATTCGTAAAAAATTGGAAATCTACGCTAAGAAGAATCTCAATTTTCAAAAAGAAGTCAAAGAAATGTTAAACTTAAACGATGTATGTTTATTTTTAATTTATTTATTAATTATTTTAATTTATTTTCATTTTATTATAGTTACTAATAATAAATTAATTTTTTTTTCCATTTAGTCCTTAATTGTAATGAGCAGTCCCGATAATGATATTCCAGCATGGTATTGTAGAGGAATTTTAGGACATATGACTGATGATCAAATGAAATTTAATGTTTTTCTACCTGATTATGGAATTTCTTCTATTTTGACGCCAAGTGATTTTCGTAAAGTACCAGAAGATGCTATTCCCGATAAATATTTGTCAGAAACAATTGCATTAAATAATATTCTTCCAGCATCTGTTGCCAAAAATAATAAATCAAAAGTAAAAACTATCGTAACGTAAGTTTTTTTCAGTATGAATAATTTCGTTAATAATAATAATAATAATACTAATAATTTTATTTTTTTTAGTATTGTTGAAGAATGGACAGAATCAGCTATTGGTTTCACAAAAGAATTAGTAGGTGCTTCAAATAGAATTTATTTTCATCCTACCGGTCACGATGAAAATGAAAAATTATTTGGCGAATTATATTTAGATATTGAAGATGAAATAATAATACTTAGCAAAGCTTTAACTTACAGTTTCTTCGCTGTTAAGTTAAATAAATGTAAATAGTCCTTATTTAATTTCTATTATAATATTCTTAGTTTTTTTTGTTTATTGGGAAAAATTTATTTTACTTTTCAGCTCTTTTGAATGTTATGTATAGTCCAGATTCATTTAAAAATGGTGAAGTAAAAAGAATTAATGGTAGCATATTAATTGATCAATGTTATTTGGATGACGAACCTCATGAATTAGCATTAAAAGTAAAGGAAAAAAATTCCGATGATTCGAGCGCAAGTAACGAAACAGGAACTGAAGGCGAAAAGTAATGTTGTAAATAATTTTTTAAACATTTGAAAAAATATTTTTAATAATATATTTTATTTTTTATATTAGATTTAGTAGTCAGGATTGTAATATTGTTGCAATTGATGGAAGACAAAAGAATATGTTTAAAAAACACGATCAAGAGATATTTGTTCGAAGTAAATTTGCTTGTAAATGTTTAGAAAATATTGTAGACGCACGATTTCCTGAAAAAATTCATAAAGTAAATAAATTTCTTTTAAAAAATTGTGATAAATATAAATAAATTTTGTTTTTAATTCACTAATATTAATTTAAGGTTCTTGAAAATCAACATATTAATCGACCAATGAAAATTGAATCGTATATGTGGCCAGCTATTGCAAAAGGTCTTGATGTTATTGCAATAAGTTCTTCACGCGCTGGAAAAACTTTTGGCTATTTATTGCCAATTGCTAGTTATTTGGCTACAAATAAAGTATGTCATTTTTTGTTATTATTTTTTTTTTCTAATTTGAATTTAATTATTTTTATTTTATTTTTCAGCTCGCTACAGGAACAAAACCAACTACATTAGTTCTTTGTTCATCGTCATCAAATGTTGATACAATTGCTAACCTTTTTCAAGAATTTTTACAAGATTATCCACACATTAAAGTTGTTTCTGCATTAAATGGAAAACCAGAAAATACCCTAATGGTATTTATAATATAAAATATATTTTCATCAGATTTTTTTTCTTTTTAAATTAAACGTTTTACTAATTTTAGGCACATATACTTAATGGATGTCAAGTACTCGTATCAACAGTGCCATTTTTGACTAGATTTCTCCGGAAATATGGAAAAAATGATGTTCTTAATTTAGACTTGAGTCGACTTCGACATATAATTCTTGATGGCGGTGATGTTATGTTAGACAAATACATGGAATCGGTAAAATTTAATTTGAAAAAAAAATTCTTTATTAAAAATCATATTTTATTATAGGATTCTTTTTAAATTAATAAATTAAATTTTAGATGATGGAAATATTTATAAAACATGAAGTAATACGTGAGAAACATGATTTACGAGATAATGATTTATCGCTACAAATGATTGCTGTTGGAGAACAATGGACAAAAGGTTTAAGTTATTTTATGGATAAATTTACTGTCTATCCATTTGTATGCATTGGATCATATTTGGAAGCTGCTGCATTTAATCGTGTACAAGTTAAACTCTTTATACTTCGTATGGAGGATAAACATGCAAAAATTTTAGAGACAATAAACAAATTATTGGATTCAAACACTGAGAAGACAATGATTATTTGTACTAGTGTAATAGAGGCAAAAAATTTAAATGAATTTCTACGAGTAAATGAAAAAAAAACTCTTCTCGCTCACAGTGAAATGCTTTTTAACGCTGTTCATGGTATGTAAATTAATTTCTTAGTAAAACATAAAATTTTTTATTATTTTAATTGAATAAAAATTCATTTTTTTTTTATACAGATATCAAGCATGAATGGGATAATAGTGTTTCTGGAGTTTATCCAATTCTTATTTGCACAGACGATATTCTTTCGGATTTAAATATAAAAGATGCAAAATGTTTGATACATCATTCTATCAATTCAACTAAAAAAACAAGATTTTATTATAGATTTTCAACATTAAGAGCCCATTGGCAGAGGGTAATTTTTTAATTTTAATTCATCTCTAAAATTTAAAAATTACAATCATTTTGCTATATAATTATTTTTAAATTGACAATTTCTCTACAGACTGACGTGAGATGTAAAGTTTTTATCATGGTGGATTTCAGTAATAATAAACAATTCAATGGTTTATTGGATATTATGAAAAGACTTCACGCTTCTTTACCAGCAGAATGGATTAAATCAGCTAAAGTAAGTTTATTTATTTTAAATATTATAAATATTTAATTTTACTAATATAATGAAATTAAACTTTTCTTTTTTTTCAGATTATTGCATTAAATTTGGATAAAGAAAAAAGGGCTTATCCAATTTGTGACAATATAAAAGCAATGGGTTTTTGTCCAAAAAATCCAAATTGCTCCTATAGACATTGCATTCTTAGTCCTGAAGATGATCCAAAAATTGATGTACAAATGTAAATTTTTTCTAGTTAAATAATTTCCTAAAAAAAAAATTTCGCATTCAATTAATTTTCACATTAATATTTCTATACTAATTGCTTTTAATTCTTTTTTTTTCATTTTAGAGGAGATAAGGTGGAATTAATGGTGACATATATACATAATGCATCGCATTTCTCTGCGAGATTGGTAAAATGCTACAAAACAGATCAAAAAGAGCCAATCACTTATCCTTCAGATGTTAAACTTTCAATTGAAATACAAAATTTCTTCTCCAATGTCGAAAATAGGTATTTTATTATTAATTTAATTCTGTTAATAATACAGAAGAAATTAAAAATTTACATTATTTTATTTCAGAAAGGGACTTAAAATTATAAATGTTGGAGATATTTGCGCTATGGAAGATACTATCGATAATTATTTGAGAGTAAAAGTTTTAAGTGTTGTAGCAAGAAATGAATTCGATGAACCTTCAGAGGTTATTGTGAAATTTATTGATTATCATTCTGATTTTATAACAGTCAAGGTAAACATAAAAATTTTTAATTCAATTTAAGTTTTTTAGACATTTTTAAAATAATAAATTTAAAAAAAAAAATTACAGACAAGTAAATTATTGGACATACCAAAAAGGCTTGGACAATGGCAAACACACAATTTTGATGTTTATTTAAATAATTTAGAAGCGTACGACAAAGAATATGAATGGGATAAATGTGCAGATAAGGCTGCTGCTAATTGGTTTGAGGATTTCTACACATCAAAATGCCATGTGATTGCAAGGGTAAAATTAAATATATAGATTTTATTTCACAACAATTTGTATTATTTTAATTTATTGAATTAAATTTCATTTTTTTTCTAATTATAATAAATTTCTCAGGTAAATCTTCATCTTGAAAATACTTTTTGGGTGAGCACATTGGAAATGAGAACGAAAATTTCTGGATTTCCTGAATTTACTGTATCATCGTTACGTAATTATTTGATAGAAAAAAATCATGCCATTGAAAATAAAGAACATTTACCACAATTATATCAACTTTGTAAAAGCGGTGGACTAGAATTGAAAGATTTAAAAATTGATGAAGATTTTAATGAACATGAACAAGTGGATTAAATTTTTTTTATCATAAAAGAAAAAAGAAGACCGAGGTTTTTATTTTTATATTTTAAAAAATGACTCTCAATCCACGTAAAAGTATTTTTTTTATTTTTATAATTATAATTAAATTTTTGTTCTATATTCATGAATTATTATGTAATTAATCAACAAAGTGATAAAAATATATTTTGCAATAGCAAAGAATTTATAAATTTTTCACAAAATGAAAAATAAACGTTTTTTAAAGAAAAAAAAAATGTTATTTAATAATATTCCCACTATTAATTGAAATGTTAATTTATTTTTAAGAATTATTAATTTAATTTTAAAAAAGTGCGCGGTAAAAATTTTTTAGTCACCCTTAAATGAATATTTGTGATTCGCCCCTGATGTGGTAGTGTATTAAAAATACGAGATAAAAAAAATGTGCGAAAGTAGTGGGAAGAAAATACATATATTTACAACCCGGAATGACAGTTTCAATTAGCTAAATTAATTTAACTTTGTTAATTTCAAATTAATCAACGAAATTAATCTATAAAAGAATATTGAAAAAATATTGATATCAAAATCATTTACATCAAAACATTGGACCTGCTGTCTAGAATTGTCATTGTAGACATAAATATATATATATATAATTTTGTTTCTTTTTTAAAACATTGTTAAAATGGATATGTCTCGAGAAATTATTAATCTGATATTGGCAACTACATAAAAAAAAAACATATTTTTATCAAGACTATATATGTTGCACAAAAAAGGGTCAATTCATGTAATTTTTATATCCAATAAGGTTAGTATTCAGAATATGATAATTTATTCAATATAATAATTTATTTAATTTTTAGAAAACAATTAAAGCTGCCAAAAGTTTGATGAAATGGATTCAATACCAAGTATTGATAATAGAAAAAAACACAGAGTCATTGATTTACTTCGTCGTAGGGAAATACAAGTAAGAATTATTCTTTTTTTTTTTGGCCGATATAATTGTATTTATATTGTAAATTTAATTTGTTTTTAATTGAATTGATAATTTATCACTTGTTTATTTTAAAAGAATTATTTTCATTGATATGGAAATGTTTTTTAATTCTTTTAAAGGAATCGGATGCATCTTTTGTATCACAAAAATTACACGTGACTAATAATTTTGTATCACGTTTGGGATTGGAAGCAGAGTTAAAAGGTCACGATGGTTGTGTCAATTGTTTAGAATGGAACGAGACTGGACAGTCAGTATAAATAATTTTCTATATTTTTTTAATTCTATTTTTTAAAAAAAAAAGAAAAGTATATTTTAATTTTTATATGTTAATTTAGAAATTATTATTCTAGGATTTTAGCATCGGCATCAGATGATATGCACATTATTTTATGGGATCCATTTCGTTATGAAAAAAAATTGGCATTAAATACAGGTCATAATGGAAATATTTTTTCCGTCAAGGTATAAATTTTTATTAAAATTGAAATTTCAAAATGAAAATGAAATTAATGAAAATTAAATTTTCAGTTTATGCCAAAGTCAAATGATTCAGTTCTTGTGTCGGGTGCTGGCGATAGTAAAATACGTGTTCACGATATTACATTAGCTGATACAATATTGGCATGTAATTGTCATACGGGACGTGTAAAACGTATTGCAACCGCTCCAAATATTCCTTATTTATTTTGGAGTGCCGCCGAAGATGGAATTATTATGCAGTTCGATATGCGTGCACCACACACATGTAAATCTCATGATGAAAAAAATGTTCTTGTCAATCTTGTAAATCATATGGATTGTCATATAGAAGCTAAATGTATTGCTGTGAATCATAGAAGACCAGAATTAATTGCCGTTGGAGCAAATGATCCATTTATTAGAATGTACGATCGAAGAATGATAAAACTCGCTGTTGTAAGTTTTAAATAATTTCAGTTAATTATAAATTTAAAAAAAAAATTGTAATTACAACAAAATATAATTAATAGAGACCAATAATTGATTTGCCTCAATCTCCATTCGATTGGATTAATCCACAACGTAGGCGAGATCAATATGGAGATGAGGGTGTTGATCTAACAACTGTGCCTCTTGGATGTGTACAATATTTTATTGCAGGTTATTATAGTTTTCTTCTTTTTTTTCTTTCTTCTTTATATATTTATTTTACGATTATTATTTTTTAGGTCATTTAAAATCACGACAAAGAGAACATGTTCGCAGTTTATCAACAACATATTTAACATTCAGTAATGATGGAAATGAACTTTTGGTAAATATGGGTGGCGAACAAATTTATCTTTTTGATATTAATGAACGAAAGAAAGCTCGGACTTTTATGACGCAATTAAGACAAAATTATTGTTCCGGTAAGTTCGAATTTAATTTTTTTTTTTTTTGGCAAAAAAAATAATTTAGTTTTAAAAAACAAGTTTTCTTTTTTAGAATCAAATGATCGTGATGTGGATAATGTGGATAATTCCGGCGATGAACAGGATTCAATTTTAATAAACGTCTCTAATTTACCAGCTGAAATTGAGGAACTGAAAAAACAAGTAAGTTTCTTTTTTTTAAATTTGTAGATACAAAATTTATATATTAAAATTTTTTTTCCAGGGAAATGAAAATTTCAAAACGGAAAAATATACGTTAGCAATTAATTTATATAATATGGCAATAAGTTTATGTCCTAAGGCATCAGAACTTTATAATAACAGAGCAGCTGCTTATATGAAGAGAAATTGGTAAGTTTGATTTTACAAAAAAGAAAAGAAAATTTTTTTTAATTATTTCTAAAATTCTAGGGGCGGTGATAAATATGCAGCACTACGAGATTGTCAAATGACTTTACGTTTAGATTCAGAAAATGTAAAAGCACATTTTAGGTACTAAAATATTTTTTAAATATTTTCTAATTTTTCTGTAATTATTCAAAATTAATTGCGATTTTTCTTTTAGATTGGCCCGTTGTTTAAATGATTTACATAAGTCTTCAGACGCTTCTCTAGTTATTGAGAAATTTTTGAAAAAATTCCCCGAATATTGCCATCATCAATCTTTGAAAGCTTTGAAAAAAGATATTAAAGAAGCCTTGAATTCCAGTAGGTTGAAAAAATTTTTTTTGCTTCTTCCCTTTCTTTAAATAGAATAATTTATAATTTTTTTTTTTTATTCATAGCGCGAGAATCATTTCCATCACCTCCTGAAGTATCACCTTCTGAAAAACAATGGAGACGTGACGCAAAAGATTATAAACAAAGATTTTGTGGACATTGTAATACCACAACTGATATAAAAGAAGCTAATTTCTTTGGAAAGTAAGTTATTTTGTAAATATATTTTTATTTTCATTTTTCAATTAATATAATTAAATTTTATCACAAAAAAAAAAGCAATGGACAGTATATTGTGGCTGGATCGGATGATGGATCATTTTTTGTATGGGATCGAATCACGACAAATATTGTACGCATTCTTCGTGGTGATGAGCGAATTGTAAATTGTCTTCAACCACATCCATCCGTATGTTTATTGGCAACAAGTGGTATTGAATCTGATATAAGATTATGGAGCCCCTTACCCGAGGTAATAAAATAATAATTTTTAATAATAGAAATTGATTATTAAAAAAAAAAAATTTGTTTTCAACAGGATGGAAAGAAAAATGAGAGGGAAATTCTAAATTTAGATGATGCCGCATCTGCAAATCAAGTACGAATGAATAGTGATCCTTTAGATTTAGTATTAAGAAATATGGGTTATCGAGTTCTTGGACAAAATCCTGATGAAAGTGGCGAGGATCCAAGGGAAGTGCATTTCACACGAACTCTAGATTGTAGACCAAGTTAGATTTCGTTTGGTCAATGTACATTATAAGAATTTTCAGAAAAAAAAAACCTCGTAAAAATATTGTAAGTTTATTGAATTATAATTTTTCTTTTTTTAAGTTAATCATTTTGGTTTTTTTTTCTTTTTCATTGTTTTCTATTTCGTATTTTGAGATGATGTCGACGGTATTAATTCCCATAATTGTTGCATAGTAGTATTTTCTTTTAATTCCTCTACCATTAAACCAACATAATTATTGTATACGGGAATACGATTACTTTCCTCACCATCATTGAAATAAACACCAAGGACATTTGAAATTTCGTCCTCGGCGATTTCTTCTATTTCGGAAAATTCATTGAGATCTATTTTACGTTCTACAGGCGCCTGCAAAAAAAAAAAATTGTCATTTCTCGAAAACTGAAGAAATTAAAAAAAAACATACATTATGTTCAGGTGTATATTCAACTCCAAATATTGGAGATTTATTGTACGTTGCAAGAAGTGCTTTAATTTCCTTGTGAATCAAATGAAGTTTCTCTATGGGATCTATTCGAAAACCTAAAACATAGCCGCCACTTCCCTCATTGCTGACAATCACTAGAGTTGGTCCAAATTTCGATGTTCTTATATTTACCTAAAGGTAAGTGAATGAAATATTATCTAATTAATTAATTAAAATAATTAATAATTTACTTACAGTTGAAAATACTAAATATGGTAAAGAAACATTAAATTGTTGATTCATGTCAGCAAACCAAACAATTCTCACATTAGTTACAATGAATATTCCCACATTTCCCTATAATAATATTTTTTCATTAAAAAAAAAAAAATTAATAATTTTTTTCTGTTTTTAATTTTTTACCTGTTCTGTTGATAAATTCCAAACGCCATTTAAAGTTGAATGAATATTCTCTTGCGGTAAAATAGTAAGACGTTTATCGTGAATAATTGCACCTCTCAATTTAATTTCCCTGTATAATTTCGATGATATGTACGATCTATAAACACCTAATACCGATGTATAATGACGATTATTCTTTGGATCTAAATTTATAAATAAAAATTCATATCTACAACTTCGAAACGATGATAAAATATACAGGGCTTGTGTGTTACTGCTAAACACCTAAAAAAAACAATTATTTAAACAAAAATAATTTAATTGAACAAACAAACAAAAATAATAATTAATAAAATTGAATTACATACTCGAGCAACAGCTCTTGTGGTTACTGATACAAACGTATTATATCCAATACCTAAACAAATTTTAAGTAAATTATCATTAAACAAACAATTAATTTTTAAATAAATATTACTGACTTAAATTAATACGAGGATAACCCGATGAATGCCAAATAATTCTCAAATTTGTAATTAATAATCTTCCACGATCGCCGGCATTCCCTTTATTGTCCTCAATATTCTCCAATTTATCAATAATCACTTCTCCTAATCGCATTTCTAATTGCCTTTAAAAAAAAAATGTATTTTATTATCAAAAAGATATATTTTTGTTTTTTATTGGCTGTTTTCGGCACTTTCTGCAAATAGCTTCCAGAAGTCATCAGTGGTGCTCAATTTAAATTGTGAAATTTATTTTTGGCTGTTTGTTTTCATTCGCTAGATATTATTTATCTATAGAAATAAATTTCACAATTTAAATTGAGCACCACTGATGACTTCTGGAAGCTATTTGCAGAAAGTGCCGAAAACAGCCAATAATTCTATAAAAAAAATATATAAAATTAAAAATAATTACGAAAAGGAAATGTCGAATCTAACTTCGTTGTTTTGCCACATTTTTAGAAATTCAAAACAATACTGATGGTTCTTCTGTGACAAGTTTTCATAATCAATATTCGTTGCTATAACAACTAATAACAAACAAATACGCAAAAGCTTATCTCTTAATAAACTTTTGTTTATATAAATTCTAACCTCAAATCTTAAAAATATGTTTTTTTTCTATAAAAATAATTTATATATAAATGTGTTTATATATAAATTACTATCAATAAATGAAAGAATCATATTAAAGTATACTTAAATAAAGTCAAAAATAAAAAACAATAACATAACCATATTTTTTAGTGAGGCGCCTGCCGCAGTCTGTCAATTCAGCCCGCGAAATGAAACATTTCTCTCTTTTTTTCTATTATTATTGACTAAAAATAAACTAATAGTATGTTTTATCAATTTAGACGTGTTTTAAAATATCCATTAAATTCTATTGGTAAGTAATAAAAGGATTTACTTAATAATTTAATCAATTTTCGACTTTTCTTTTTAATTTTTAGGTTAACTTTTTCAAAATAATAAATATTTTACTTTAATTTTTTAATCGTTTCATTTTCTATTTTATATTATCAAATTAAATAATAATTAAATTAATTTTTATATAAATGCAATGGAATATTAATTGTTAATTTTCTTGTGAAAATATTTGAGGTTAACTTTTTTAAAACATTTGTTTTTTGTTTTATTTTTATTTAATTGATAATAAAAAAAAATTCATTTTTAATAATACTAATTAAATTATTCCAAAGTAAATGAATTATTTTCATTAGGATCACATTTATCGAAATATTCGACAAAAGTAGTGGAAAATACATCATCAATATGCGATCAACAAAGAATAATACAAACAAGTTTTGGTCAACCAACATATCAAACTCATCCTCATTTAATAAAAAAAGGCGAAATAATACCAGGTATTCAATTAGAAGAATTTAAAACAAGACGTAGTAAATTAATGGAACAAATTTTATTAAATGACAAATTAACACATATTGTTATAATACCATCATCAACGACATTATATATGACTGAAAAAATACCATATGTTTATCGACAAAATTCTGATTTTCTTTATTTCACCGGTTGTCAAGAACCCGATAGTTGTTTAATTATCACTGGTAATTGTGATAATTTCACATCAACATTATTCATGAGAAATAAAGATCCAAAATCAGAATTATGGAATGGTACACGTACTGGAGTCGATGCTGCTGTATCATTATTTGGTGTTGATGATGCACTTCCAGTTGATGATTTTGAAAAATTTCTCACATCATTTATAAATGAAAATCGAAATAATTTAATTTGGTACAATACCGAGGATATTGTACAACCTGAATTAGATGAGAAATTAAGAAGATCATTAAAAATTATTGATAATAAATTATTTCATTGTCCAAAAACAATGTTTCATCAATTACGATTAATTAAATCAAAAGCTGAAATTAATTTAATGCAAAAAAGTTGTGATATTGCATCGTTGGCAATATCAAAGGCGATAAATTTATCAAAACCCGGTATTAGTGAACATGAATTATTTGCAATTGTTGATTATGAATCGCGAATGAATGGAGCGGAATTTTTAGCATATCCACCAGTTGTTGCAGGTGGTAAAAATGCCTGTACAATTCATTATATAACAAATAATCAAATAGTCAAGGATGGTGATATGATTTTAATGGATGCGGGTTAGTTCATTTTTTTTTAATTTTTCCACTTTTATAAAAATAATTTTCATTTTCTTTTTTTGTATTCAGGTTGTGAATATCATGGTTATTCGTCGGATATCACAAGAACTTGGCCAGTTAATGGAACATTTTCACCACAACAAAGAATATTATATGAAATTATTCTTGAAACGCAAAAAGAAATGATATTAAAATTAAATAATATGCCAAGTTTAGAGAAATTATTTCGTGAAATGTGTTTATTTTTAGGTAAACGTTTACAGGAGATTGGTCTTGTTCCTAAAAATTTTGGTGGCGATAAATTAATTGCCGCTGGTTATACATATTGTCCACATCATGTTAGTCATTATTTAGGAATGGATGTTCACGATACGGCGAAAATATCGCGAAATATTAAAGTTCAACCGGGAATGATTGTCACTGTTGAACCAGGTAAGAAAAATTTATTTGAAAAAATACAAAAAAAGAAAGAGAAGAAAAAAAAAAAGAATATTAAATTTACAGGCATTTATGTAAGTCCAAAAAATCAATTCGCTCTTCCGGAATTTTATAATTTGGGAATTCGTATCGAAGACGATGTATTAATACAAGAAGAAGGTACTTTAGTTTTGACACGAAATTGTCCAAAAGAAATCAAGGAAATAGAGAATTTTGCAAAACAAAATCAATCAATGTAAGTATATTAAATTTTGTATTAAAAAAAAAAGAAGAGTTTATGTAAATAAATATTGTGAAAATTGTTTTTTTAAAAAAAGTTTATTGCTTCTAAAAATAAAAATCGTAATTTTAAATAAATCAAATTTTTTTTTATTCAAAAACTTCTCGAAACGGAAATAGATGAATATTATAAACTTGTAGCCAATAGAGACTAATTAAAATTACTAACAGTAAAACATAGACAAAAACTGCTATCATAAACATTTAAAATTTTGTTCAAGTTTCATTCAAAAACAGGTTGCATAAGGAATATATCTATTTTATAGACATGTGAAAATGTATAGAGGAGAAGCAACAAAAAAAGAAGAATTGTATAAATTGATAACGCGATGAAAAACATTTAATAGAAATATTTTTTTTTCAAAATAAACACAATTTTTACCTTTTTTTTAAATGTATTGAAAAGAACATTTTTGTTTTGTTTAAAAAAAAAAGACAATTTACAATGTCATTTTTCTCATTTTCACATCTGCTTGTTTCAATGTAATGAAATTCGTCAATTTTTTCACTCTCAATCGTGACCAAACCAAATGATCATTCAGTGCATGAATTTGTGCCGCTGCAAGTGCAGCGCTCTCAGGATAAACAACAGTTGTGCAACCGAGGCCTAAATAAAAAAAAAAATATGAAATTCAAAAATACATATTTACAATCGATTATTATTTTTTTTTATAAAGAAAATTCGTGAAATTAAAAATAGTACCTGAGGGAACTTTGAGTGATGACCAAATATCGTGAGCAATATCTTGAACTTGAACAGGTGGACAATTAATGACGGGAAGTGTTGAATTACCAGAGAGAACTGGACCAAGTCCGTTGCTTCGGCCCGCTACTGCAATCAACACCACCTACAGAAAAGGAAAAAAGAAAAGAAAAGAAAAAAAAAATTAATTGATAAGGTTACAAACTGAATAACAATGACGTCATTGTTTTTGTACTATCAGCGCTAAAAGAAGAAGCAAATGTCAACACAGGTCAATTCTTTTGATATTGATACCTTTTCGCCATTGCCTTCATATTCAGCGAGAATTCGCAATGTTTCCTCCGTTTCTTTATGAGCACTGCTCACTCGCAATTGTACACGTAATCCCAATGCTTGCGCATAGTTTGCTATTTTTTTACAATGCTCCTCATCCGACGGTGAACCCATTAAAATAACAATCAATGCACTTGGCGGTGGTACCAAATAATCCAATTGATCAGCTACCCATTTAAAATTACGTTTCACTGTATCTAAATCTTCTTGTGTCACTGTTGCAAGATTTCTGTAAACCTTAAATTTTTACTTCAAATTAATTAATTTTGCATTTGAAATTTGCATTATTATAAAATTAAATAATACCTGCTTATCTTTCATAAGTCTTTTATCGCCAGACGGCCACAATCTCCATGAATCGCTGTCAATAATATCGGCAACAAGAATTTCTCCATTACAATCAATTCCAAATTCAATTTTCATGTCAATTAATGCACAATCTCTTGTTGACCAGGCTTTTTCTAAAATTTCAAATACAGCCAATGTTGTTGCATTCATAATATCATATTCATCCTTTCCAATAACAATGCCATTTAATTTAAAATTTGCCGACACAACTTGTTGCTCCGACCATTGTGGATCGTGATTCGCATCATCTTTATAAAATGTCTCTTGTAAAGGTGGACAAAATCTAAAACCCTCCGGAACACCTGAATAATATTTTTTCACAAATTAAAATTAATTTATCCGATCATACATTTTTTTTTCTATATTCATTTTTAATTTAAATATTTTTATATATTTTTTGATTATTTCTTTAGAAAACTGTAATTATTTTTTTTTTTACCTGGATTTCTCTTGAGAAAACTTCCAGTTGCCAAACGTCTTGTGACCCATTCAATAGGTACCATTTCACATTTTTTGGCAATAAATGCCGTTTCATTGGCAACTTTAACAAATGCAGTTTTAAGACCAGCTTGATTTAAAAGTTGAAAAACTTTTGCTGTCGTTGCATTACTAATCGCAGCTTTTCCCTCTAATTCATGGGCTTTAACACCATCACCGGCTGTTATTCTATCTTTACTTTGAAGAAAACAAAGAGTATTGTCTTCTGGGAGTTCAAAGACTTTTTTCGTCTTTCCCTCGATTATCAATTTTCCAAGTTTATACACTGAAAAAAAAAGAAATCAAATTTAAATTTTTTTAAAAAATATTTCTACTTTTTCTTATTATTTTTTTTTTTATTCTATAATTATTATATTTACTTATATATTTTTCGAAAATGTAATTATTATAAGATAAATTTATATTTAAAAAAAAAACTAATTTTCTAAAGATTAATAGTATAACTAGAGGAAAAAAAAATTTATCGAAAAAAACGAATTTAGCTATACATTATGATAAGAATATGAATATCATAAAAAAAAATACTCATTAATATTCTGGTATAATCAAATATTTGAATGCTAAAAGAATTTTTTCGACATTCATTTTGAATTGATATTTTAATTTTTTTTTTTTTTTTAGAGAAAAAATACTTTTGGAGTAGTAAAATTAAAAAAAATATATATAGTTCTTACCTGCCATCTTCACCCTCTAATGTGCCTCGTGCAAATGCCGGTTAGCTAGAATCAACTCTCGTTAATAATTCCCCACTTCCTCTCTTTAAAACTGATTTTCTTATCTTTTTAAAACACGCAACATAAATCTAAAGCAAAAAGTGTCCAAAGATAAATAAAATCTTCGTAACAAATAAGAAATAAATAAATATGTCGAAATTTACAAAAACGAGAAAAAAATAAATAAATAATAAAATAAATAATATTGTGTAATAGAAACTAGAATCTGGACAAATAGACAAAAATTTGGCAAAAAAAAAAACTAGAAAAACGTGTTTCACTTTCCCTTGACCTTGAAATCCCCCCCTATTTATAAAAATTCTGAACGTGACTATAATAAATTGTAAAATCTTCAAATTTTTTTTTTTCATTAAACTTTACGATTAGATCAAAACTCCCAGAGATAAAAAAAAAAAAATTCTCAAATTTTATTGGTGGGATTTGTTTTCTGGATCCAAATATATTAAGTGGGAAAAATTAAAATTATTGAATTTTAAAAATTTTTAGAAAATTTTCATAGTTTTTTTTTTTTCTTATAGAAGAAAAAAAATGTCTCGACATTGTATTTTTTCATAACTCTCGTAATTCGACAGCAAAGAAAAAGAAAAGGAGAAAATAAAGAGAAGATTATAATATAAAATTCTGAAATTGCCCTTCCATTCAAAAGCGTCATTCGATTGGTTGGATTATTCATTCAATCTTGAGAACTCAAGTCAGTAATATTACGCATCGTTCTTCAGAGCAAGAGAGAAATATAGTTTTAGTGATTCTATAATACGTTGCCGACAACGAACTCGAAACACGTGGTGAGTACACTGAAAATGAAAACAAAAAGAAAATTATTATTTTTTTTTGAAACAATTTATTTTAAATTAATAAATGAAGGGTAGAATGACAAAAGGGGTCAAGCGCCAATTCACTGTTTTTACAGGAAGTAAAAAAAACATTTTTAAAAATTTTGCAGGTCATTTAAAAAAAAACTGAGAAAACCGTTTCGATATATTAGTATGTTTTAATAAATAAACAACAATTTGTTGAAATATACCTACATATTAACGATAAAATTAAAAAAAAACTGTGGTTCCTTGAGGTTATATCAACTGCGCACATTTTCTTTAACCATTAATTATAAAAAAAATATACAGTTTAAAGAAAAACTGGAAAATTAGTTTCTTTCTATGGAATCGACGAAATGAATAGAAAAAAAAATTCCTTTAAAAAATTGTTTGTTTTCAAGAAAATTACGAATTAATTGCTTGCTTTGGAATTGAGCAATACTTTCATCTTTAAATTCAATTGTTCACTTAGTATAACCATAAAAATATTTAAAAATTAATAACAAAATGATTTTAAAATTGTTTAAAATTGAAAATACATTATTATTATTATTAATTTTATTAATTAAAATATTATTAAAATAAAATTAAAATAAAATATTAAAATAAAACCTAAAAAAATAATATTTTTTTTTTATTTTGATAATATTATTGACTCATCACTTTCTTTTGTTTTTCAATCAGGTTGCAATAAAGTAAATTTGAGGCTATTTTATTAATTTAATTTTTATTAAAAACTGATTTAAATACGCAATAAAAAAGGAAATCCTTCTACAGAAATGTGTAAATGAATTTTCTTGATTTTTTTATGCAAAAACCTCATTTTCGATAAATTGGCGCTTGACCCCTTTTGTCATTCTACCCTTCAAATATAATTTCGCATTTCTTTTTTTTTAAAAATAAAATTAATAATAATGATAAACTTCATCTTTAATTAAATTTCTAGACATGAAAGTTGAAAAAATTATTTTCGGAGTAGATTATAAATTGTCGTTGATATATATGTCAAAAGAGTCTTTCATTTTTAATAATTGGTCTAATTGGGTCTGCTAAAAAAAAAATTCCATCTCTGATTACATTTATTATTTTAAATTGTATCAATAAATTTTAATTGAATATTTCGTGACAAAAAAAATTCTTTCACTATATTTTCTTTTTAAAAAGTTAAATATATATTTTTTCAACTTGCACTCTAGTTTTCATTTTTTTCATTTTTTATAATTGTCTATTTTTTTTCTTTTGTAATTATTTATATTTTACAGTAAATGACTAATTAAAAAAATTAATTGATAAAATTGGATCCTTAAAAAGGCATGAATTAATAAAATAATAAATTAATTTTTATATTTTATTAAATTATTCAATAGTTTCAACTAAAGTTGTATTAGAAATTTAAGTTGAATAATTTAATAAATTATTCTGTTATTCATAATAATAATCATATTAAAATGATTTCTTTCAGATTTATTTTCCCGTTTATCTACTTCAATTCAGCAAAACTATAGTTTGATTATAAAAACTAGAAATATGATATATTTTATAATATTATAACTCATAATTTCTGATTTAAATTAAAATTTTGTTTAGCAAATTAAAAAGTTCTAAGAAAGAACATACAAAATATTTTAAAAAATAATTTACAATTTAATTTTTTTTTTTAATTTTTTCTCTTTTTTTTGTGAAAAAAATCACTGCTTAATTTAGATATACTATTGTTTTTAATTTTATCAAAGATAAGATCAGGAAACAAATATTTACGTCACTATCGATTGATATTGTTTAATTTTATATTATTCAAATTGGTTATTTGTTTGCAAATTCAGTCTTGCATAATATAAATATATATTTAATATGAGACAAACAAAAAAAAAAAAAGAAGTTTTTTAAGAGTAAACAAAATTCTTTATATGCTAATTTATAGGCCCTATCAATGACGAAACTGATTGCAAAATATAAACCGAGGGAATCCTGAACTAGAATTCATATATACAATAAATAAACAATTTCTTTAATCAATCATTAATGTCAATAGTTCATAGGAACATAACTGATAATATTTATTGAAATTGTCTCTTGGGGGTCTTTCAATAAATATATATTACAATTCAATTTTTACATTAATATATTTATTTTTATTTAATTTATATTATTTTTGATAAAATCTCCCCCAAATGACAATTTTTTATACCTCTTTTTTTTACAAGTTTTTCATTAATAATTTTTAATAAAAATATTCTATGAAAAAAAAAAAATAATAGTGAATAATTTCATTATAACGAAAAATTAAACAATTTTTGATAAAAAAAAAAAATTAACTTTAAATCTTTGGACAAAAAAAAATATTTGCTTCTCTTTAAGTTTTTTTTTTATCTTTGGCGATGCAATTAATAAATTATCTCCTATTATCTGCAATTCTGGCTAAAAATATATTGTATCTAAGATTCGACTCAATTTCATGCTTATCCCATATGTTCTTTGACCTTATTAAATTTCATCATTTTACAGATTCACATCAGTGTATTTTTTTCTCTACATTTTATATAAATTTTTTTTTATCTATTTGTTTTTAACGCTTATTGGAAAAGTTTTTCGTAAAAAAAAAGGAATATTTTCTCATTAAAAAAATTAAGAATAATTTTTTTTTTTTTACAGATCAATTTAATAATGTCTAGCGATAATAAAATACAAAGCTGTTCGGATGGAATTTCGAGATTGATGATTGATGATACTGTTAAAATAGTGAGACAAAGACGAAGTAAAGGTGAAACACGAGGGCAACGAGGAACAGGATTAACGCACGAATGTGGAGTTTTTGGATGTATTGCCGCTGGTGATTGGCCATCAACTATTGATGTTGGTCAAGTTATTTGTCTCGGTAAGATTTTTCTTTTATCGAAAAAATCGAGATTGATCTAAAAATACAATTTTTTTTTTTTTGAAAAAAGAATGAGAAATTTTTTTTTGTCAATTTTCAGGTTTGGTGGCACTACAGCACAGAGGACAAGAAAGTGCAGGAATTGTAACAAGCGAGGGTGTTTGTGCAAAATCATTTCACGTTCATAAAGGAATGGGAATGATAAATAATATTTTCAACGATGATAGTATGAAAAAATTGCGCGGCAATTTGGGAATTGGTCATACAAGATACAGTACAAGTGCAGCTAGCGAAGAAGTAAATTGCCAACCATTTGTTGTTCATACAGCACATGGTGCATTGGCGGTTGCACACAATGGTGAACTCGTTAATACTGAATCATTGAGAAAAATGGTGAGGGAAAATTATAAATTTTTTTTTTTTTCTAAAATCTTGAAATAAAAAATTTGAAAAAATTTAAATAGGTTCTTGGCCGAGGTGTTGGACTCTCAACACATTCAGATTCTGAATTAATAACACAAGCATTGTGTTTAAATCCACCTGAGGGTGAATTAAATGGACCCGATTGGCCAGCAAGAATTAAACATTTAATGCAATTGGCACCACTCTCTTATTCACTTGTTATAATGCAAAGAGATAAAATTTATGGTGTACGCGATCCCTATGGAAATCGACCACTTTGTTTGGGAAAAATTGTACCCGTTGGAAATTTGGGTGAGAAAAAAAAAAATTTTTTGCAAAAAAGAAAATTAAAAAATTTTAAATTCTTTTCTTTGAATAATTAGGAAACGATTCCGATGAGGAAAATGATGCTGAAGGTTGGGTTATATCATCAGAATCGTGTGGTTTTCTCAGTATCGGTGCAAGATACGTTCGAGAAGTATTTCCAGGTGAAATTGTTGAATTAACACGAGAAGGTATCAAGACAATTGATATTGTCGATAGGCCAAACAAAAAACCGCAAGCATTTTGCATTTTTGAATATGTTTATTTTGCCCGAAGTGATAGTATTTTCGAAGGTAATTTTTTTTTTTATGGAAAAATTATTAATTTTGTTAGAAGAAAATTTTTGTTAAAAAAATTTCCATTTTCAGGACAAATGGTCTATTCAGTTCGAATGCAATGCGGAAGAGTTTTGGCTTTAGAATCGCCAGTGGAAGCTGATATTGTTAGTTCTGTTCCTGAATCAGGAACAGCCGCAGCACACGGTTATGCAAGACAGGTGAGTAATTTTTTTTTTTTTTTATGAAAAGTAAATTTTTATTATCGATAAAAAACAAAAATCTTGTCTACTTTTTTGCAGTCACAAATTCCTTTTGCCGAGGTACTTTGTAAAAATCGTTACGTTGGCAGAACATTTATTCAGCCAAGTACACGATTAAGAAAATTGGGTGTGGCAAAAAAATTTGGCGCCCTATCGGAAAATGTCAAAGGGAAAAAATTAATTTTAATCGATGACTCAATTGTACGTGGCAATACAATTGGACCAATTATTAAATTACTCAAAGACGCTGGCGCCAAGGAAGTAAGATAATTTTTTTTAAGTTTTTTAAAAATTCAATTTTTTTTTAAATTCATTAAAAATATTTTCTTTTAGGTTCATATAAGAATTGCTTCGCCACCTTTAAAATATCCCTGCTATATGGGAATAAATATTCCAACGAGGGAGGAATTAATAGCTAATAAATTGGACAGTGTAAAATTAGCGAAACACGTTGGCGCTGATAGTTTAACGTACCTTTCAGTCGAGGGTCTCGTTGAAGCTGTCAGACACGGGATGGATAATCGTGAAAGCAGTTATATTGGTCATTGTACTGCTTGTTTAACTGGCGAATATCCCGATGAATTACCAGGCGATTTGGGTTGGTGAGAATAATAACAAAAAAAAAAAAGGCACAGGAATTCTTCGATTGTCCATCAAAATTCCTAATTAGAAAAGAAAAAAATTCATTACGTAATAGTCTTTATAATGAAAAAAAAAATGTAATTAGTACTTTTTCTTTTACTATATTGAGAATTAATAATTTTTAAAAAAATCCGATATTTTTAATTAAACTTTTTTTTTAAGTAAAACAATTTTTAAAAGCAGGATAAAAATATTTTTTTTTTTCGTAAATTATTGTACTTACAGAACTGTAAATTGATATAGGAATATTTTTTTAAGGAATCAGCTCATCATCTTTAATTTTTTTTTTTTTTTTTTATTTAAAAATAAAATTAAGTAAATTTTTTTTTTCTGAAGTTTTCCTTTTTTATATAATTAATTCCTCTTCGCTTTCCTCATCATTTGTGATTCCACTCATTTTTCTCAATTGTTCAGAAATTTCCTTCATTTTTGCTTCGCGTTTCTCCTTTTTTTGTAATTTTTTATCATTTACTATGAATTCCTTTTTAATTGCCCGTTGATTAATTTGAATTTCATCAGTTATAAATTCTCCATCTTCAATTTCGGATTCGGGTGGAAAATTTTCATAAATATTTTCATTATCCAAAATATCATCATCATTTGATGTTTCAGTTTGTAAATCTGTTGATTTTTTTTTTAACAAACTTTTGGAATTATTTTTTCTCCTCATATTTTTTATAATTTTAACAACACCTTTATTTTTAATTTTATTTTTAATTGGATTAATTATTGGTTTAAAATCACGCGATGTCGATGGTTGTGGTTCATCTTCATGATAATCGTCTTGCGCTGAATTTTTAACAAAACGTTCAAATTCATTTATTTCTTGATTAGAATCGGAAATATTTTCGTCTTCCTCTTCAATTAATCTATCATCACCATCTAATACTTCATCGGGTTCAATTTCCTCCTCTTCTTCTTCATCGTTATTATTTTGCGGTACCGTAAACATAAATGGATTGTCTTCGTCTGAATCGGAAATTGGATCAATACCTTGTGCTCTTTTTTCCCTACGAACACGTTGTTTTTCAATATATGCATTTAATACATCGATTCTTTCATCTCGTGTATTTGTCCAAAATTCAAGTGCTGAAATTTAACAAAAAAAATGTCAATAATAATCCAACTGGAAAAAGTAAATATAAATGATTATTCACCTTCTTCTTGATACTTTGGAGGAACTCCAGCTTCTATTATTGTCTCTATATTTGGTAATGATTCATTGTGTATTGAATTGCCCAAAACTTCTGTTCTTGGCGCAATAAATACTCTTTGCATTTTAAGTAGTTTTCTACTTTTTGTCAAATAATTTAAAGTTGGTGCAACTTCAAAAACAGGATCGTCAACAGTGGCATTGTTATCTTTATTGAAAAACATATAAGTACCGACAGCATCTTCGTAAGTTCCTTCGAAAAACTGAGAAAAAAAAAGATAAAGAAAAAATTGTATTCAATTGCAAAAAAAAAAAGGTGTAAAGGAAAACTTACTTTTCCATTAATTTGTATTATCGGTGTTTCAGTGTCAATTCCAAGTATATCAAGTTTAAGCCTCTCAGTACCGAACATGGTATTTTCAACACAATTTGGAAATTCAACATAAACTAAAACTTCCTCTTCATCTTCCTGCAATTCTTCTTCATCAAAATCTTCATTAGCTTCAAACATTTTTTTTTCTCAACAATAATTGTCTCTCACAAAATAATTAATAAAAAAATATTAATACTTTTTAATAATCAAAACATAATATAACCTAACCTAAAAACACTTCTGTCAAAAAACACGTGACTTGTGGCGCTAAATTTCAAACAAAAATTTGAAAACAAAATTTTATTATTGATAAAAAAAAATCGTTATTCAATATTAAATTATTATTATTAATTAAATAATATTGGATTGTATTTTTAATATTTTTATTTAATTTTTTTTTGCCCAAAAAAAAAAAACAATAGCTTGTTTATTATTTAAATAATTCAAGATTTTTGAGTTGAATTAAAATGTTTTTTCAATCCTTGCCAACACTTATTATAATTGGAATCAATTTTTTTACAATTTTTCCCACCCCATTCGGTTATTGTCATACTGTAATAAGTTTCAAACATAAATGCCTGAGTTTCCTCGGCAATATGTTCGGGCACAAGTTTTGAATTTGATGCACTTTCAAAACAAATTGTATCAGGACCATGTGGTGTCATAATTGAATGTAAAGAACCACCGCCAGGTTGAAATCCTTCTTCCTTGGCCTCATAACGTCCCTTAATTAAACCCATAAATTCACTCATGCAATTTCCTTAAATAGAAAAAGTAATTAGTTCGCTTCTTCTTTTTTTAAATTACAAAATTTAAATTTTAAATATATTTTTAAATTTAATAGAAAATGTTAAATAAAAAAAAGAAGAATGATTTTTGTAATAAAGATTTTCAAATAGAAATTTTATTCTCTCTATATTTAAAGAATATGAAAAACATTCCTTGGGGCAATTTAATATTTCTCGATCCGAGGAGGAGAAAAAAGGGAAATCGTTCTTCGATGACAGTGTATTAAGAATTATGATTGACATTCACCTTCGCGATTATGGAAAATTCCAAACTTTTCACTATAAGGATTCTCAATCGAGAAAGAAGAGCAATTTTCAGAAGCGCTCTTCTGGAACGACAATAGACGTGTCCATCGGTTCCAGCATCGCTTCAAATAAGATACAGAAATTTTTTTTTTTAATATGAATTTTTCTATAAAGAATTTTAAAACAATAAAATGAAAATAATTAAAGAAAAGAATTTATTTTCAATTAAAGAGGAATTTAATTATTCACTGATTGAATAATAGTGATGTTATCGGAAAATAAAAGATCCGAAAGTCAGATAGAGGCTTTTCTTTTTTTTTTTTTTTTCCTCAGCGTTGCTTAATTCAATATATATGGTATTTTAATCAATCTTTAGAAAGGCGTATAGATAAATATTTTCAATGAATATTTTAATTCTACTTACGATGATAATAAGGTGGACGAAAAGTGTGTTCCTGAACGGACCAACGAGGAGGAAAAATCACAAAATCAGCAATTGCAGTCCCCGGTTTCGTCGATGGACAAGTGAGAACTGTAAATATTGATGGATCCTAAAAAAAAAGAGTATAATTATTATAGGAAAGAATAAATTTATTATTAAAATAAATTTTAAAAAAAATGAATTTAATAAACATTTTTTATACTCACGCAGTGATCGAAGGAAACTGAATTAATAACCATAAAGCGATCAAGATTATATTTGTAGGGTACGTAATTTCCATGCCAAGCGACAACATCAAAAGGACTGTGATGTTGATTAGCCACAAACATTTTTCCATGATATTTACAAATAATTTTATAATCCACATCTCGTTCCTCGTACCAGGCAGATGGGGTTTCAAAATCTCGTGGACTTGCAAGACCATTTGCACCTTTAAATAATAAACAAAATACTTTATAACATTCGTGTTATTAATTTTAAATTAAATCAAAAAATTTTCATTTTTACATAATAAAAAAAAAGAAAGAAAATTTCCTTTAAATCAGATCATTTTTTATAATCCGATTATTAGAACTTTTTCTTCCGTTTCGCTCGAAAGTTTTAAGAAACATTACAATGATTTATCTCGCAACAACGCAAATTGTGTGTATTATTATAACGCAATTATTATACACAAGGCTATTGCACTTCCATATAAATAATTCCTGCTCCAATCAAGATTTTTCTTATTCATCACCCGCATTTTAATTTGTTTTTTTTTTTTTTTAATTCCAAGTTACTTTCATTATTTCTCTATTTTAAAAAGTACAACAAATTTCTTAGACTTTCATTAAAAACTATTATATTATAATTAATTAGCCACGGAATTAAAAAATTTCTAATAAAATTAATTCCAATTATATAGTATACGTAATTTAATTTGAATTTTTAGAAAATTAATTCCCCCCCTAAATTACATAACAAAATTTTATTCAAAATGTCCCTATAATTTCTTTTTTTTAAATTATTAAATATTTTATTTGGTTTTTAAATTATCTTTTTTTTTTAATTTTTAATAATTATTATAATTTTTTAATTTCATTATAATACATACCAATTGGTCCCAAATTTGGAAGTTGAAAATGATTGTCAAACACCTCAAGAATATATCCTCTGGATGGACCAAAAACAGTTACAGAGAAACGCATTCCCCGTTGAATAACACAAATCTCATTTGGTTCACATCTCATTCTTCCGAATTCGGTCGTAATTTGTAAGACTCCCAATTGCGGTACTTAAAACAAAAAAAAAAAAAAAAATTAAAAATTAATTATTAAATTACTTTTCTAATTGTAAATAAATATATTCATCATTAAAACCTGTTAAAAGAAATGAAAATAAAAATTCTAAGATTAACTTTCACTTTCTCTTCAAATTTCAGTGTTTTTCTATTCTCATTTTCTCCATACACGATTTATCGCAATTTGTTCCTTACAAAAAAAAAAAATAAATAATAATAATAAAACAAAAAATAAATAAAGAAACGTCAATATAATGATCACGCATTGTTTAATACGTTGTATTTATGTAGACCATGACTTTCACACACGCATATATATATATAAAAATATATAGAAACAAGAGGATATTCCATTACCAATAAGGAAGTCTCCATCAGAATTGTAAAAGGCTTTATCTCGCATGGAAGAATTGCAAAGGTAAATGTGAACAGCAACTCCGGTTCGCGTGCGAGAATCGCCAGCTCCGCAAAGTGTATATAAACCCTCAACAAAATCCACTTCCGGTTCCTGACGAGTTGGCACATCGAAGGGCATCCAACGAATCTAAAAAAGAAACAAAAAAACGATATTAAATATTCAGAGAAAATTAATATTTATAATTATTTATAAATTAAATTATTATTATTATAAAATTATTTATAATACTAATATAATTATTAATGATTTATAATAAAATCAAATTTTAATTCTTGCCTGATTAGGTGTCGGGGGAAATTTATCCCATTCGTGAGTGACTTGATCTTGAAATTTTTGAATTGGTTCAAAGACATCGTGCACAACTGAAGGTCTTATTCGATAAAACCATGATCTTTTATTCTCACATCTTGGAACTTGAAACATAAAAAGAAAAAGGGGAAATTTTCTCTTATAAAAGAATTTATTCTTGGCAAGAATTTAAAAGATCTTAATTAAGTGTTTCTTTCAACTCTTAATTATATATTTAACTTTATATATATATAAATTATATTATTTTCTCCTTTACTTCCTCTTCATCTTCTATAATTATATATTATTAAATAATTTCTAAATGACAAACAATTTTTGTATATCTTTTAATTATATAATCATTTTGTAAATGATAATTAATAGACAATTATTTTTTTTTTTTCTTTTATTATTTACTCACCGGTAAATGCACTGCCTGACAATTGTTCAGCATAAAGATTATAAGGACACTTTTGAGGATTATTTTGACCAATTGGAAGTGCTCCAGGACATCTTTCATCCTCGCTACTGAATTCGCAATCAAATCCAGTCAAATACTGCAAAAAAAAATTTCATTAAATTTAAAAATTAACCACGAATCTTATTTTTATTTAAAAATTAATAATTTTTGTAATTTAAAAAAAAATAATATAGCGCGCAATAATAAATAGTATACCTTAAAATCTTCTTTCATGATGAATGAATCGCCCTTTTTCTTTGAATGTATGAAAATATCAAAATCATCGACGTTTTATAAACCTTAGTATGACTACGTCACGATTTAAATTATGCAAATTATGTTTACGCCTCAATGTATCGACCAATAAAATGTTTAGAATAAGAAGGCACGACCAGATTCTTCACGGTGCCGGTTGCTGATACTCGCGTAAAAGACAATATTTATCTCCTTGATTATACAAGACGAGTTTGTTTTTTTTTTATCACTTAAAAAACATTTCTGATCGGACGATAGTATTCCTTCTCGAAATTTCAGTTTTGAAAAAGAATTTACTGTAAAAAAAAGTGATTAAAATCAAATTATAAATAATTATTAAAATTTATAAAATAATAATGATATTATCGGTTTCAAGTACAATTAATTATATAAACTATTTATATCTTATTATTAAAAATTAAAATTAAAATTATGGAAAAAAAAATTCATTATTAATCGTAAATTTAAATTTTTTTTGTCAACAATTTTTTTTTTTTTCTTTTTAAATTTCCAATATTTCTATAAATTAGCATAACAAGATGTGAATCTTGTTTTCTAGTTTTGTTGCAAATCGTCTAATTATATGAAGAATTTTTTTTTTTTCCATCTCTTTGATAAAAGCCACAAATCCTTTCGATTTTATCATGCAATTTTCACCACTTAGGTGAAATTTAATTAAGCTACACATCACCCATGATCTAGTTTTTTTTTTCTTAATCTTCGAAATCACGAAAGCTAGCAAAAATTTTTTTTTTTTTATTTTCCACGATCACTTTCTTTTAATTAAAAAAAAATAAATAAAACATTTAATTTAAATTTCTCAAATTCAAATCTTTTTAAAATGATTTTATTTTACCAAATTTTTTTTTCTGTAAAAAAAAATTTAATTATGAATATTAATGTTGTTAATTTTAGAAATAAAAATTTATTGCAGAGAGAGAGAAGGAAATTATCTCTTCAGTCTGTTTTTCTCGGTGAACACACATTGTAAATTTTTCGCAAGCAAGGTCGTATTTATTGTTGGCAATGCAAACTTGTGATCATTTTAGAAAAAAAGACTTTTCCTTTCTCTCTGAAATTTATAACAACTAGTTTGTAATTATTTTTTTTTTTTTTTTTTTGAGTCATGCAAAATATGCAACAAGGTCTTTGAACTAAGTTCTCTCATTTTCTGGAAGTAACACGAATGAGACTCATGAACCCGTTATTTACTTAACTTATGCAACAACTGGTTCTTGTCGCATATACCATTAACTGTCGTTAAATCAAAATTTTTAAAAATCATTTTTCTGTAACAAAACATTAAATAAACTAATAATCTTGTGATTTAAGATTATTTATTAAATAAATAAGCTTCTTTTCGTTAAAAATTCCATGTGCTTTAAAATTCAGAAAATACGTTTTCCATTTTGATTGATGTAAATTGGAAAAAAAAATTTTTTAATTGACCTAGAATTTATATTATTTACAGAATTTAAAAGAAAAATAAGATTTTTTTTTTCTCCAAAACGTGTTTGAAAATTTTCAGTGAGATAAGAAACCGGGACTGATAAAGTAGATATAATACAAAATAAATTATTTGTTGACAAAATATATATTATGCAAGCAAATAATTATTATGAATTAATTATCAAAATGGATAATAAATACTGATGTAAAGAAAATTTTTTTTTTTAATTTTGAGATTTTTTTTTGTCGTTTTTAATAATTAATAATTTGCTAATAAAAATACTTACCACATATTTCTGCTTTTCTTCTCTCATGTTTGTGTTTCGGTAAGTAAAAAAAATTCCAATGAATTAAATTATTCCTCATTCTTGATTTCCTCTTCATGTTCAAAATTTTTTTTTCCAAAGATCGATCATTGTACAGTTAAGTACTTTGATTTAGAAGTCTTCAGTCAAAGGATTCTTTTTTTTGTATCTGAAAAGAGGATAATCAATATTTATAAGTCTTTAAGATCATATATTTATAATAAATATCTCGTCTGCATAAAAGAGAATACTAAATACAGTAAAAGTAAATTTTCTTTCTCCACAATTTTTTTTTTTTAAACTTAACAATCACTTTCACAGGAAGACATAAATGTAAAACAATTTATAACAGAATATATTTCAAATTTCAAAAATCAAAGATCTTGTAATTCACAAATTTTTTATTATTAATTTCATTAATTGAATTTGAAATTATTTATTTTATTAAACTGTTTGAAAATTACTCAATTTTTAAATTTAAATTGAATAATTAATTTTTTAAAAGCATTTTTCTTAAATAACAAATAAATTGCTGTCTTATAATGTAAACATGAAATCAATCAACAAGTTATATGTCTCACACAGTTATATGCAAGTGCAGTTAGAATATAAAATTGAAATGAACGGGTTTTAAATAAAAAAAAAAAACAAAAAAAATTGTCTTGTACCATTGACCAATTGCGATTATTTCTCCTTTCATCGCATATATTATTCCTTATTAATTTTACAACTTTTTAATAATAATCTATTATAATCATTCAACAAAAAAATAAATTTAATTTAAAAGCTCTTTAAAAAGTGGAAAAAAAAATTATTTTAAATTCATTTGAATATTTTTTCCGCATTACTTTCTCTTTTTTTTCCAATTTCCAAAGAGGACACATACAAAATCCTTTTAACGGAATCTGTTTAAGTAGAAATTTATTTGTAAACAACTCACGAAAATTCCATTCATTAGACTTTAAAATATTTTTTATAATTTTTGAAATGTAGCAATATTTGAGACAAAGACAAACATTTTTAAAAAAGGATAAAACTTTCTTGTATGTATATTAAAAAATAGATTCTATTTTATCGTCGTGATTTTTTTTGGGGTTTTTTTAAAATCTTTAAAAATATCCAATTATTAAATTTATAAAATTTCTATTATGAAATTCTTATTCACCTTGAAAAAAATTTTTCAAACTATATGTGTGGTGAATAGTCACAAGGTCATTTTGTTATTGTTTCGCTAGCGGAACAAAATTTTATATACGCGTTCCAAAGTAAATTATGTGTCTTAGTTTTATTACATATATATAGTATATTATTTTTAGTAAGTTTATATTTTTTCCCCCCTCATTATTAAAATTTTCTCTGACGAAATAAATTTTTAAAAAAATTCTAATATTTAAATATGTTATATGAAAAATAAATTAATATAATCCTAATGTACAGTATTTTTTTTTTACCTATAAAATGTGGAATTTTAATGACATTATTGAAATTTTGCAAATTCAAATCACTTTTTTTTTGGATATATATAAAAGGTTATCTGGACTACTTTCGTTTATAATATAAATTTGTGTCCCAACAAAATAGGACTCGAAAAACCAGAATTGCATTTTTTGATAACTAGTTCACCTTTTCGTCGTATAAGAAATAAGGAAATCAAAAAGTGTTCTAGTATGATAAGGAACACGTCTTAAAATTTGGGTCAAATTACTTAATATATTATAAATATTATTTATTAATTTTAATTCAATTTATTTTTAATATTAATTTTCTCTTTATATATTTTTATAACAGTAATAGTATTTTTTTTTAATTTTTAGGAAAATTTATATTAAAAAGAAAAAAATGAAATGTTAGAGAATAATAGAAACTAACATTCACGAATGACGAGTTTGAAAAGTTTTGTCCCGCTTTTGAGAATTTTTTTTTTTTTTTTTTTTATTCACTTACTATATAATTATTAATTATCATGCACTGGAAGTAACGTTAATGAAATCATAGAGCACAAATGCGTAACGTCACTGTACTGATTACAACGAAAATAAAAAAAAAAAAAAATTCTTTTTCATTGTCATAATAAATATAGGCATGATATCAATTAATTTGCAACTAAATTTAAAAATCTATTAAAATAAAAATTATAAAAAGTAAATAAAATAAACATTTTTACCGTAAAAAAATTAAGATTTAATCATTTTTTCAAAATGTTAAATTAAAAATGTTTAAAAAGATTTAATCGTTTTATTTGAATTTAAGATTGATTAAAATAAATAAAATTTAAATTGTGTGTAAAATTTTCAAATGGATTAAATTTAGAAAATATTCCAATCAATTTGACTAATGAAAATAAAGATGATTTTGAAAATTTATAATCAATGACAATTTTTAATAAATAAATTAATTTAATTATTAATGAAATTGATAATTTTTAAAAAAAAGTGAAAATTCGAAAAATTAAAAAATTTAATGTCTCAAAAATAGGGGACATTATTATTTGAAATAATTTTTTTTAATGAAAAAAAGAAACTTTTTCGGATGTGGTTTTGAAAAAAAAAAAATTTTCTTTTGACGAAATCATGATGCTTTCATTTATATTGTAAAAGCAGTAGTATTCATTATATATCGAATCGGTTTTGCGGTGGGAGAAAAGAGTGGATTGCAGGCGAACGAACATCAGTTCTGAATAGCTTACCTGCCAACAGTCTGTCGGATTCAGCAGGTGAATTGAACACGAGTCGAGAGTCCCGGTCTAACGCTTTCTGCACCTGGTGGTCGGTCGCGTGAGTTCGTTGTCCGGTTTGTCTTTTATTCTTCGTGGACTTGGGAGAAAAAAAACCCGCGAATTCATTCCTCACTTGCTCATCATATATAATATAGTGGAAATCTAAAAAAAAGAAGAAAAATTTAAAATAATGAAAATAAAAATTAATTAAAAATAATTTAATAAAAAAAAAAAAATGACCATAATAATTGTCATTTAATATAAATTGTAACTCCATTAATTTATTGTGACGGGGAAAATTAACTCGCGTGTGTTTCCGGTTTTTGACAGAGATGCTTATATTGTGAACTTGTTTTTTAACGGAGCATTCAGTGAAGTGTCAATAATTTTCATTGTAGTGCGCGACTCTTGGGAGATTCCTGATACGCATGGGAGTTCTGGTGATAAAAAAAAGAGGAAGAGGATTTTGTTGCATCCACCTCAGGTATACGAATATTTTCTGAAAAAAAAAAATTCTTTTTTTATTATATATTTTCTTGCAAATATTATTCTTAATTCTAAGAGCATTAAAATCACTTTTCGCTTTTCCAAGCATTTAAATTACTGTACAGGGAAAAATTATTTGAATATTATAAATGAAAAAAAAAACTCCGAAAATTAACAAAAGATTTAATTTTTTTCATTGTCAATCAAATAGAATTAATAAAAAGAAATAACAAGATAAATTATTTTAAAACTAAAATTTTGAAAGAGATTTTCTTAATAAAATAAAATTTTATATTAAATGAAATTTTACGCAGGAAAATAGAATTGGATTTCAGTAACAAGAGTATGTATTGTATATATATGCCGATTTTGCATGATTGTATACTATGAATATTCTCAGGACGATAGAGTGCTTGTCAGTTAAGATTTAAAGCGGAAGTGTTTTCAGACGTATGATTTTAATGTAATTTATCATGATAAATTACGTTCAGTTGTCTTATTATAGTTTATAATATTTAATATTCAAAATTGCCATTTTTATTTCATTTGGAAATTTTTTTTTATATAAATCAAAATAATTTCCTCTCCTCTAACTTTATGGATATTAAATTTGTAATTTAAATTAATTAAAATAATGTTAAATTATAAAATAATAATTACAAAATAATGAATCACTTTGTTCGAAATAAATCTACGCTTTTGTATATTCGATATTTCAAAAAAAAAAAAGTTTATTTTTTTTTTTGGAAAAAAATGTTTTTAGCATAAAAGAAATTAATTTCTCTCAAAGGGTGTGTTCTGAAAAAAAAAACTGTTGCAATTACTAATAAACGAGTTTTTCAGGCAATTCAAAGTTCACTTTCTTTTTAAGCACTCAATCGTGCGTAAGGTAAAAGTTTCAGAATTTCTGGCTTAATAACTATATATATATATAAAAAATCCTTTTGAAAAGGCGATCAGAACGCAGGCGTGTTATATATTCTATGTGTAAATTATCTTTGTTCCGGAACAATAGTTTCATTTTGTCCTTCTGAATTCAGAAAACAATGCCTATGAAATTTAATTTTAACTTTCTCTTATGATTGACGTTTTATCAAGAGTATTAGAATATGAAAATTTATCGAATGTTAAAATTCACTAATTGTTAAATTAATTTATTATTTTATATAGCTTTTATTAAGAGATAAATCTCATTCATCTTCTTTTTTTCCATATTTAATAAACACAATTTGTTGATTATGCAAATAATTCAATAAATTTTAATTTACACAATTAAATGCGGGAGAAGAAATTTTTTTAATTTCCATACCGTAAATAAATTATTATTATTATAAAACTGATAAGGAAATAAGCGAACAGATTTATATATATATGGATGAAATTCTGAAACTTTTCGCTCACGCCTACGCTATTCTTGTATCACACTTTTTCTGTTCCATTTATTTTCATGTCGTGAGAACTGTGCAATGTTTGAAGGAATATTATAAAGCAGTTTCGCATATATAGTCTTTCTCGCAATTCTTTATAACATTAAATAACAATAATGCATTCTTCAAAAATATATATGTTGATCGAATTTTTGCGTATATAGAATTGTTAACTTATATGTAAAACAATTTCAAATATAAAAGAAATATTTTCCTTTTTTTGTAAACAAAAAAATTGTCACTATTGTCTTTAATTCGGTTCGAGTTGAAAAAAAAAAAAATTATAAATAATTATATTTTACCTTTTTAATATTGTGACTTAGATGTCAAATAAAAAAATAAACGAAAATTTAGGCTATACTTTCTTATAAATTTTCCATATTTGAACATGAACAACTTTCAAAGAAACTTTTCAAACAAATTTTTTGTTTCTAAAGTGTAAATCAAATTAAAAATTAAATTTAAAGAATTTAAATAGATAAATAATTATAATAAATTTAAAAAAAAAATAAAATAAAATACGAATAAAATGTAGAAAAATTTGAAAATACCTTAATTTATGAATCGTTGTGTTGAAAGGCAAATAAGTATTTGTAGTAATTCGACTTCATTTTTCCATACCGGACAAATATCTATGTCTTTCACACGTGGCTTGGCACATTCTCAATAAATATATACACACATCGGACCCACCGTAATAATATACGAGAGCGTGAAAGCAGCGAAATAACATCTGTTCTTGAAAATAATCATTTCCTCTGATCAGTGTTGTTTTGTAGATACACAATTTTTCTGCAACAAAATTAAAAAAAAATGAAATATTAATTTACTACGTCTCGTCCTTTACTGACTTTAGAAAAAAAAACAGCAATGTCGGTCAATTGTGCAATACAGGATGTAAAACGAGAGAAAGGATTTAAAATTAGCCATTTTTATAATCAAAAAGTTTGGGAGGTAAAAATTTTTTCTGCAATTTTTTCTTTCCTTATTTTTCAACTTTCACTTATTTCTTTCATCGGGAAATTGATTCTTATTTTTATATGTTTAAATAAAATTTTAATTTTATTATAGAAATATACAATAAAAGAGAATATTGTCACAAAACTTTTGTTTCCTGTTTGAAAAAACAAAAAAAAAAAAAGACAAATTACAACATAGTTTATTATACTATAGGTGCGACCTATAATTTCTATTCTGAATTTAAAAGCAACCAATTTCATAAAGGTTTCAATTCAAAGTATACATAATTTACTCCATTTTATTACCTGTAAGATTTTATGACATAGTTTATTTCATTATTCTTGAAATATTTTCTATAAATAATCATTGATTCATTTATGCTAGAAATATTTTGCCTCCTATTTTTTTTTTTTTTTTTACTGATTTCCGGTAATTAAAATTGTATTGTCACAAATATTCTTTCATTTTTATGCGATACGAAATATAAATAAATAAAAATAATTTTTGTAAGAATTTCAAAAAAAAAATGATAAAAATAATCATGACGCGAATTTCTCAAAAAAAAAGTAAATAAAATTTACGTGAAGGTGATTAAAATTCACTTTCGCTAATATATGAGCGTAAGTCAATTGCGATTAACTTCGTTTATAACTTATTCGTGTACAAAAATGATCATTAAAGTGAATTTTTCTATATTCACGAGCAATAATAAATTTTTCGTAGAGTTTAAGCGAAAGTATTATTATAAGAAAAAAATTTGTGCAAATTGTCGCGTGTCAATGATCGTTAAAGTGTTAAATTAAATTATTATAATATTCACTCAGTCAAGAAATTTTATTTTCATTTTTCTTAAATTTGAAAAAAATAATCGTTACTTCAAAAATTCCACATATATTAGTTTATTTTAAAATTTCTAAATATTTTCAACTATTCCATTCCTTTCCCTTTCTTAATAGAAAAATTTGTTAAAAACTACGTCCCAAGGTAAAATTGTTGTCCGGTCTTTTGCGCAAATTCGCGTTTTGCGTTATTATAATATTTATTCGAAAACTAAAAATTTTAACTCCTATATGCATAAAATTAAAAGCAAGTTTATTTCTTCAAGATCCTTGTCAAATATCAACTTGTTCTACAATTTTATATTCGATCAATCAGTCATTTTAATTATGAAATAAATTATTTTTTATATCTAGTTTTTTTTTAAATTTATGTTCTAATTTGTAAGGAGATTAAGTTTAAAAAAAAAATTCTAAACAATATTTCAAATTAAATGAATTTCGATGTGAAAATAAATAAATTGAAATATTATTCCTGACAATTCTTTTCTGTACCATTATGCAAATACTAATTTATTTTCATTAACTAGAAAATGAAGTATACAATTAGAATAATTTATAGTTTTGAAACAAATTTTTGCGCAACTTCAACTACAATGAATATTTAAATTTAACTATTGATTTGCTAAAAATTTTATCAACAATTTTTTAATTAAACTGAGAAAATTAAATTTTTTATTTAAAAATAAATTTTAACATCCTTATTAAAAAAATGTTAGATTTGAATTTGAATTATTTATGATTAAAATAAAATCCTAATTTATTGTAAAATTCTTATCTATATTATATTATTTTCTCTATTCTTTTAAATATTATATAATTATAAATAATATATTTCTAAATCTTCAAGTAATTCAATTGATTTGAAATGGTGATGATGATATTTCGAATATCAATCACGAAGGAAATTGATGATGAAATAAATCTTATTTTGATAAACAAGAAAGTATATTAAAAACTTTCGAGACAACTAATTCCTTTCATTTATAACAAGGTAGACATTAGATTTAAATATATATATCTAAATAAATCAGAATGAATTGCTAATTACGAAACGTTTGCTCGTCGCACAAGAGCATGCCCAACGTTCATTGGTATTCAAATTCTAATTACTTCCTTCGCATAGAAAGTTATAACGTTGATTTGAACATAGTGGGATAATTGCTTTAGACGCGCGAAAGCGTCCAGTCTTCCACGAAAGAATGAAACGATCGTATGGACGCAAAATTACAAGATTAGATATCTTTTTTTTTTTTTTTTTGTAAATTGTTTTGATACGCTTCGCTATACATCGTTTTGTATATTCGATCATCAAAATTCACGCAATCTAGAAATTTTTTTTTTTTAATTTAGCAATCAAGTTTTCACTCTAGAATAAAATTCTATTATTTTCTATTGTCTCATCGTCCAATTTATGGCAAATTCTTTTATCTGTTAAATTATGTAATTTAAAAAAATTTCTTCATTTTCTTTTTTCTCTTATCACTTAAAAAAGAAAAAAAATTTTTTCTCTCTGTTTCAATTTATCGCAAAATAAATAAATGAAAAAATTTTCATAAGCTCCTTCGTTTACAGGATTAAATTACCAAGAATAATTCTTGGATCAAATTTTCTTTGAATAGTAAAAAAAAATTTTAATTGTAAAAAAGTAGAAATAAATAAAAAATACCTCTTTTTTCAAAATCGGTGACTTGATTTTTGTTCCAATTATTGGTTTTTCTTTTTGAGAAAAAAGTCTTCGTGTCTCATCTGAAAAAAAATTAATTATTATTATCTCAAAAGTAATTTTTTTTATTTTCAGCAGAGAAATGGTTCTTAAAAAATGGCAAGAGATCGGCAAGGATCGGAATATTTTGAAAATATGAGCGAAACGACGTCTTGCAGCTGTTTAACAAGTTCCGTTGAAAAGGTGCATTTTTCCCTCCCAAAAAAAAAATTTATTCAATATCACAATTAGGAAATTAGGAATTAAAAATATTATAAATAAAAAGTCAAAACAAAAAAATTAAAAAAGCGAAAGAAACAAAAAAAAACTAAACAAAAAAGCAAATAAGTTTCTAAAATCCCGACAAAATAGAAAGTTGTTTGCGTTTTTATTTTTGACCAAAGTTCTTCTTTATCTTTTTTCCTTTTAAACTTTAACGGAAAAAAGATTTTTAAAAAAATGTGTTTTATTTTCTAAATAAAAAAAAAAATGATTTAATAAAATTTTTGATTTTAGTGCTCGTTACGCAGCTGCAGTATGTTTCAAGAGCCATTCTTTCTACATCCACCGAGTACAAGGCCTCGTGATGGAATTTACATAAATCCAATGAGTGCATTTATAGAACCACAAAAAAGCAAGGAAACTGAATCATTTTATCTTCATAGTCCAAATGATCTTGTTTATACGAGGATTACACAAATATTTGGTGATACGCAAAAATCACGCAACGGAGAACGAAATATCATTCAAAGGAAAGATGAAACTTTAACAGGTAAGTGGAACGTCCCAGATATTACCTACTCCGTTAACGTTGCTTACCTGCTGCTGTTGATTCCGCTGAATGTTATTTCTCCGCGGCTTTTTAAAAGACCGACCTCAATTCACTCAATCGACATCATCATCATCATCATTCTTCTCATGCTCGATCAGGAATTATCCCTAAAAAAAAATTGCAAATAAAAATTCAAATTACTATTTTTTATTCTCTAAAATATTCAAAATAATTTATCGCTCTCAAAATTTTTATACATCCTATTTTCTACAATCAAAATAAATAATATAAAATAAATAATTTTCGATAAATAACGCTTATTTTTAAATATGAAGGAAAAAAAATCATAGTAATTGAAACAAATTTGACCTTCTTGACAAAAAACATATTTCCTGAACGAGAAAACGATTTCGCAAGAAGAAGCACATTTTGACGTCGCAATAATTTTAAAATCATTCATTAATTCACAAAATACTAGATATTAAAAAAAAATTAAGATAATTTCAAATTTTTTAAATAATAATTTGAAATTCTAAAAGAAAGAATAATAAATAAAAAATTTGATTAAAATATTTTGAATTATTTTTTTTTTTCGAACTAACAAATTTCTCGTGTCGAAAATGTTGGAGAATATTTCGCATGCACATTTCCACTTGGCTAAGTTTGCGTTTCATTATTATCCTCTACATAGATAATCTTGTCCGTATCTAAAGTAAAGCCAAACATATTTAGTTAAAGCTCAAGAAGGGAATTGAATAGGAAATAACATAACGTAGACTCTATAGAGTTTTCTCTCTCGAAACAACAAGCCAACATGATAGAGATTAAATCGCTTAACAAGTGTTTAAATAAACGATATACTAATTTATGATAAAATATACCAAACCAATTTATAATTGACATCAAATAACAAATTTATCAATTTAAAATGAAACAAAAATCAGTTATAGAAACAAAATATTTATAATATATTAAAAAATAATTTAATTTGATGGGAAAAATTATACTAAAAATAAGGAACTAGATTATTGAAAGAGAAAAATCTCTTTCTTTGAAGAAATAAAATAATTATAGCTAAAATGATTTTTTTTTCATTATTATATTAAATTTCTTTCTACGAAGAAACTATCAGTTTTCTAAATTATTAATAAATCATAATCGGAAGTGAAATTAAAATCTTTGAAAAAAGAAAAATTAATCACGATTTTTTATTCGTGACACAAGAAGTAATTAAATTGCAAAAAAAAATCATTTTCATTCTCTAATAGAAATAAGATCAAGAGAACAGTGCGTAATTAATTAGAAAGGTAGTTTCTAATTTAAAGATCCTATTTAGAAAAAAAAAAATTCATTTCCTATATTTCTGTATATTGAAATTATTTCAAAACATTTAAAAGTGAAAGTAATGAAAAAAAAATTGAAAACTATCACTGATAGAGGGGACAAAAAAATATATATAATCTTTTTTTCTTTCTCTCTCACGTGGGCACAAAAAAGTGAATGATGAGATGTAATAAATTGAATATATAATGATTACATCAAGGCGTATCGGGAAGAACATAGATATTTCTTTTTTTGAATTTTTATTGTTTCAGTGAAAGTGGACGTGCACATCAATAACGGAACCTATAAACCGATTAGTAACGGGCACTCGATAAGGTCGGACTCAATAATCAAGGACAGCAGCGAGCATGCTTATGAACAAATTTGCTTACGTCAGGAAGAAAATGATAGCGTCAGTTCTTCGTTTCAGAAAAAATTATCCGATAACACATCCGATGGCAGGTAAATTCTCTCTCTCTCTTTCTTTCTCTTTCTTTCTCCTTCCATATCGTTTGCAGAAATCGTTGCATTTTTAGAATTCTGAAAAAAATAAATATAAAATAAAAAATTTAAAATAAATTTATCTCAACAAAAAAGTATAAAATAAGAAACAAAAATGAAAATATTTATAAATAATAAAAAAACTAATGTTCTAATAGCATAAATTTTCTATTAGTTTTATATTTAAAAGGATGTTCCTTTTAAACAGAGCATGATAAATTACAAGATACCGAAGTAATTAACAATTATGTGGTAAGAAAACTATCGTATCGATATAAGTGATCGAGAAATCTTGAACCATTAAATTAAATTAACAATCATTGACCCCCCAACAAATTGAGAGAAAAATTACAAAATTAAATTATCCAATTTAGAAATAAAAATATGATCGATATTCAATTTTTAATTTAGTTATTTTATTTCATTTTCGAATCCTGGAAATGAAATATAAACTTTTTTTTTTTTTTTTGCTCAATTGCTTAATATATTGAAATAATAATTTTGTTATTTATAGAAATGATAAAAAAGACAATAAAACCAGGAACTCAAGTTTTTAGTTTATAAAACGAAATAATAAAAGATGTGTTTATAGTTTGCAAACAGAAAAAAAAAAATTAGATAATGTTGCAATACAATTATTATACCTATATATGTATGTTTCAGTCGATCTCGAAAAACTGATAGACGTTATAGTAGATCAAGCAGTGCAAGTGAATGTTCAAATATGAGTAGTGAAATTCATTGTTTCTCATCGACAACATCAACGCCATCGCTCTCGAGAAATAGTAGCAATGAAAGAATTAGCAAAAGTCCCAAAATCACAGAAATAATTTCAGGTAATAAAACTTAAAAAATCCAAAAAGTAAATCATTTCTTTTTTTTAATAAAAAATTCTTCTTCAGTGGAAAGTAATTATTTTTCTAAAATTTTAAATAGAAAATTTCTCGAATTAAAATTTTATAATAAAATTTTTTTAAAATATTTTTTAAAAACGAAATTCTCAATTATTTGAAAAATAAATTATATTGAGAATAGAAAGAATATCGATATCAATATAATAAAATGCTCTCATTTCTCTAAAATAAATTTCTACTCTTTAACTTTCTCATCCTATATCGTAAAATAATTCATCTTCTATGTTTATATCTTCAAGTATTTTTTGACACATCATCAATTTTATCAACCAGCACACAGGAAGAGAAAGTTCTATTTGTTGAAAAAGCAATCGAAGAGTGCAATTTTCTAAAAACTATATCGCGATATGAGAATTGATATATTATAATTTGCAGAGAGGAAGGACTCGATTGGCTCAAAAGTGGAAAGTGAAAAGGGAATAAAGACAATCAGTAATGGATCCAGGTAAAGTGGAACAAAATTTTTATAATATCCTTAATCCTTGAATCAAAAGCAATATTTTCGAGAAAAAAATTCCATATGTGAAAAATTATTATAAAAATAATAAATCGAATTTATTCTTCTTTCCTTTCATTTTTTGTCAAGAAATTGTTCTTATATAATTTGCAGACAAAAAAAAAAAATACAAATTCCCAAGAAGATGTTCTTGTCTGTATAAAAATATACCATTTCCGTTATACTGAATATTCTTTTCATTTTTTTTTTCACAGCGTTCTCAGGCCGCCGCCACCGCCACCACCTCCACCACCACCGGAAATGGATGAGGTTTTTGTCAGTCAAATAAAAATTTGCGATAATTTAACACGAGAGGAAAAAAAAGATGATTCAAATGGATTGGATACTAAAAGTGAAACTGGAAGTAATTCCTCCGGTAAGAAAGTTATTTTTTCATTAATTTTTAAATTAAAAAAAAAAAAAAAAAAATTATTTCTTGGAATAGCCTTGATAATATCTCGTGGACTAGAAATAATACTTAATACCCTTTTATCCTCTTGTGATTCACGAATGCTTAATCTTCATTATCACAAGATAACGTCTCACTGTATAGAAATGCATCCCTTCACTTGCACAATTGTCAATACCAAAAACAGTTATAAATATTATTCAATATTTTACAAAAAAAGTAATTAAAAAAAATCCCCATGGATCAAACTATCTCATTAAGTAAGTTATCAAATAATAAAAAAAGTTCTTGCAAAAAAAATTAAATAAATTTCCATTTTGAGATTTATAAGATAAGTTGATTGTTTAGTTAATTGGTGAGTGATAAAAAATAAAAAAAAAAAAAAAAAAAATTTAGGGTGATCACGATGACTTTTAATTGGGCCGTTAGCGAGGCGATTATGGATACGACTATTACTAGACCATATCGCTCAACAGGCATATAATATACTTACCTAGATTTCACTTGCACACCATCCTTGATTCGCATATATATATATTTAGCGTGTATTTATAATAATAATCCCCTCTCTCTTGTTTTTTTTTTCTCTCCGCGGAACAGCGACCAACAAGACCGATGCATCCTGCGAACAAGCGGAAGTCAATTCTGCCAGTCCACCGGTAGATATCGAAGAAATTAAAACATCACAGGTGTCACATCTCGTCAATAAACACATGGTACTGCCCTTTATTCCGCCAACATTTACAAATGCCGCTGATTCCAATACTCTTCTAAAGCCTTCCGAATATCTCAAAAGTATTTGTAAAGTGCCTCAAAAAAAGAGCCTCTCCAAAGCAAGGTCAGTGATCCATCATCTGAAAACATTTATTTATTTTAGATTTTTAATATTTTTTTTAACAGTTTAGAAATTTTATTATATAATTTTTAAAGTAATTATTTTTCCCATTAACAGTAAAATTTAAAAATTTAAAAATTTAAAGTAAACAAATTATTTTCTTTAAAAGGGAAAAATAATAAATAATAAAATGTGTTCAATTAGATCCGTGGACAATTTGGATATTCAGAGTAGATCAAGCGACGAGGAAGAGCAGAAAACCGAGGAGGACACGAGTCCTCCTCCGGGACCACCGCCTCCTCCAGCTTTACCTTCTTCATTGCCGAAAATTCAGGGGAGTCAATGTTCCTCAACAACATCTGAAATTGAATCATCAAAGCCACTTCAACCCCTTGCCACTATTAGCATTCATGATTTAACAAGCGTTCAACTCAGGAGGACTAATATTAAAATGCACGCATCGAAAACATTTTCAGCGCCTCCACCTCGAAGTGTATCCATGACAAATGGTATACTATTATTTTATATAAATAATAATAAAATATTATTAAACATTTTTAATTATAATAAAATTATAATTATAAATAATAATTAATGAATATTTTATTACAATAAAACATATTTTAATTTTCACAATTTAAATTAGTCAACCATTTTTTTTAAATAGTAAATAATAATAATAACTCACTTTTTTTCCCTTTTTAGTATCCGAACCGTTTTTCGTTCAGAAAACCGACTTGATAGCAGAACTGAAACAAACAAAAGACATTCCAGGAATTAAGAAATTAAAAGTAGAAAGAGCACAGGTTGAAAAATCACAAGAGCAAAATTTAATTTCCGAAATTAATAAAGCATTTAGCGTGACAAATTTTGTTGAACAGGTAAATTAATATAAAATAATTTTTTTTTTTGTAAAATTTAAAAATTCTTTAGAAAATTTTGAAATAAATTCGTTATTTTTTCAGATTCCAGAAAAGGATAGTTCGGGAAATATAATACCAATTTGGAAACGACAAATGCTAGCGAGAAAAGCTGCGGAAAAAGCGAAAAAAGAACTTGAGGAGCAAATTGCACGTGAAAATGAAGAGAGACGACAAAAAGCCATACCACCTTGGAAAAGACAATTACTTGCTAAAAAAGACAACGAGGATAAAAAGTAAGGAAAAAGAAAATTTTTTTTTCAACTATAGTAATATTTACTAATTTAAAAATTCTTTTATTAGATATCACTATCAACCGCAGACTGCATCAACTGGTTCTTCAACATTAAAAATTGAAATAACACCAGCGGCGCAAAGGGATACAACAGCGACATTACAATTAAAACCAAAAGAAATAAAAATTGAAAAAGTAGATAAATTAGAAAAAATAGAAAAAGAAGAGAAACGAATTGAAACAAATTATGATTCAGATGAAGGACAAATAATTCCATGGAGAGCTCAATTACGAAAAACGAATAGTAAATTAAATATTCTCGACTGACAATAAGGACTTATTAAAAAAAAAAATAATAATAATAATAATAAAAGAAAACAGTCTGAATTTGACGAAACTTTGAACTATGTATGGCATTGTTGGATGACGATAATTTATATTTAAAAAATGAAATTAGATATAATAGCAAAGACTTATTTTCCTTCTAAATCAAATACGAGTGTGTACAATTTGAAATTTTTCAGTCTAACTGATTAATTAAATTGTCGACAGGAACAAATTTTAATTTTAATGAATTGAAATATTTTTGTAAAAATGTTTAAAATGTAATTTAATTACATTTTAATTTAAGTATTATTAATATTTTTTTTTAAAACCATGAAAAGCTGTGTTGACTTTTTTTTTTTAATGAATTGTGAATTTCATTGTAATAATTAAGTTTGCAATATGTACATAATGCTAATTAAAATTGTTTATGTTTCAAAAAAAAAAAGTCAATTTTTTATAATCCTTCCTCTAGTTTTGATTAATTAACTTAAATTAAAAAGATTTTCAAATTTGTTGAAAACGAAAAAAATTTTGAAAAATGATCGAAAAAACTTACGTTCATTCGTTATTAATATGTCAATTATTTTCCAAACACTTCCACAGATTATTTCTAGCCGTCAACTATACTTTGCATTTACTGGATAAACTGTAGATTAAAAAATTAAATTAACTTTCAATTAAAAATGAAATACAAAAAAAAAAAGGAAAATTGAAACACACCTGATAAAAAATAAATTTTCTCAAGCCAATCTCTCATTCGAATTGTCTTTTTTGGTTTTCTTCTACTTCGTTAAACTTACCTGTAAAATAATAAAAAAAAAATGAATAATAAAAGTGTAATATAAATATTGATGAATAAGTACAATTTTTTTTTTTTTTGTATCAAAACTGAAGTCTTGAGTTTTAATTTATTAGAATAGTATATAAACGATCTATATACAAATTAAACCTTCGACATATTTAATTAAATATATGTCAAAATTGAAGATAGTCTGTAGAAAATAATTTAAATATCCTTCCCTTTTTTTTCTTTCCTAATATTAATCTTTTGCCTATTTTTTCTCCTTTCGCTTCTTCTTCTTGCTTTTGTCTTTATTCTTTTTTTCCTCCTCCTCCTTTTCCTTTCGCTTTTTCTTTTGCTTCTTATCTTTAATCTCTTCTTTTCTTCTTTTAGCTTTATTCTCGCGCTTTTTACTCAACTTTTTTTTTCTTTTTTTATCCTCAGAAGAATCTGAAACTGTTTTTAAATTAATATATGAAATAAAAAAAAAGGTAACGATTTGTAAATATTGAAATTGAATATTAAAATATAAAGAAAATGTTTTTACCACCAGAATCTGAACTATCAGAAGATGAACTGCTTGACGAACTACTGGAACTAGATGAAGACGAAGATGAAGATGAACTCTCCGAACTAGATTTTTCCTCCAAAGCAATTTGCGGAGCAGGTACAATTTTCGGACGAGATTCCAAATGTTCCCGAAGATCATCTCTAAAAAAAAAAAAAAAAAATTGAAATACATTTGAAAAACTTGAATTTAGAATTAAAAAAATAAATTCTCTAAACCTACGTTAATCCTCCTAATCCAATTGTTGTAAAGAAATTAATAGCAAATCTTGTATTCCTGGGATCATCCCTTGGAAAAAGTCCCGAAAATGCTTCGTGTAAAGTTCTGCAAATAAAACAATGATTTAATACAATTGTTTATTATAAATTATTGTTATAAATTAAATTTCCTTTATTTCCCACTTACGCGTCTTTAAGTCTTTCATTTAATTTAGCAAGTGACATATCCTCCGACAATTTTTGAAATAAAATCTTAATAAACACACGTCCAGAACTATTGGTATCGTTCTCATTTAATTTAATACAAGACATCGCTTCCCATGATATTGAATCTGTGCAAAAGAGATGGGCAAAAAAATTGGCAACATTACGCAATTTATTTGTATCCAAACGATAAATTGTATCGTAAGAATCGCGGAAAATTTGTTCAAATGGCGTCACATAGATTTGCTTAATAGCACAAAATCGCTGTAAAAAAAAAGAAAAAACCGAATTAAAACATTTGACAAAAAAAAAAATTAAAACCAAATAAATTTGTAAAATAACTTACTCCTGCTAGAAGGCCAAAAAATTTTTCATATGTTCTATTTTCAGCACAACAATCAAGTATCATATGACACAATTCAACTTCCTGTCCGGGTTTTAATTCCATTTTAAGAAGTTTGTGAGCGCATTCTTCAAAATCAAGTGACGAATGAATTGTCAAATAAATTGTTCTTCGTAGGGCTTTTAAATTTGTTTCCGTATTATCTATAATTACACCCTGTTTTCCTTCCTCTGAAACAATTTTCATTATAAAAAAATAAAACGAAATTAAAAATTTCAAACTTCTTTGATTATTTCTCTATTTACCTTCTTCGTTACTTTCATCTTCACTTTCCTCTTCATCTCCATCCTCCTCAGATCCACTACTATCCGTATCCAAAATTTCTTTAATCAAATTTCTATATTTCTCTTCACTAGTAACATAATCCGAATCCAATTTAAATACATCTGTTGAAATTAAAAAATTAAATAAAATATATAAAAATTAATATCAATGAAAATAAAAATATTTTTTTTTTTACTTAATATATCCTGAGAGTCGATTGTATCCTCAAATTCCAAAAAATGTGTTATTTGATCTTCATCTTCAACAAGATCAAGACCATCGGGTACGGCTTCATGATCTTTAAAACCATCTTTACGAATTTGAAACATAACTTCAATCATATATTGTACTCGTTTATCTAAAGTACCCTCATGTAAAATTGATCTCAATGATGTAAAAATACATTCAATTCCTTTTTTTGATGTTTGCGTTAATTTCATTCCACATTCTTTTAAAACAGCAATTGCAATTTCAATTGAATCATCAGTTGGATTTTCCGTAAGTAACATTAGTATTTCCAATACAAGAAGATCGTGTACAACACCTTGATTAACTAAATGTGAAATAAATGTACCCGATGATATACAAATTGCTTTATCATTACGACGATAGCCACGTTTAAATTGATTTAAAAGACGTTTTAATATTAATTCACCAACATCTGGAAACTGTTGATAAAAAATAAAATAAACAATTTTATAATTAAATTAAAAATATATAATTAAAAATAATTTTGCAAAAAATTTACCTTTGAATTTATAACAGACGTGAGTGCAGCATAAACAGAGGTAAATGTTGGCGATGCAGATTGTGCTTGAATAATTGAACGACTCAATAAACCTCGTCCACGAACAATATTTTCTTTTAAAAGTTCCCTAACAATTATACCAATATTACTTGTATTTACTTTATTAATATGTCCATGAATTGATTTTTTAAGGGCTTCCCAAGCAATTCGTTGATAAGCCGCTCCAGATTTATCAGATATTTCTTGTTGCATTAATTTAAGTCTCGCCGGTGGAATATATGCACCTCCTGTTCTTGTTGTAAGAACATCGATATTTCTCTTTCGTGATGGATGAATCTCGGGTTTGTTTGTTGCTAGAAAACAAAAACAAAAACATTTAAAAAAAAATTATTAGCTTTTTATTGCTAAATAAATCGAATATACTTACGTGGTTCATTCTCCTTTCTTTTCTCTTCTGTTTTATTTTGTTTTCGTTTACCACCATAAAAACGTTCACCAACTTCTACTTCATCATCGGATTCAAATCGATCTCTAAATTTACCCTCATTTTTATCACTTGTATCCCAATATCTTCGGAGATTTCTACGTTCATCATCATCATCTCTTCTTCTATAAGAATCTCTTTCATAGCTTCTTTCTCTTCTATAAGAATTCCTATCATCTCGTCTTTGATAATAATTTCTTTCGTCCCTTCTTCTTTCTCTTCTATCAAATTCAGGACTTCGTCTTCTTCTTTTATTTGAATCTTTATAATCTCCTCCTCGTTTTCTATCATTTTTACGTGAATCATCTCGTTTTTTATTATTATCCGAATCACTTGAATTTTCATTTTTTGGTGAAACACGATCACGTTTTCTTTTCTCTTCTGTATCACTCATTTTTTTTTTTTTCTTAATTCGAAAATTAATAAACAATTTCTCCTAAATATAAATTATTTTCACAAATAACATAATTTGCAAAAAACTAAATGTTTGTCACAAAAAAATAAACGTTGCAGATTGTCGCAAGATGCCAATATTTTTGTAGGTTATAATGATGACGTCACAGTCAACAATAAGTGCGCATGCTCCGAAAATTGGAGCGTTTTTTAAAAATAAGATTATTTCCAAAATAATTAACTTAATGTAAACATATATTAATAATTATCATTTGCTAAAATTTTAATTACTTTTCTACTGTTTCTATATTTTTCACTGATATTTGTTTTTAATTTTTTTGATGAGGAATGCGACTAGCTCGTTGTTGTCGCCAAAATTCTTGTCTCGATTTTAAAAAAGAAATTCCCTCCTCTGCATGAATTATAATATGATTTGCAGATTCCTGATTTGCTGCTTTAATATCTGTAATTGTTAAATTAATTTAAAGCACGAGTTGCGTTATTTAAAAAAAAAAAAATATTAAGTAAACATGAAAATAGCAGTCATCATTTATTTCATTTCGTTTATTATTTGACATTAAAATTATTATTTAAATAATTTAAACGCCTGTTGAATTTCTTCATATAAATAATCAAATTCTTCAATAATTCTATCTTCGCCATCTTTCATTGGATCTAAAAATTTCATATTACTCAATTTATAAATAATTTCACTCATTCTTTCTCTAATAATTCGCCATGTTATTTTTCTTTCCATTGTTTCCTTAGATAAATCATAAAATAATATAATATTTCTCAACATTCGAAATGTCTTATAAAAAGGACAAAATTGATCATATTGAGAATATCCATTTTGTTGGAGAAAATCTTCTTTTATAATTTTACTAATTTCAAGAATTAATTTATCAATATCTGAAAGTGATGCACTTCCCACTAAATGTAAAATATCATTTAATTCCTCTTCCTCTTGTAAAAGTTTCAATGTTTTTGTTCGTAATTGTTGAAAACCAGGAAAATTTGTTTGATAAAAATTATCCAATGATTTTAAATATTTACTATAGCTTACAAGCCAATTAACAGCTGGAAAATGTTTTCGTTGTGCCAATTTTTTATCAAGTCCCCAAAATACATGAACAATATTTAATGTTGCACTTGTTACTGGATCAGAAAAATCACCACCTGGAGGTGAAACAGCACCGATAATACTCACCGAACCTTGTCTCATTGGATTACCAAGACATTTTATTTTTCCTGCACGTTCATAAAAATTTGCTAATCTTGCACCAAGATAAGCTGGATAACCAGAATCAGCTGGCATTTCACCTAAACGACCACTAATTTCACGAAGTGCTTCAGCCCATCTTGATGTTGAATCTGCCATCATTGATACATTATAGCCCATATCGCGAAAATATTCCGAAAGCGTAATTCCCGTGTAGATTGATGCTTCACGTGCCGCAACTGGCATATTTGATGTATTTGCCACTAGAATTGTTCTCTTCATTATTGATTCTCTTTTCCCTAAATGAATAAAATAAATTAAAAATTGTTTTTTCTAAATACCTCATTAAAAATTACCATTAATTTCCACTGCAAGATCTGGAAAATCTCTAAGTACTTCTGACATTTCATTTCCACGTTCACCGCAACCGACATAAACAATTATATCCGAATTTGAATATTTCGAAAGAGCCTATTATTTAAAAAAAAAGGTTCCATCAACAGCAATTTTTGAAAAAAAAAAATTTAAGAACACCCTGAGTCAAGTAAAAAGATTTAATAACCTGAGAAATAATTGTTTTCCCACATCCAAAAGCACCAGGTACTGTCGTTGTTCCCCCCTGAACACAAGGAAATAGCGCATCCAAAATTCTTTGTCCAGTTAATAATGGATAATTTGCTTGCAATTTTTCCCTAAATGGTCGCGCATGTCTAACAGGCCACAATTGCATCATTGAATAACAATGAGTTTTCTCCTCATATTCTGTTTCTAAAATAATTTCATTAACATTATAATTTCCCCTTGGTGCTAAATATTTAATTTTTCCCCGACATTTTGGTGGCATCATTATACGATGTTTTAACAATGAATTTTCATAAACTATTCCATAGACATCGCCATCATTGAGAATATGTCCTTTTTTAAAACAAAATGGTGAAAATTCCCAATTTGTTGATTGACATAATGAAAATGAATTTCTTCCTTTTGGTATAAAAATTGTTGTTGGATGATTGTTCATATTTTTTAATGGTCGTTGAATACCATCAAAAATACTGCCTAAAATTCCTGGTCCAAGTTCAACGGAAAGTGGTCTTCCACTACGTCTAACTGGATCGCCAACTGTTAATCCACTTGTGTCTTCATAAACTTGAACTGTTACCGTTTCTCCATTAAGACGAATTATTTCGCCAATTAAATTTTCAAATCCAATAAATACTAATTCATACATTGCCGAGCCTAACATATTATCGACAATAACAACTGGACCCGAAACACCATAAACGTAACCCAATTCCGATTCTTTTTCATCGTCAAATTGTAAAGAAGTATTAAATCTTTGAATATCGCACATTTTTTCATTCCTGAATTTTTAGAAGGGTTATGACAACTTGATGAGTTTTTGTTTTAATGAAAAAAAAAAAAAAATAGCAAAACTAACCTGGACATTTCAGAAGATTTTGTAAATATTTCTTATCAACGTTAAGTTGTCCAAGAAGATTGGGTTCTGAATTTCTGATTTTCGAAGTCTGTGGACGTATTCGTTTTGATGATTCCTTTTCAGATATTTCCTGTTTAGATGAATTACTTTCAGCGAATGATGTTTTTGATGATGAAATACAAGTTTTTGGTCTCGAGCATTTTTGAGAAGTTTCTAATTCTAATTGACTTTTTCCCGGATGTGGTATGACTGTATCTATATAATTTACAATATTTTAATATTAACAAAAATATTTTAAAATTATTTAATAATAAATTTTAACTCACTGCCGAGAATATTTTGAATTGCCTCCTTTGCTTTTTGCACGCCAAGACGAAATTGATCAAATTCGGGTCGAATTCTCATTCCTCGATAATAAAATACAAGACTTAGTTCAAAATCTCCAAGATGATAGAGAGCCTCTGCTTTATAGTAAATTGCTCTTGCATTTTTAGGATCCTTTAATTTTCCCCGAATAGCTGCTTCGGCGTCCTGTAAAGCTTTCTGCGGTTCTCCAAGTAAAAGGTAACACTTGCTTCGTGCAATTAAAGCATTCTTATCATTTGGACTGAGTTCCAGAGCCTAAAAACAAAAACAAAATATTAATTGCCATTACGTGACTGTGCTCCATGAATTTTTCCTGATCAAAAAGATTATATAATTATTCCTAAAAAAAAAAATCTGTTCTATAGTAGTGAATAATAAAAAAGAAATTAATAACTTTCGATGGAATTAAATCGTTTTACCATTTCTTTTTTAATTATAAATTTTTTAATGAGCATTGCGTTATTTTAACTCATTAAAAAGTTTTCGCAATAGTTATTATTGAAGTTTACGATGTGGTTTAGTATTTTTGTTAATGATATATTAGAATTGTCTCAACCCCCTTTTTCTTTTTTGCTATACTACCCTGTTTTACAATATTCGAGACAGGCAGTGTCACTGTCCCGAGATAAACAAACCAAGCTTTCTTTTATAATCACGATATATTGAGCGATTTGATTTTAAATTTAAGAGGTCTCAAATTACATCACGCATATACTTTTTTTTGTCAATTTCGTGAAATTAATTCTTTTTCAATTTTGAAACAAAATTTTCTTAAAATAATAACACTGGAGGAATATAAAAAATAAAAATTGAAATTATTATTAATTTTTATGAAAATAATTTTTGATAAACCTTATGTATACAATTAAGTGCAATATTAAGATTTCCACATCTCATTTCACGATTTCCAAGTGCCAACATTGCACTTGGTTCAGCCTCCTCGGGTATTTGTAAATCTCTGCTACGATCTTGTCGTCTTTTCATTTTTAATGATTGTTTTATATCACGACTACCCATATTAACAGCGGCTGCACGATCTTTATCGGTATAAATTTCCTCCTGACGATATGTAACATCACTTCTTCTTCTGCGACGTTTTTTCTTTGATTTTTCCAATTCTAATTGATTATTCACTGATTCTTTTGAAAATCTCACACTTGATCTTCTTCCTTTATCTCTACCATCAATTCCACCACTTCTTGGTGGTGCTAAATTTATACCCAATTTTGTAATATCTCTTTTATCATCACCCAATGTATATTTTGCATTTGAACTATCCTCTAATCCAATACGCACAAAACTTTGCAAAAAATCATTATCCTGAAGTGTTGATTTTAATATTCCCGAAACTTGTGCACCAACAGCATCAGTTTTTAATGTTCCATCTTGTGAATTTTGAATTGAATCATTTTGTGTTTCATCATCAGCCATGTTGGATGATTTTTTTTTCAAATTAATTGTTATTAAAATAATTTTTTGTCGATTTTTTTAAAAAATTAAAATAATTCAAAATTGATAAACTTTTAAAGATTTTTTCAATTAGATAAAAAAAAAATTCAGACGTGAGAAAATTTTCACATTTACTAGAATGTATATCGACACCTTCCAGGAAGACTTTTGTTACCTTAGAAACAGACAACAAAGTGGTATATCTAACACCTTGGCTGCCAACGCTGACACCTTTTGAATCTTCGTAAATATTACACTACTTTTGAAAAAATTTCATCAATCAGAAAAAAAAGTTTATAACATTTATTAAAATTATCTTATTTTATTTTCAAATTCTAATTTTTGGATTAATTAAATTCAAATTTTTTTTTAATAATTAGAACTATAATACAATTGACTCATTTGAAATTATTTCAATTATTGTTAAACTTTTTTATTTTCAAAAAATATTTATTATATCGCGTGTAACTTTATTTTTTTGATTGTTATCACTGCGATTTTTTTTATTGGAAAATTTCAAATATTGCAATTTTCGTTTCGTAGAAAAATAAATTACAGGTTGCCGGAAGTCATAAGGAAAGGTACTATTATAGTGTAATAGTTATTCCGAGAAAAGTTAATTTTTTAAAAAAATTTCTATTATTTTCTTATTTTGATTCTATAGTTGAATAAATATATATTCGTGATTTTGTTTTGTAAATTATTAAATTAAAAAGTTATTAAAGTTACTAATTTATATTGTAATCACAAAGTATAAATATATTAAGAAAATAATTTTAAAATAACATTTCGTTTTTAAAAACAACTAGAATTTTTGTCTATTGTCATATTCTTTTCATTTTCAATTAAAAAAATAAAGAAAACACATTGTATTTTAATATTAAAAAAAAATCAAATTACCTGATTATATAAAACAATTGCTTTTGTAAACATTCCATTTTTAATATGTCCAGCTGCTTCGTCGACACGTAATTTTGCTGCCACTGAAATTGAATGTGGTTTTCGATCTAAGTTTAATTTTCCTTTTCGACGAGTATTTTTCATTCTGAAATTCAAAAAAAAATTTAAAAAAATACATTATCAAATTATTATTATTCTGCATTTGTTTAGAACACTTTTTTGAAAAAAAAATCTGAAAACATTTTTTTTAAATTTTATTTAACTATACATAAAGGAAAAGAATTTCTATTACTATATAAATTCTCAATTAAAATAGATATACTAATAAAATAAAAAATCAAAATTTATTTTATCTTGCGCAAACAATGCAACTAACTTCCAAAACAAAAAGAGAGAAACTCTGCAACAACCTTTTGCGGCGCAAGCTCAAGATTTACTGACTATATATTTTAAAGAAGTTCTACAATATTGCATGTATCATACTAATTAAGGACTAATTCCATTTCATGTATATAATACAATTAATGTCAACATTCTTTATATATTAAATAATTTATTATAAAAATTCAATTCTAAAACTTTTTCAATTAATTTTTATACGTGATAAAAAATTTGTATCTCTAGCATAAAATATAATGTCAATAACGAAATTTATATTTTATCATTTAACAAAATTTAAAATTAAAATCATTAATAATAATTACAATATTATGACTAATAAATAATAAAATTTTGTTTAATGAAATCAATGAAATTAAATATAACCTAAAATATATGAACAACAAACTTTCTTTTCATTTATTATATATTTTTTTTTATAATTAAATATTATTACTCACCATTTTTTCATGAATATTTTTTGAATAATCCAATAAAATATTTCCTTAATATTAAAATTCGATTTCATAATTTTAGTCTTATTATTTTCAAATATGTAAACACGTGCTACGTCGTCTGCTTTAAGAAAACCACCACTAGAGTCATAATAATGTCATTTCCGTTTACTTATTTCCTCCCTCAATCATCAACAATTGTAACCAATGAAATATTTCGCGCCAAATTTCAGTCCTTCATCTTATTGGCTGCCGTCATCCAAGACAAAAATTTTCTGTAATCAAAACAATTCCATTTAATCTCAAAAAAAATAAAAAATACTTATTTTATAAATATACAATGTTAATATCATTTCAGTTATGATTATTGATCTATTATAATTAAAAATAATTTCTTTAAATATTGTAAATAATTTTTATGAATTTAAAGAACACTTTTGCGCAACAACCACGACGCCATGTTTTTGTATTAAAAAAATTTCTTTCCCTGACTGTACTTTTTATTATTTGTTTTCAAAAAATATGTAATTATCTTAGAAAAATTATAAACAATTCAAAAGAATGTGTTTTATTTGAAAAATTAAATGAAAAATTAATTTTTTTTTCTTTTTTTTTTTGAAAAAAAACTCGAATGTCAGAAAATATCGATAGGTATCGATGAAGGCATCATCGGTTACATACACAAACACAAGTACGCAGTGTGGAATTATTCGTTCACAATGGCGGAAGATCATAGTCAGTTTCAACAACTCTTAAACACACTCCTAAGTACTGATAATGATGTTCGAACACAAGCAGAGGTATGTTAATTTGTTAATGAATTTTTTATCATCAATTTAATACAATTAGCAATGAAAAATCATGATTTATTAACGTTTATTAATTACTCATATTCGTTGAACACGTTGCCAACGTGTTTGTCATGTCGGTCTACCTCGTGTTTTTCATATTCATTTGTAATTCACTATTCATAAGGTTTCTATATTTAATTTAAATATTATCAACAGTCATTAATAATTACATGGTTGACATTTAATATTTCGTGATTAAAATTTGACAGGTGTTGAATTTCTGAAAGTGAATTATCAAAATGGTGTCGCACGAAAGCACGCGCCCCGCCAAACTTTATGCTTTTTTTTTTCATTGACATGTCTTGTTGTAAAATTGGTTACAAATAATTTAATTTTTCTAATTTTTTTTATTTCTTCATTAAAACATGATTTTTCAGAAGGAAAATGGCAAATTTTTGTAAACTTAATTTTACATAGAGAAGACTTTAATTGATATTAAATATTTAATGATCTATTGCTTTTCTTAGAAAAAAAAAAATGCTTTTGCCGCCTTCCTGCGTCTAATCTTCGAATTCTGTTATCTTTGATGATTATATAAAAATAAAACCGGTTTTTTTTTTTTTTCGAAAAAAATAATTATTAAAAATGAGGTTAGATTGACGAAGACAAGAGAATACGGTTTTTTTTAAAATTTTATATATTTTTATTGATGATAATTGGTAATTTCCATATGGATTAATTTTTTCGGTAAATCTAATTTCAAGGAATATTTAAAGCACGTTGCATTGTTATATGAATTGATTACATAAAAGTATCATGAGATGAATCACGCTTTAGAGGGAATTTTTTTTTTTCTGTTCATTTTCTGGCAGTATTTAAAATTACTATTATTATAAAAATTAGAAGTTTAAAAACTTGTACAAGTTTCTATTTTTAAATTTCTTTTTTTTTTTTTTAAATAATTTTTTTCTGTAATAAATTTTTAATTCGTTATTTCCGGAATTGTAAATAAGAAATTGTCTCTATTTTCAGGAAGCATACAAGAATATTCCCTTGGAAAATAAAGTTGACTTTCTCGTGAGCTTTATTTGTAATACTTCTTATGTTGAAGATCTACGATCAATGGCCGCAGTTTTACTGCGCCGGTTATTTTCATCGGAATTTATGGAATTTTATCCTAAGGTATAAAAATAGAAAATAAAAGATTTGATTTTTGGAATTTCATTGGATGAAATAAATTTCTTTTTTTTTTTTTTTCTATTAGATTCCACCTGAAGGACAAGCTCAACTTAAAGAACAAATTCTTTTGGCGGTACAAAATGAACAGAGCGATAAAAATCGTCGAAAAGTATGTGAAGTTGTTGCGGAAGTTGCACGTAATTTAATTGACGAAGATGGTAATAATCAATGGCCAGAATTCCTTCAATTTTTATTTCAATGCGCGAATGGACCAGTGCCAGAACTTAAGGAAAGTGCTCTTCGAATGTTTACGTAAGTTTTAATAATTACGCCAATAAAAAATATTTGATTTTTTTGTAATTATTTTTCTAAATTTACATCACAGATCAGTTCCCGGTGTTTTTGGCAATCAACAAGCACATTATCTTGAATTAATTAAACAAATGCTGCAACAATCAGTTATGGATACTGCGAACTATGAGGTAATTTTTTTTGATAGAGTTTTTTTTTCCTTTTGGGAGATAGATACACGAGAATTTAATTAATCTCGTCACGGATTCTCCCTAAATTAAAAAAAGCCTTCTGATGACTGTAAATTGTAAAGAATTAGTTTACAGACAGATACGAGGCTTACATTTAAAAAAATGTTTTTATTTCAATTTTTAAGATGAAAAAATTTGTCCTAGGTTCGATTTCAAGCAGTAAGAGCAATAGGCGCATTTATAATGCTTCACGATAAGGAAACAAATATACAGAAACATTTTTCTGTATTATTACCAGCAATTGTTCAAGTGACGGCACAATCAGTTGAAAAACAGGAAGATGAAGCATTGCTTAAAGTTTTAATTGATTTGGCAGAATCAACGCCAAGATTTTTAAGACCACAATTAGAAAATATAATGGAAATGTGTATGAAAATATTTTCAAATGAAGAAATGGGAAATTCATGGCGACAATTGGCACTTGAAGTTTTAGTAACACTCGCTGAAACAGCACCGGCAATGGTGCGTAAAATTGGTGGTAAATATATTGAAACACTTGTTCCATTAGTGTTGAAAATGATGACTGATCTTGAAGATGATGACGAATGGAGTTTTGCCGATGAGATTATTGAAGAAGATAACGATAGCAATAATGTTGTTGCTGAAAGTGCTTTAGATAGATTGGCATGTGGTCTTGGTGGAAAGACAATGTTACATCATATTGTACAAAATATTCCAACAATGTTGAATAATCCTGATTGGAAGTATAGGTAATTTATTTTTATTGATTATAATGTTTTTGAAGAATTTGCCATAGAAAGTCAGCAATTAGATTTGAATTTTAAATTTAAAGGCGTTACATCTATGGTAGAGAAATTGATGAATTTTACCTTATTTTTTTTACTGTTGTTTTAACAGTTTAAAATTTGGGAAGTTGGTCGAAATGTTCCAAGAGTTGTTTACAATTTACTCTGTGAAATTGTTTTTATGAATTAGGAACAAACAATTATTTTTTTTTGAAGAACTGTTTTTAAAATTGAAGTAAAAGCGAAATATTAAGATTATTAAAATTACAGACACGCTGCATTGATGGCAATTTCCGCCGTTGGAGAGGGTTGTCATAAGCAGATGAAAGAAATTTTAAAGGAAATCATGGATGGAGTTGTGAATTTCTTACAAGATTCAGTGAGTATAAAAAAAAATTATAATTATTTTCCCCCTTTTTAATTTAAATTAAATGAAATTTCCGGTTAAATAAATTTCTGTTTAATAGAAACAGAATAGAAAAAAAAAATATCCCTTGGCCACGAATCGAGTCAGCGGTCGAATTCATTGAGATTCTGAAAGCGTTACGTTTGTGGCAGATTAAACCGATGGAATAAGTCTCTATTCGAATCGTCGTTTTGACGATTTGATTTTTTGAGACTCTCCTTGAGGAAGTTCCTGAGAGTTGAATGTATCATTATGATACAATCATAGTTTTGGAACATACAATTTATTTTGTAATTTTAAAATTTTGATTTTAAAATTTTAATTTTAAATTATTTTCAAAGAGGGAAATTTTATTATAAAATTTTAATTTTTCCAGCATCCACGTGTAAGATATGCAGCATGTAATGCAGTGGGACAAATGTCAACTGATTTTGCGCCAACTTTTGAAAGAAATTTTCACGAAAAAGTTATACCAGGATTATTAATGGTGCTTGATGATAATGCAAATCCACGTGTACAAGCTCACGCTGGCGCTGCACTTGTTAATTTTAGCGAAGATTGTCCTAAACATGTTTTACTTCCATATTTAGATGGAATAATGGGCAAATTAGAATCGATATTGACTGCCAAATTTCAAGAATTGGTTGAAAGGGGAACAAAACTTGTTTTGGAGCAGGTTAATTATTATTTTTTATATAGCATTAATAATTGGAATTTTCGTTAAAAAATTTATAAAAATTCTTTTCTTTAAAGGTTGTAACGACAATTGCCTCGGTAGCTGATACATGTGAGGAGCAATTTGTTAAATATTACGATAGATTGATGCCATGTTTGAAATATATTATTCAAAATGCAAATCAACAAGAGCATAAAATGCTTCGCGGAAAGACAATCGAATGTGTGAGTCTTATTGGTTTGGCTGTTGGATCTGAGAAGGTAAACAAATTTTTAAAAAAGGGAACTTTATCATTAACATTTTGATTTTGTAATTTATTTTTCTTTTCAGTTTATTTCCGATGCCAGTGAGGTGATGGATATGCTTTTGAAAACCCATTCCGAGGGTAATTTATCCGATGATGATCCACAGACAAGTTATTTAATATCAGCGTGGGCGAGAATTTGTAAAATTCTCGGTAAACAATTTGAACAATATTTACCATTGGTTATGGGGCCAGTATTACGTACAGCTGCAATGAAACCTGAAGTTGCGTTGTTAGACAATGAAGATATGGAAGGAGTTGAGGGCGATCTTGATTGGCAATTCATTTCTCTTGGAGAACAACAGAACTTTGGTATTAAAACTGCTGGTTTAGAAGATAAGGCATCGGCATGTGAAATGCTTGTATGTTATGCACGTGAATTGAAGGAAGGTTTTGTAAATTATGCCGAGGAAGTTGTGAGTCTAATGGTGCCTATGTTAAAATTCTATTTTCACGATGGTGTAAGAACAGCAGCTGCTGAAAGTCTACCATGTTTACTTGATTGTGCAAAAATAAAAGGTCCACAATATTTACAAGGAATGTGGGCATATATTTGTCCTGAATTATTAAAGGCTATTGAATCGGAGCCGGAATCAGAAGTTTTATTGGAATTACTTTGTTCATTGGCTAAATGTATTGAGACATTGGGTGCTGGTTGTTTGGATACACAACCAATGGCGGAACTATTGAGAATATTGGATAAACTTCTTAATGAACATTTTGAAAGGGCTGTACAAAGATTGGAAAAACGAAAAGATGAAGATTATGATGAGGTGGTTGAAGAACAATTGGCTGATGAGGATAATGATGATCTTTATACATTGACGAAAATATCGGAAATTTTACATGCACTATTTGTAACACATAAATCAACATTTTTCCCATTTTTCGATCAAATTTGTGGACATTTTGTTAAATTATTAGCACCTGAACGTTCATGGTCGGATCATCAATGGGCATTATGTGTATTTGATGATGTCATTGAATTTGGTGGGCCTGATTGTGTGAAATATCAGGAATTTTTCTTGAGACCAATGATTCAATATATAACGGATGAATCGGCTGAAGTTAGACAAGCAGCGGCTTATGGTTGTGGAGTATTGGGACAATTTGGTGGTGAGGCATTTGCGCAAGCTTGCGCTGAAGCATTGCCAAGATTGGTGGAAGTGATTAATAAACCGAAATCGAGAGCACCGGAAAATGTTAATCCAACGGAAAATGCAATATCGGCGATAACGAAAATTCTTAAATATAATAATTCGTCGATTAATGTGGATGAGATGCTGCCACATTGGTAAGAGAATTAAAATGAAATTTTCTAAATTATGAAGAATAAAAAAAATTTAATTTGGTTTTTTGTTTTTTGATAGGCTTTCATGGTTGCCAGTTGTGGAGGATGAAGATGAGGCACCTCATGTTTATGGATATTTATGTGACTTGATAGAAGCAAATCATCCTGTAGTTTTAGGCATTAACAATGCAAATTTACCAAGATTAATTAGCTTCTTTGCGGAAGCACTACACAAAGATGTGGTACCAACTACGAGTCCGGTGATGCCGAGGATAATCAGTATCGTTAGGCAAATTCAAGTAAGTTACTAATTAATTTAATTATAATTAGTCATTAAAATTAAATGATCATTTTAATTTTTACAGAGCAACGAAACAATGTTCCAAGCATGTATAAATTCATTGACGACAGACCAACAACATGCACTTCACGAGGCACTCAGTGGACAAGCAACTAATTAACTTTTTTTCTAAATGACATAATTTTCAAAAAAAAAAAAAAAAAAAAACCCTGAGATAAAGGATCACAGATAACTTCATAGAGGTAGCTAGAATGTACCTAATTCGTTTAATTTGTCTCAGCCTAAAAAAAAAACACACAACAGGTGCATTCGTCTGTTTTTTGCTTACTCGCTGTTATTGTTAATATTTTTCAACTAAAGATTTCCTATAATAAATCCCCCGAAGAATGAAATCAAGAATGTTATAATGCTCGAAGAAAAAAAAAATGTAAATTGTGAATTCGCATACACTAAATTATACATAGTTCCAGTTTCGTCAGTATAAATGTAAAATATAAATGAAATCGAGTCTGTGGCTCACACTAACGAAACTAGGATCTTATTTTTTTTCCACATTTTTTATTTTACTTTTTTTTTTTTTTTTTTTTTTTTCTTTTTAATCTGGTAAATTGTGTAGCTTGACGAAGGTACATAGTTTGAATTACTTTTCAAAAAGAAAATTAACTAGCCTCAATATCATCTATTCATTTTATTAATTTTTTTTTGTATTCGACATTTGTTGATCATGTGTCGTATACTTCGACTTAATAATCGATATAGTGATTAGCTTAATGTGTCGTTAATAAATTATGAATTCCTGGATGGAATTTTATTTTTTTTTTGAATGTTTTTTCAAATTATAAACGTTTTTATGTGAAGGGAATTTTTTTTTTATTTTCAAAAATTGTCAAATAATTTATGCATGTATATTGTATTCACAAGTGTCTAATATTTAAATTTTCCACTTTTTTCGACTGTCTCTTTAGAAAATCGTATAAATTAAAAATTAAAATAGAAAAAAAATTCTTTTCACATTTATGAATGTTTAGAATTTGAGAAACATATTTCTTTGATGTTATTCTAAAAAGAAAAAAAAATCATCGAAGAATTCGTTGCTATATATAGGAACGCGATGCGATTCGGTTTCTAAAGAGAACACACACGTTTTTAGTAATATTATATTTACATTTTGATATTTCCCTCCCGCCAATTGATGGCTAAACAATTCTTAGAAAAAACGTGCGAGATTTTATAGAGAACCATATATCTGTAAATATTTGAAAAAAAAAATCAATCCTCCCTCATTGTTATACAGGATGCTTTTTGGCATTGCGATCCTTGTGTATCATTTTCATTTTCACAATAAAATATTGTCACTCCGATTTATGATTATAGTTGCCTTCACAAATTGACAAAAAAAAAAAAAAAATTATGAAAGCAAAATAGACTGGAAAAGCCACTAAACTCATTGCCATCCCTCTCAAAAGGCATGATATTGTGATTTAGGTATTTTTATTATTAAATTTAAGTAATGATAAATGTTATTTAATAGTAATATCTATAATATCGCAACGTTCAAGTTAGATAGGACGGTGTAAGAGTGCCTCTCGAATGAAAATGTAATTAACAGATTTACTGATTCGCATCCAAAGCTCTTTTTAAATATCCATTAAAATATTACCTATCAGTAGTTCTTATGTTTCATTCATTTCTGCGATAAATGTAATAAGGTCTAATTTTTTAATGTTTTAAAAAAAAAAAATTTCCCAACTAAATTATTATAAAGCGCTTTTCATCAAAAGACCTAAATAATCACAATTGACTGATAACGTCCATAATTCCATAAAAAAAAAAAATTTTAACAAATATTTATTTTTCATAATTTAAAAAAATATCAGAAAATTGACTGATCAAGGAACAAATGTAATGCAACGAGAGATTTTTGTATAACGAATTTTAAAATTGCTCGTCTTCGACAATTTTCTGAAAAAAAAATATTTTGATCTTTTTTTTTTTTTTAATTATATAAGAAAATAAAATTTTAGTTTATTTGATGTGAAATTCAATTTTTTATACCAATTTTTAACTATTTTTTATTTATTTATTTTTTTTTTTTAATGAAAATTATCTTTTCGATCGATGGGCGGACAAGAAAATAAACCGTCAAAAAAAAAAAATCATGTTTATACGGAATTTCAATTTCGTGATTGTGGTAAAAGGCAAAATCTGTTGAGATAAAATTTTTCTGCAAACATAGGAGTGTTCCAAAATATATTATGTGTATATGTATATGTTGTATATGTTCCATTCCAAAATATATTGAAAGATATTTCGAATAATATACCTATTAATATATACATAATAAAATCTTTAAAAGGAATGCAAAATTTTAAATAAAGAGCGCTAAATCAAATTGGCGTTTTTAACTAAAATGTAATTAAACACTCTAATCATAAAAGCGAAATCGCAATGATTGAAAATTATAATAAGGATTATATAATAAAGAATTATTTTAAAGTTTAAGTAAAATAAATCTCAGCTTTCTAACATATTGTTCTTTTTTTTCGCCAGCGATTTTATTGTAATTATTATTTTAAATTAATATTATTTTGAATTGTAATATTTTTTTTGCTAAAAATTTCATATAAATATAAAACAAAATTATTACACAATTTTTTTTGCAGTAACAATAAAAAAAGTTATAAATAAAAAAAAAATTATCGTCACTAATTACTTATAACGAAAGAACAATTAGGTTATATGTATGTTCAACACACGTGATTAAATTCAAGGTATGAATGCCGGTTTGCAATTATTATCGTTTCATCATCCAGTTTTTGCGTCATAAAAATCCCACTCTATCGCGATATTATCACCTTACGTCAAAACTTGTCTGTATGAAGAGAAATATTCAGACGTTGCAAAAAAAAAAAAAGAAAAAAATATTCTCGTTTTTTTTTCCTTATAAAATAAAAATGAAGCAAAAAAATTATTAAGTTCATTGATCGTTCAGAAATTATGACGCACTATTTAATCAATAAAAAATAGTCACAGTTATAAGAAAATAAATTGATTCTATATCAAAATAAAAAAGATAAATATTATGTTTATTACAAAATTGAATTTTTTCAAAATCATTTTTTGTTGTCTGTCAAATTTAAATTACGCGCGAAAAATTATTTTGAAAAAAATTATAAATAATAAATGAAAAAACTATATATTTATATATATATAAATATGAATAATACTTTTTCTTTTAAATTGCGGTCACGTTTCGTTACTGTTATTCTTTAATCAGTGATTTGACTCATGCCTCGTAAATATAAAATACAAATAGTAAAATATGTAAAAAAAATAATGTAGTCATGCATGTAATTTTTTATATACCCGTTATATACGGAACTTTGACTATGTGGAATTAAACAATTTTCTGATTGGTTAATATCCGGATGGCGCGATATAATCCCTTCTCCTGATGGACCGGCTCAACCCCCTCGCCCAAAATATGACCTTAACTTTTAATTTGTCTATTGGTTTTTTATATAAATATTAGAAATATGTCATTTAATATGCAATAAACACCTTTTTAGCTAACAATTTTTATAGAAATTTGATATTACAATTAAATTTTGTTAATTAATTGATCACAAATTTATGATAAAAACGGAAACACGTAAAGTGCGTGAGCACTTGGAATGTAATAACACATGCGCAGAAATGACAGTATGCGGGCGTCTGCTGTGAACCACGTCTAAGTTCACAAGTTGATGATATGGCATTAAGATTTCTTATTGAATAAAATATTTTACTCTTCATATTAAATCAATTATTATTTGGATACATTAATGAATTAGTGCCAAAGTGAATAATACAAGTTACATTAAAATAAAGGCAAGCAATTTAAATCTTTGTAATTTATTTACGACAAATAAAAGTGATTAAACTATATAAGAAATTGAATTCAGGGCATGAAAAGGTTGGTTCTAATTTAAATTTGGAATAATTTCTTTCTTTTTATTGTCAAGTACATTCTATTTTAGTCTATTTTAGTCTATCCATTGTATTTTATTAATTTTAAATTATATACTTTTAGTGTTCTTTTTTTACACATGTAATATTCGTCCTAATTATTTTCTACATCGCATTTTCATTGATTATGTACGTATATTAGTGATATAGTTTTTCCACGAATTTTTATTTACTTCTATAAATATAATTTTATGAAACTTTATCATACGATGCATATTTAATTAATTTTTTAATTAATGCATTGGGGTTTTTTTTTTAATTAACTTAGTTATTTAACTGCATGTATTTAATTTTTCAATTGTTAGTTTATTTAAAATCGCAATTTATTATTATTATTATTATTATTATTATTATTATTATTATTACTGTTGATAATAAGTATTTTAAACATTTTAACATTTTTCTATAGACGTTTCTGTTGATTCATCAATATTGACAACTTGCACGTTATTTGCTTAATTAGACAATAATTAATTTTGCGTAAAGTTTTATTGAAAACATCACGCTATTATATTATTCTAGAACATTTCTGAATTTCTTTTTTTTTATATTTAATGCATTAATTAAATGAATAAATAAAATTAGAAAATATATTAACTGTAAATAAGTTTGTGTTGTTATTTTTAAATTAAAAAATATATTTTCAAATAAATTTATTATTTAAAAAATATGTCAATCATTATTTATTTTTAATTAATTAATTTAAAATAGGAACGAACGAAATCTATTGCTATGATACAAAATTCTTTTGTTTAAAATAACAAAATCAAATTTGATTCTATTGGATCAAATGTTTTTGTCATTTAAGCACGAAGACTAGTCTCTGATTTTAATATTTTAAATATTCATTTACATTAATTACATATAATTATTTTATTTTAACGGTAATTTTATTTCTCTGTATAGTGTAATATTGTGACAAAATAATTTCCTATATATATATAAAGTTAAAATGATTTTAAATAAATTTTTTTTTAAACAAAAATGTTGTTATTTTCAGTTGTTGGAGATTATATGGAATTTAGATATTAAAAAATGTCGAGAAAGAGACCGCATGATATTGACGAGATGGAAAGTAATATTAAAAACGATAAAACAAATCAGAATGGAGATCATGCTTCGTCTTCGAGGGAAGAGTCACCATCTTTTCCGGTAAAACATTTTACGTCAAGAAAAAAAAAATAATACAATGCACAATTTAAATTTATAAAATATTCTTCGAATAAATTGTTTACTACTCGTATTAGTAAAATTATAAAAACAAAACTAAATTAATCTATTGTTCTAAAGGAAAAATTCTTGAAAAAAAAATTTATTCCAGGAAATATAAATTCTGAAGTTTCATTAATTTATTTTATTTTTTTTTTTTTTATCTAAAACAGGTTGATAAATTTTTATCGGGGGAATATAGAATTATGTAGTTCATTAATATTGTGATTATTTTCAGTGATGAAATTTTTTTTTTTTGGTGATTTATAATTATTTTTAGAATTTTAGATAATTTGTATCGATTAAGAAAATTGGATTTTTTATTTTAGAATTTTAAATATGATATATTGAATTATTTATATTTTTCTTTCGATTAGTCATACGTTATATTATGTTGACAAGTTAAGATGGGGTGATGAACATTATTCACGTTTTTAATGATAACATTATTTATGTAATCTGGTGAAATGGAACACTCATTGATGATTGTTGAGAAATTTCCAATTAAAAGGAAAATAGTTTTTGCATTGATAATTTAAATATTTAAAAGAATAAATTTACATAAAAATTGAATATAATTTTATTATTTAATTTGAAAAAATTTATTCGTGTTTTTTTAAATTGATTTAATTTTTTTTTTAAATTATTTTTTATGATTTTAGTCAATTTGCAAAGAGGCACCATTTATGGATGATGACGAAGCAATTTTAGAAAGAAAATGCTGCGATTATAATATCAAAATTTCTGTAGAAATGGCTCGAGCTGGAAAAGGTGATTTTTTTTTTCATATTCTATTTGTAATGTAACGTAAAATATTTTTAATAAATCATATTTCTTAAAATAAATCTATAATTTTAGCTCCGAGGAAAATTCGTGTATACGCAGACGGAATTTATGACCTTTTTCATCAAGGTCATGCTCGACAATTGATGCAAGCTAAAAATCTTTTTCCGAACATTTACCTTATCGTGGGAAGTGAGTTATTAATCTTTTCTTTTTTTGATAAATCAATCTATTATTATTATTTTAACTGTTATGATTTAATTTTTATTTTATTTTCAGTTTGTAATGACGAGTTAACTCATACAAGAAAAGGAAAAACAGTAATGAATGAATTTGAAAGATATGATGCTGTTAGGCATTGTCGATATGTAGACGAAGTTGTAAGAGATGCGCCATGGACATTAGAAGACGATTTTATTGAACAAAATAAGGTATATTTAGATAAAAATAAAATTAAATCATTTTACTGGAAAAAAAAATTCATTAATTTTTTTTTTTACAGATTGATTTCGTTGCCCACGATGCTATTCCCTATAGTACAGAAGATGAAGACGATCTTTATGCGAAATTAAAAGAACGAGGTATGTTCGTAGCAACACAAAGAACAGAAGGTGTTTCAACGTCAGATATTGTAGCAAGAATAGTCAAAGATTATGATATCTATGTGAGAAGAAATCTCGCTCGAGGTTATACAGCAAAGGATCTTAACGTCTCATTTTTAAACGTAATTGTTTCTATATTTTAAAAAAAAACAGTTTCAACAAAAAAAAAAGAGTGAACTTTTAATAAATTTATATATTCTTCATAGGATAAAAAGTTTAGGCTACAAAATAAATTCGATGACCTTAAAGACAAAGGGAAACAAATAATGGAGAATTTTGGTGAAAAACGAATGGATATCATCAGTAAGTGGGAGGAAAAATCACGAGATTTTATAGACACTTTTCTATTGTTATTTGGCCGTGAAGGCCGAATTGTAAGTGGAATTTTTATTTCAATGACTGCTTTATTAATCACATTGTGTGTCTTTTTAATTTTAAAATGCAAATTTTAAATGCATCAAATTTTTATTAACCAAAGATCATAATAGTTTTTAACAAATATTTTTTTATATTTCTATTGCGTGGAGTGTTTTGTATTAATTTTAATTGCAATTAACTAGAATCAAACATACATTTTTTTTTTTTTATAGAATATTCAATTTTATTTTTTACTGATTCTCGACAAAAATTGTTAAATAAAGATTATTTGCTTGCATGTCTATTTGTTTCTTTGTAATGCATGTTTTTTTTTAAAGGCTTGGTAATTTGGTGTTTCTTTTCTTTTTTTTTTGTTTTGAAGCTTTAAGATTTATTTTTAATTTATAGTCAACAATATGGAATGAAAGCAAAGGTCGTTTAATGCAAGCGATCTCGCCTCCTTCGAGCCCGAAAAGGAATGGCAGTCCTCATAGTAGTTATTGCCTTAGCAATGACGAAGAACGTGCAAGGTATGAGAAAAATTTAGTATAACTATAAAAATATTTTTACTCACCATTTATCCGATGAAATTTGTCATTCCATGATTTTTTTCCGTCTTGACCATTTAATCCTTACTGAAGTTGTCGATCTTCTAATTAAATATATTTTATCACACAAAAATTGAACACTTCACTTCACTTCATTTCATTTAATTTCATTTCATTTCACTTCACTTCACTTCACTTCACTTCACTTGAACACACTTCACCTGAAAAATAACAAAAAAATAAAAGATTTTTAAGGTTATAAAACATTCCAAATCGATAAAGATCAATATTTTTTTTCTTTCAAGAAAATATTGAAATTTTTTGATTTTTATTTATTATTAAAATTATTAATACACTAAAACAATATATAAAAGAAATACTTTTCTTAAAAATTACTCGTCAATAAAGGGGGATTATTTTTTAATATTTAAATATAATCAATACCATGTTAAACAATTTGCCCGCCAAAAATTCTTTAAACATATTTAACCTACAAAAGATATTACGAAAAATTTTAACAAATTTGATTCTAAAATTTAGAAATTATTTCCAAAAATTGAAAATTTATATTATTCTCTTTTTAAATAAATGTAAAATACAGATTTTATCAAATAAGCCGCGATGTTTGATCTCTTTGCATAAAAAATGAAAATGTCGAAAATTTACAAGATTTTAATTATTTTTTATGAAAATTCTTACCAAACTTTTATCACACTATTCCAGTAATCAGAATTTTGTTGAATTTGAAAAAAATTAAAGAAGATATTCACGATATATTCACTTTTATTTGTTAAATGTTTAATCAACGAGCTGTTGATTTTTCCGTTAAAAAATATTGACTGAAAATTTTCTATTAACATGTTTGCCAATAGTGGAAAATTAAATTACAACAATTTTGTTAACAATGTTACCAATGTTTGAATAAAAAAATTTAAGTAAAGTTTATTTTAACTTTTAATAAAATAACGTAATTAATTGTATAAAAATTAAAATTAATAATTATAATAAAATATAATATAATTATAATATTTTTTAATAATTAAATTCAATCAATACTATGTTAAACAATTTGCCCGCCAAAAATTCTTTAAACATATTTAACCTACAAAAGATAATCCGAAAAATTTTAACAAAAAAAAAAAAAATACAAAAATCTGGAAATTATGTATTTCCAAAAATTAGAAATTTATATTACCTATTTTCTTTTTAAATAAATGTAAAATAATGACTTTATCAAATAAGCCACGATGTTTGACCTCTTTGTAAAAAATGAAAATGTCGAAAATTTACAAGATTTTAATTATTTTTTATGAAAATTCTTACCAAACTTTTATCACACTATTCCAGTAATCAGAATTTTGTTGAATTTGAAAAAAATTAAAGAAGATATTCACGATATATTCACTTTTATTTGTTAAATGTTTAATCAACGAGCTGTTGATTTTTCCGTTAAAAAATATTGACTGAAAATTTTCTATCAACATGTTTGCCAATAGTGGAAAATTAAATTATAACAATTTTGTTAACAATGTTACCAATCTTTGAATAAAAGAATTTAAATTTAAATTTAAAAATTAAATTCAAATCTTTTTAAAACTAATAATAATAATAATAAAATAATGTTATTATTTGTATAAAAATTAAATTATAATAATAAAAACTCTTTATATAACCTAAAAAATTATTTATTAAATTAAAATGAAACTATATTAATGTATATAATTTAATTTCTAATATATTATTTAGTTTTTGTTATTCCTGTTTTAAATTTTCCATTATTTGGATATTATTTCGCCTACTATTTTTTTTTTGAATTTATGGATTATTAATTTAATTGTTTGTTTCAGTCCTCCACCTAAAAAAGCAGGTCGTTTTGAATTTTCAAAAAATGGACACTATTTTCACGAGGATTATAGTGATGATGAAGAAGAATATCGAATGTCAAAGTGATCCTTGGAAGAATCTGAGGATCTTCTCAATCGACTCGACCAAATCTAGGAAATTTTATTTAAAAAAAAAAAAAAGAAAGAAAAAAAACCTGTTACACTACAATAATTAAATTGTTTACTTTACAATATGTAATAGATTTTAGTATTTTTGTTTTTCAAATTTTGCTTCACATCAATAATTAGTTTTTAATTGTAAATTTTATGCCGCCCTTAAATAATGTCGAATTAATACTTAATTTAAACAAACTCTGTACGTACTTAAATTTTTAAGATATTTGCATTTTATTTTTAATTGAAAACGATAATATTTTTTATTCAGTGAGTTTTTTTGACATGTGGGCATTATAGATTTTAAAAGAGTTCTACTATAATTAAAAAATCGATTTAAAATCATGATATTAAAAAAAAGAAAAGAAAAAAATAGTTAAAAATAGTTGTGATATAAAAAACAAATTTTTGTGTAACACGTTTCAATAGATTAATATTATTAAGTTCGTAAACTGAACAATAAGACAACGGTTCTAGACTTCTTTGAATGTGTATAATATTTTGTAATACATACTATTTGTTGATGATGATGATGATGCTGATGATGATGATGAAAATGATGATGGAAAAAGAAAACATGTAAATTAAAATTCTTAAAAAGGAACATTTTTTTGAAAAATTTGTGTGATTAACTTTAGAGATTGTTGACGTCAAGTATATAATACAGGAATTGAGGACTGTAAGAATATTGATCTGCACATTGTATTTCGAATTTAAAAAAAATATATTTTGTTTCGGGTGAGTTTTTTTTTTTAAATAGTTTTTAAATTCACTATAGCAATTTTATATGGACTATTTTATATAGAAGAAACGATTTCTAAATAATAGTTTTTAGGAATGATAAGAACGCATTGTTTGTATAAATTGTCGTAATATATTTAGTTTTCTTTTTTTTGTAAGTATTAGCGATACCCATCGAAGGAAACGCGTTGCGAAAAAAATTAATATAGAGGAAATATTGTTGCTAAAAAAAAGAAAAAACTTGCTGTTAACTAGATATATTTGTAAATTTATCTCTTTATTATTTATATAAATTTAATCTTTTTATTTTTTGCTTTTTTATTTGGTACTTATCGAAGTGTCAAAAAAAAAAAAAAAAATACAGAGGATTATTTATTTTTCGTAAAAAAAAAAAAAAAAATAGTTCAAGCGCAATAATGTATTTCAATGTACGAAGAGATTAGAAATGAGTCAATAGAACTGTTTGTATTTTTAAATTAAGAAGAAATAAGATTTTTTCTGATAAAATAATATTTAAAAAAAAAAACACGACTGAGATTTTTATTATTCAATATTATAATGAGTCGACGTTAATATTTTAGTTATTTATGGTAAATATAAAAGAAATCGATTAGGAAGTGTTATATCCTTTTGGTTTGAATTCAGTTATCATTTAATTCATGTTCGTTAATAATATTGTAATTGAGAATTGTATGAAAATAAACATAAAGTTCTATTTACTGCTAAATAATTTTGTTTTGAATTTCTTGGTTTAAAAAGATATTTCTTTTATGAATTAAAAATTATAAATTATAAATTAATAATTAGTGATTTCTAACCTAAAAATATGCGATAATGACTAAAGAAAGCATATATGTTATTTATATAACATTTTCTTTGTTATATTCAGGGAACTTGAAAATTTATTTAAAAATTATATAAAAATAACATATTGTGGATTTAAATTTTCCCACACTTTTTCAAGCAATGTCACGTGACCAATGATAAAGCACGTGATGTTTGATTTGTATTTTGACCAATGGGAGAGCTTATTCCGGTCTTTTTCGAACGTTATTGTGTGAGTGAAAAAGAAGTTGATTAAACGCTTAAAGAAAGACGAAGATAGAAAATTATATCTTGTCCCGCAAAAAGGTATGTTCACATGAGTGAGACAGACAACTAAAACTTGAGTGGGAAAGAGAAAGAGAGTGTGGTAAATGCAGCTCAGATCAGACAGTCACGAATGTAATCGACATTAGACGAGGGTACAAAAAAAAAAGAGTGGTGTTTGATAAATATACAATAGGTATACCTAAATGTGTGAGTGTTTTCATGTTTTGTGCCTTTTATCACGAATGTATAAACTTATGGAAAATCCGTAGACACATATATGTCTATGGGAATTAAAGACAGTGCAAATCGCGCTGCTGCTAGTGAGAAAGGCAAGAGGACCCGATGTTGTAACAAACGGCCAAAATGGAAGAGAGAAGCGTTCATAGCAGTATCAGCGATATAAATAGTGAAGAGGCGGTTAGAACTGAACGTAAGGATTATAAATTCTTTTCCCCATCTTTTTTGGATAAAAAATGCTAGTTAAAAAAAATATATCAATAGTTATGTTTATTTAGATCTATAGTACATGTGTTTTTCTTATATGAGATTTTAAAAAGGCGCGAGCACCTGTCGGTATTTTCCCTCATAATATTTTTAATTAATTTTTCACAATTTATCTAATCTATTCTTCATCTTACTGTCAAAGTATTTAAATTATTCCATTCTTTATAAATTGCTTTATTTATTTTTTTTTTCCTATAGTTTCTTGGAGGAAATTTTAACAATTTTTTCGAGAAAAACCTTCGCGTCCTCATAAACTTGGCCTTGACATCGGCTGAGTCTGAATTACGTCAGAGTAAAACTGTTTTCTTATTGTAGATCATAATGTATACATTTTCAATTTGTCTAATTAGATTTTCATATCTACAGATTCAGTGAAAAAAATTTTAATTGAATTGAAAAATTGTATTTTATATATTATAATGAACTTTGGATATTTGTCTATTGACAAAGAATTTCCTTTTATATATTGTATATTACAATGTTGACAATTGATTTTATCAAAAAATGATCCTTATCTTTGCTGACGCTCTTTTAAAGTGTCTGCTAGTTGCAATTTTTTTTTTCTCAACACCTTGACAAGTCTTTTAATCAAAGTGCACGTGTAATTCAAGTGTTCAATTATCTCTGCTATATAATTAGAGAAAAACTTTTTTGAAATATTGTTGAATATTATTTTTGTCTTTTATTATTAAGTAATTGAAAATCAAATAATATGCTTAATCCGGGTTAGTTTTATTTTCATTTATTCCTATAAAGACATGTTTAGAAATATTAAATTTATAAGAAAATATCGTCTATTATGCGAAAGTATTTATTATGTATATTATAATTTGATTTATTTACAAAATTTTACAAAATTCAATTGATAAATGATTATTATTTGCTTTTATTCGCATGTATTGAATGATAATATTCCGAACATAACCTATATTCGTTTATAAAATGACATACATGCGAATATTTTGTTTATAAAGTAATTTTGTATCTTGTATTTTTATATTCTATTATTTATATATTTATATACTATATGTAATAATATTATAGTGTATATATAGTATATTAATTGTATTTGTTTATAACCTCTTTTGTATACAAGTGCGCAAAATATTTTGCTTATTTTCATAATTTAAAGGATTTAAATTTTCTGAATATAAAAACTATCAGAAATTTAGTATCTTTATCTATAATTACTATTTTACTTTCATCAGATAATAGATTCTTTAAATGCCTGCATATAATAGATAATATTATTTACTTATTGCCGGGGTTTTGTTTTGTTTTTTTTTTGAATATTCGAAAATTCGTTAAATTTAAAATTCTTATTCCCTATAGTATTATATTAAAAAGTTGTATTTTATATAGAAATTTTACTCGATAAATTCTTATCTAAAATTTATATAGAAATTTTTTTCTAAATCCTTAATGTAAATATCGAAAAGTATAAAACATTATTTCATATTTTGTTATCAATAAGATAAGAAGAATTTACAACCCTGAGTCTCATGTCATTTTACAGCTAATTTTTTTATTTATAACGGTAACTGTACACATAATTGAATTAATTTTCATTTATGTTTTCCAGATCGTATGAATTATTCTAATAAACACAAAAGTCCTTGTTAAATATGTTTCTTTTTTTCCGGAATTTTAATTTACACTCGTGTCATACATTATACTTTAGAAGAATTTGTACATTTTTACACGTATCTATTTAATTGTCATGTTTTTTTTTCTGTTTTCCTTTCGCGGAAACAAACAATTCAGTGTAATCATCATTTTAATTATTGTTCTGTTTTTTATTTCAATTTATGTGTAATTTTTGTTTATTTTTTTTAATTTTATGAACGTTAATTTTAATATTTTAATTTTTAGCTTTAAAAATTCCACGTAGGAAGAGAATATGTTTGGTTGGTGCAGCAAGTGAAGATCCATCGCTCGGAGCTGCTGCTCAACAATTCAGTGTACCAGTGTTAAAATCTCAAACCGGAATAGAATATATTGAAGATACCGCATATTGCACTTATTTTATTTTAAAAGAATTCGAAGGTTATGAATATGATGTGTTACACAAGAGTGCCCACAGGTAGGAATTAAATATTTCGAATCAAATTAAAAAAAGAAAAATTAATAATATTTAGGAATTTAAAATTACGTAATCAATTTTTTTTTCGATAATGATAATAACAACGTCTTGATAATTAAATTTGATTGTATCTTGGCAAAGATTAAAAAATCTTTAGAATTATTATTTATTTGAAATTTATTGTTTCAGAATATTGGGACCAACAGCTCTCCTACAGTTGGCAGAAAAGAAGGAATCGTTACCAAGTAACAATCGGCCAATGTACACTCAAGCAATGAATGGAACAGTGGTCGTATTTACTGGTTTCAGAAAGAAAGATGAGTTGACAAAACTTATTAATATGATTCACAATATGGGGGGAAGTATTCGAAAAGAAATGGGCGCAAAAGTTACCCATCTTATTGCAAATTGTTGTGGAGGTGAAAAATATAGGTACGCAGTTACATTTCGAGTGCCTATTATGTCGATGAATTGGGTAACTGCCCTTTGGGATCTGAAAGATGATGTTACCTGTTATGGTACCAATGAAGAATTAGTAAGTTCATTTCTGTTTTTAAAATATTAATTTTTCAAAAATACTAATTTAATGAGTTTAATTTTTTTTTTCTTAGATTTCAGCATGTAAATTAAAACCATTTTATGGGGCGAAAGTATGCTTTTTTGGTTTTCCTGAGGAAGAGAAGAAGCACATGTGTGAAGTTCTCCAACAACAAGGAGGAGAACCCACAGAAATTGACGATCCAAACTGCACTCATGTGGTAAGTTTTTCTTTTTTAAATTCACAATAGTTTGTGGAATTTTTCTAAACTCACTGCTTTTTTTTTTGCCTGTGACACTCTTTTTTTTTTTTTTTCTTTTCTTTTTTGAGTAACATTCTTAGTTTCTCACATTAGGTGAACGACTTAGGCAAGAATCAGTGCAGCATAACCGACAGTGCGAACAACACGCTACCATACTTTAAGAATTCGTGCTATTCTCTTCAGACTCCTCTTCGTAAATCGAAAACCGAGCCCTTCTCCTTTTTTAATAATAATAATAATAATAATAACAATAACGATCCTTCCGCCAATATAACTAATTATTCACAACTAACTGACATTGATTTCAATCCTGATAATCGTGATATTTTATTCTCAAGTTCATTTTCAAATAGTTCAATATATTCTCACGATTCCATTTCATTAAATAATAATAATAATAATAATAATAATAACGATTCAGCAATTTGTATGAATTTTAAAACAAATCATTTAAATATTTCCGAAAAGTCATATTTAATATTTGAATGTTTAAGGGCAAAAATTGAATCAAAATTTGATATCACTTCATTGTCAAATATTTCACAAAATATTAAAGATTCGGGTTTTTCTTCATCTTCATTTTGTGAAATATCATTGAAACGAATGTCAACTAATTCATATGATTATTTATCATCTGAAATGGATATTGATGAGACAAGTTTTTTTGAAAAAATGAGTATTGAAAATGAAATTATCAATAATAAAGATAGAAATTTCATTACATATCGTTCAGAATCGAATTTTACAAATTCAAATTCAACGAAACGTTATATGAAATGGAGAAAATCGAGATCATCATTTACAATTACAAAAAAAGTAAAATCACGTAAATTTGGTAAAAAAAAATTTCATTCTAAACCAAAAATCAATAAAAATCATTATTTAAAGGAGAATAATAATCAATTTTTAACGGAGAGAAATAAAAATTATGAGAATTCGATAAAATTAAATAATTCATTATTCACTAAAATATGTAATGTTGTTATACCGGCAACATTTAAACAACATATGCCAGTTAATTCATTATCACAACAAATGTTTGATAAAAAATTGTCAAAACAAAAATATACTCCTCTACTTAGTCCTTTACCTGTTCCTGCCAATATTGCAAGAACCAAATCAATTGTCACTTTGAATCATGATGATAGAAAGATCGCGAGTCAAAAAACATCTTCGGCTCCCTTTAAACGTCGCTCTACTAAAGCTGATCGTACCAGGAAGGATATACAACCATTTCTTGTGGTATTTTTTTTTTTTTTTTACTTTTTCATGTTTTTTGAGAATCGTTTTTCGTAACTTTTATTTTACGGGAATAAGGTTATTGGTTATTTCACCTTTTATCATCTATTTTTCTAATTTTCACCTTTTTTTAAAAATTTAATTCAATTGATTTATTTTTTTTTAAAAATTGTATAATTGATTTTAATTATTTTGTGTTATTTTTTTTTTGACATGTTTTTCGTCACCTATTTTTGAAAAATAATTAATCTTTACAGCTTTTTTTTAAGAAAAAGGTAGTGTTGTCCCTGTATTTGTCAGTTCGAAATTAATTAAAATATTGAATCGAATTTATTAGTTATTGCTGATATTAATTCATGAGTGTCCTATTAATGTCATTTTTTTTAAATTCCAAAATCGATAATTTTCCTTGTGTTTTTTTTTTTGTTTCGTACACTTTTTAATGCATGTCGAAATATGTTTCTTTTGCTGTTAAAACAAATTTAAAATCTATATTAACTATGGTTTTTGTGAATATTTTTTTCAGTTTAAATATTATTGATGAATTAGTAAGGAAAATAAAATTAAAGTCGTTTTGTAAATAATTTTTGTACGTCTCATTGTTTAGATAGATAATTTATTAAAATATGTCTTATTGTTTATTAAAATTGTTTTAAAAATCAGAAAGCAAGTTATTAAAATTATTTTGTTTTATTATCTTTAGGTTGTAGATGAATCGAACGTTAACGCGTTACCTGATCTGGCATCAGTTAGAGCTCATATAGTTAAAGCCGAATGGTTTTGGACGTCTGTACAAAATGAAGGTGCAGCTGATGAAAGAGAATATCTTTTTGAGGATGTAAGACACAATTATTCGATAAATTAACATTTTAGATTTCCAATTCTGTAATATATTAATTGATATTTTTTTTTTCTTATTTAGTATTTGGAGTCTGTTATGTCGCCCTCTGTTTCGGCGAGGAGAGACAGTCAACAAGCAGCAACACCAAGCACAGCATCGACGAGAAGAAAACGTAAAAGACTTGCCGAAACAATTTCTAGTCTCGTACAAAATGGTACGGATTCTCCAGCGGTACATAAAAGGAGATCTAGCATTAGTGATGCTGGTCATTTAAGTGTCAGTGGGAGTTTTCTTGATTGCACTACAAGTCCTGAAAAACAATTATTAGATGGTAAATGAATTGAAAAAAATAATAATTTTCATATTTTTATTATTCTATTTTCTTTATTTTTCTTTTATTTTTAATTTACAGATATTCCAGAAGTTGAAGCCGCAAATTCCGAATCAGGGAGAAAAAATCTTTCACCTCGATATCAAGTTTTTTTGGAACTCGTTCAAACCGAATCGAATTATGTTGGAATTCTCAATACAATTATGAATGTGAGAATTATATTTATATTTGAAAATTTAATTATTAATTTATTTATTTATTGAAATTTTTCATTATTTTCAGTTATTTAAATCACCATTGGAAGTTTTAATAGATACAAGTGGTGAATTATTAAATAGTACAGAGGTGAAAATAATATTCGACAATTTTCCACCAATTTATGATGTGCATAAGAAAATTTTAGAAATGTTGCGTGAAATTGCAGCAAATTGGACGGAGGAAGTTAGTATAGGAAATATATTTTTGAAATGTGCCCGTGAATTATTAACTGCCTATCCTCCATATGTGAATTTCTTTGAGAATACAAAAGAAATGTTGGACCAGTGCGATCAAAATAAACCGAGATTTCATGCCTTTCTTAAAGTTTGTCAAACCAAACCTGAATGTGGAAGACAAAGTTTAAAAGAATTGTTGATTAAACCAGTGCAGAGATTACCTAGTATTAGTTTATTATTAAATGGTAAGTAAATTTATTTAATAATAAAATAAACATAATAATGTAATTTTTTGATTATTTTCTTTGTTTAGATATTCTTAAGCACACAAATAAAAATAATCCAGATCACGGTGCCTTGGAACATGCGATTAGCAGTATTAAGGAAGTGATGACTTATATAAATGAAGATAAACGAAAAACGGAAGGACAATTAGTTATGTTTGATATATTCAATGAAATTGACAATTGTCCACCTCATTTAGTATCATCGCATAGATCATTTATTGGTAAATGTGAAGTAATGGAATTAAGCGAGGGTTTAAGTGGTCGTGGTGATCATTTAGTTCTTTTCTTATTCACCGATACATTGGAGATTTGTAAAAAAAGATCGAAAGCTTTTAATTCATTAAAAAGTCCAAACACTGTTAATGGCTTACATTCTGCAAAATTAAGTCAAGGAAAACCTTACAAACACATTAGAATGCTTTCTCTTAGTACGATAAAAAAAGTTGTCGACATTCGAGAAACTGATGGTAAATAATTTTTGAATATTTATTAATAATTTTGCGAAAATTATTTATTTATTTTTTTACTTTCGAGTTATTATTTTGTTTTTGATGAGATATTTTTATTTTATTTTTTATACAGAGTGCCATAAAGTATTTGCCTTGATGGTTCGAAGTAATCAAGAATTAAAAGAGAAATTATTTTCCTTCACAATTACAGACGAAGAAGTGAATAAAACAAATTATTTACGAACTTTGTGTCGACAAATGGCGAACACAGTTTGTAAACCTGATGCGGTATGATTAATTTATTTTTAATTTACTTACTTTTTTTTTTTTTATTTAATCGAAAATAGAAATTTTATTATTAATAATTGTATTTTTTTTTTCATTTACAGGATACATTTCTAATTAGTCTTGATTCGCATCAGTTGGAAATCGATACTAGTGACGTTGCATTAGGAACATTAAGTAAAGCATTTAAGTAAGTTAACTTCATTAATTTTGTCTAATAATTTTTACTTTTTTTCATTCATTTATTTATTTTCAATTATATTCTTTATTAGGTTAAGAAAACATTTTTTTTAAAATAAATTTGAAAGTAGTTTTTTAAATTTCAAAATAATTATAATTTTTCAGATTATTAACGTTTTTTTTTTTAAATATTTCCATGTAAAAATATTTTAGAACAATCAATTTTTTAATGTAGTTTATTTTAAATTCTTGCATGTATTTAGAAGAATAATGCGTCGACAAACCATTTGGTTACAGGAGTCTATTTCATAATTTTTACCTGGAGTATATGGACCCGTATGTGTTCCTACTCAATAGCATGTGTGAAACCACATTTAATGTCCCACTGCCGTCAGTTTTTTTTGGCACCAGGCTAATTTTCTTTTTTTTGATTAATAAGCTTCATTTTCCCTTCCTTAGCTTTTCAAAAAAATTTATTTTTTCTCTTCAAAATAATTTCATCTTATTTCACAAATCTAGTTCAAGATTTTAATTTTTTCTTTAATAATTGTAAAAGAATTAATTAATTATTTTTAAATAATTAAAATTTTGCATATAAGAAAAATTTGTTAAAAAACTTGAACTAGAATTAATTTTTGTGTGTGTGTTTTTTTTTTATGGAATTTGTTTTGCAAAATCCCTTATTTGTTTGTGAATAACTTTCTTTCCTGTATTAATTTATTAATTATAAACGAAATTAAAAAAAAAATGTTAATATTTACATATTTAAATATTCTGATCTCTGGGTAAAATTTCAATTTTATTTTATTTTATTCTATTGAAATATGAGAAAAAAAAAGGAAGAAAAGTTTTGTTGTCGCATTTTTGTTCATCAAATTATATTTATTAATATTATAAATAAATCATTGTTTTTGTTCAGGTTTGCATCGCGTACAAGAATGAAAGTTGGTCGAGCTTTTAGTTTTAACAAAACCCCAAGTAAATTGAAGAGGGCAATGTCAACAATGATGTCGCCGTTTGGGTCAACACACAGCCTTACACCTGCAAGTCAGCAACTTGCTCAAATGAGACTGGCGAGTTGCAATAATATTAACGTTAGTTCAAATTTTTACGAATAATATAAATAATTCTAAAAATTTTTTACTTTTAACTAAAATGAAAGAGTATACTACTTTAATCTGTGATTACAGTGTCTTGTTTTTTCTAACAAAAAAAAGTAACAAAATAATTATTAGTAATAAGTAAAGAATAATAATTAATATATAATAAAATTAATTTAAAAAATTGTGCAAGCTTCTAGGACTTTTATCTACATTACGTGAGTATTTTCGAAATTTTAGTTTTTATATTTTCAAGACATTTTTCATTAAAATAATTTATTGAAATTTTAAGATTTATTTTTGTAAATAATTTTTGATAATATGTAAATAAATTGAAAAAACTCTTTTTTCAGGAACTTGGCAATGGCGCTCCAGGTTCGCAAAGTAGAGATGAAGTTTTAGTAGCACCAATGTCGGTACAACCGACACGAAAGGCAAAGTGCAGCACACTCAGTATGGCTTCACTTCGAAGGTTGTAATAATGTATTTTCAGAAACTACGCTCCTTCACACCTTTTGCTTCCATTTTTTGCTCAAGCATTTCCATTTTTCCCCTCGCTTTTCCCCCTGCCTGCTATCATTTTCACTTTCCCTCTACTTGAACGCCAAAAAAAAAAAAAAAAAAAAAAAATTGTTTCCACATTCGCAAGATTCAATTTCAATTTACCTGATGAATCTCAACTAGTCTTTAGAAAAAAAAAAAAAAAAAAAAAAATGAAAACTTCATCGCTCGAAGTTAATTTATTTATTAAAAAAATTCTTTTTGTTTCATTTTTTTTCATAGGTAAAATTAAATATTGAGGGAAAATAATCTTTCCTCGTGGAATTTTAAGAAAAATTGTTTACCAAAAAAAAAAAAAAAAAAAACTGGTAAAAAATGAATCTTGACGAAAGTGGAATAAATAAGATTAAGTTTTTTTTTTGTTTTGAACGTTTCAAATTCTTTAAAAAAGAAAAAAATTACGTATACGAGAGAATACTGATTTTTTTTTTTTTTTTATTTTTGAATTAGGAGCATCGACTAAAGAGAAAAAAAATATGTAAATCTATATATGTGATTTTTCATGAATGAGTATTATATTTTTAGAGAGAGTCGTTTTGTAGTGCTTCTTTTTGCACTCCCTTGTTCATAATTTCCGTTCCAGAAAACAATTGGCATACATTCCCATAATTTTGAAGTTTCCTTTATTTTTTCTTTCATCGATTTAAAATCGTGTTGATGCTTTCGAATAAAAAAGAAAGAAAAAATTCTTTTTTCAATTTTGAATCGCTTTTTGTTAACAAAGAAAAAGTTTCTTGATATATATTTTTTTTTTATCAATAGCATTTTTTCTCCCTTAAATTATCAAAATTCATATTATAAATAATCATTATTTATTTTTAAACATTCATCATATTTATATAGCTATTATCATGAGCATAATTAATCATAGTAAAAAAAAAAAGTATTGCTTTTCGTTTTCTGCTTTACTACCATTTTTGTAGTAATTTAACATTGTGACTGACGGCGACTTTTGGGTTGTCTATGTAACTTATGTTCGCTGGCGACGCTCGACTGTTATGTGTATAATCTCTGAGAAAGAATTAGCCTTATATAGTACATGAACGTACGTTAAAAAAAAAAAATTGTATTATAGTTTTCTATACAATATATTGTCGAATTTGGAAAAATTTATTTAAGAAAAAGAGAAAAAAAATATTTCGACACATCGAATTAAATGTGAAAATACCATCGGAAATCAATTTGAATATTGAATATTAATTTCAATCTTTTTAATTTAACTTTTTTAAAATTTAATTTGAATGTATATTTAAATTAAATGGTTTGGAATTTTTATTCCTTTAAGAGGCCTACAAGATTTATTTTTCTTTTATATAATTGTGGCTTTTGGAAAATTGATTGTTTCAATATTTCTAAAATATATATGAAATTGAAACTATTTTATGTTTTTTTTTTCCCTAATTAAACTTTGCTTCTTCTTATTAATTTCATTTTTTCTCGCTAACAAAATTAATTTTTGTTTTTTCAAAAAAATCGTTTTTGTTTTCTTTTTCTCAAAATTTTGTTGTGTTTTTAATTTTTTTTTTTTTTTTTTTTTGCCTCTTGACGAGCTTTGCTGTGGCTAATTTTAATGCAAATACTCTTTTTGGTTCGATTTATCTTATTTTCTCTTTGTCCCCCAAATAGAAACTGTTCCGAAGAAATAATTCCAGACGATTCTGATCTTTAAGAGGAAAATAATAATAAAAAAAAAAAAAAAAGAAATGACGTCGTGCATCAAAAACCGCAATTTTTCGTCGATTAAGAAAAGTGATTGTATTTCTTTTCTATTATTGATGAAGAAAATTTTCAATGCCAGAAGCGTGAAAATTTAGAGTTGTGAAACAAACAAAAAATTATATTTCTTAGTGAATAACTTGCCTGTCTAGAGTTTACGTAATTAAGTTATTAATTTGTATTTACTACACTTAGTATGGGAGAATTTTTTGTACAAAAAAAAAAAAAGATTCTTATTATATTCGACGAAAGTTAATAATTTTCTTAGTCTCAGGGAAATTCCGAGAGAGAGCAATATTGTTAAATTATTATAGTTTTCAGATACATAAAAAAAAAATTTGCTCTAAGCAAATAAAATTTATTAAGAAGAGAAAAAGAAAATTCGAAAACTTAGTTTTTAAAGGTCAGGTTTTTAGATGTAAGATAAAAATAATGAAATTTCCAGTGGCTCAAATTTTGTATATTTGGACAAAAAGTGATATTTTATATATAAAAAAAAAATCTTTCTAAATTAAAATTATTTTATTTGGAAATTTTTTTGATAAATACGTTTTAAAAAGACAACTTTTGATCTTTTTTAAACATTTATAGAAAAAAAAAGAAATTTAATAATAATAAACACGCAAAAAACTATTTGATTTCAATTGGAAAATAATAAAAACACAGTTTAATTAACAAAAATTATGAACATAATATATAAAATATCTTATTAATAATAGTAATATTATTAATAAATTCTCTTTATAATTTATTAAGTTTATATTGTATAAATAAAAATTTTAGGATTTACAAAATACAATTAATTAAGAAATGTAAATAATTTAATATGTAGACTGAAGTTTTTAGTACAATATGCAAACCATGTAAACGTGTTATTTTTTATTGTGTATAAATGAATGAATCTTATCCAACTATTATAAATATTTGAATTTTATTTATTATATAAAACTCAAAAAAAAAATTGATTATTATAAAAATGTAATAATTTTATTTAATTTTCTGATTGTAAATTCGTTAAAAGTTTTAAAAATCCTTTCTTAGTTTTTTTTTTTAATTAGAAAATTTTGAATTTTTACCGCGTTTTTTTTTTAAATCGAGAGTTCGACCCCCATTTCGACAGTGATTCGATTTTACAAAATGGCGACACACTTGGAATGACTTTGTGATTTCTCGTGATTGTCAGAAAATTGTCTCCATAAAAATGGTAAGTTATTTTAAATATAATGTATAAAATATTTATTTTTTTAATTAATAAATCATTTTTGCTTTTTGTAATTTAATTTTTCACTTGATAAATTTGACTTTGTTTCTATATTTTTTTTGTATATTTACTTAACAATGAACTAACCTCAAATTTCGTGTCAATATTTTTTTTTGTTTTATAATAAAAGAATGTTTAATTTTTATGTTTTTTAGAAAAAAAAAAATCTTTAAAATGTATGTGAAAATTTATTTTTTAATGCTAAAGAATAATATTTGTTGTGAGAGGAAAATTTTGCTTGTCACTGTCAAAAAAAGGTTATTTAAATTTCTACTAAGATTATTATTGATTATTATTATCAATTAGAAATATTAATAATTAAGATTATAATTTTTTTAATAGTTTCGTTCTATATTTTCTAGTTGAGGAAATTTTATAATTATTGATTAATTTTTTTTTTTTTAATAAAAATTTTCTTGTTTAGGGACAAAATCATTCGGGATCTGGAGGAACTGGTGGCGATAAAAAAGACGATAAGGATAAAAAGAAGAAATATGAGCCTCCAATTCCAACGCGAGTTGGAAAAAAGAAGCGACGCACCAAGGGACCGGATGCTGCTCTTAAATTACCTCAAGTCACTCCTCATACACGTTGTAGATTGAAGCTATTAAAACTTGAACGTATTAAGGATTATCTTCTCATGGAGGAGGAATTTATTAGAAATCAAGAGCGATTGAAACCACAGGAAGAGAAAAATGAAGAGGAAAGATCAAAGGTCGATGATCTTCGAGGAACGCCAATGTCCGTTGGTACATTGGAAGAAATTATTGACGATAATCATGCAATTGTTTCTACATCCGTTGGTTCGGAACATTATGTTTCGATTCTTTCATTTGTCGATAAAGATCAATTGGAGCCAGGATGTTCAGTTCTTTTGAATCATAAAGTTCACGCTGTTGTTGGAGTTTTAGGCGATGATACAGATCCAATGGTGACTGTTATGAAACTTGAGAAAGCACCACAGGAAACTTATGCCGATATCGGAGGTTAATTTTCTAATATTTTAATGTAATTTTGTTTTTTCTTTTTTTAATTTAACAAAATTTTGTTTCTTTTTTAGGTCTTGATACTCAGATTCAAGAAATTAAAGAATCAGTTGAACTTCCATTAACTCATCCCGAGTATTATGAAGAAATGGGAATAAAACCACCGAAAGGAGTTATTCTTTATGGACCGCCAGGAACGGGAAAAACTCTATTAGCAAAAGCCGTTGCAAATCAAACGTCGGCAACATTTTTGCGAGTTGTTGGATCGGAGCTTATTCAAAAATATCTCGGCGATGGTCCAAAACTTGTTAGAGAATTATTTAGAGTTGCTGAAGAACATGCACCTTCAATTGTTTTTATTGATGAAATCGATGCAGTTGGAACGAAACGTTATGATAGTAACAGTGGTGGTGAACGTGAAATTCAACGAACTATGTTGGAACTTCTTAATCAATTAGACGGTATGAATTTTTTTCTTTTATTTTTAATTGTCTATAAATTATTGTATTATTTAAAAAAAATTTCCATTTTTTTCAGGCTTTGATAGCCGAGGAGATGTGAAGGTTGTCATGGCGACAAATAGAATTGAAACACTCGATCCTGCTTTAATTAGACCCGGTAGAATTGACAGAAAAATTGAATTTCCATTGCCTGATGAAAAAACAAAGAGAAGAATCTTTAGTATACATACAAGTAGAATGACACTAGCGCCTGATGTTAATCTTGCTGAACTTATTATGGCAAAGGATGATTTATCAGGAGCTGATATTAAGGTAATTATTTAAATTCAAGTTATTTTCTATTCGAATTAAAATTGATTTTAAATGGAAAATTTTTTAAAAATTGATTGATTTTTTTTTTATTTGCAGGCAATTTGTACTGAAGCTGGTCTTATGGCGTTACGTGAACGTCGAATGAAAGTGACAAGCGATGATTTCAAGAAATCAAAAGAGAGTGTCCTATATCGGAAAAAAGAAGGTTCACCTGAAGGATTATATTTATAGACATTTGTTTCATTGAAATTTTTTATTTCCCCCACCTTTTTCTGATATTAACTCCATATTTACAAAAATAAAAAAAAATTGTACCGAAATTAATTATTTGTAATAATTTATAATACTGATTAATTTTATATCATATTAAAAATAATAATTAAAATAATATGAGATAAAAAAAATAATAATAAAATTTCTTAAAGTTTCAACTAATTTATTTTGTTACATTATCTCAATTTGTTATTTCAAATTTTATTATTGTCTTTTTAGTGGAAAAAAAATAATTTAATTGCAAAATAAACTTAATTTCTTAATTTTCATTTAAAATAATAATATGAAAGATTTAATAATATTTTAATTTCGTTTAAAAATTAATTTAAAATTTAATTACGTTATTAATTTATTTTTTATTTTTTTATTTATAATATAATAATTATTTATATAATATAATTATTGTATTCATATTATTATATTAAACATATTATAATATAATAATACAATAAAATAGATAATTATTATTTTAAAAAATATATAAATTATAATATTATATATTATTTATTAATACTTATTAATTTTTTCTTAATTCGATTACTTCTTTATTTTAATATTTATTAATTTCATCATTTTATTAACATTTATTAAATTAAATACCTCATTAATTAATTAATTAATTATTTATTTAATACTACATAATTATAATTACTTATTAATTTACATTAGTACCTAAATGTGTATCTAATTATTTAAAAGTAAAAAAAAATTGGTTTTCTAAAAATTCAAATTGAATTTCCCGCCATTGGTAATAGTTATGCTTTCATATCCGGTTTAAATTTTTTTTCTCATTTCATCATTTCTGTGTCTAAAATTAATAAGTATTTTGATAAAATAATCAATTTCTATTGATTTTAGAATAAATATTAATGATAAAAGTAATGTAAATAAATATTTTCAACAAAAGAAAATAATTTAGGAATTAGTTTGACTAGTGTAGAGACGCCATTGCCGAACGGCCGTTTCCGCCCACTTTCCCAAGGTTTTCGGCACGAATACGTGCTCTTCCTGGTAATAATTTTCATTTTTAACGTGTTTTATTCTTTTGTTTAATACTATTTTCACTTTATTTCTACGAGTAAATGTATTATTAACAAAGTGATATATAAATCGAGTCATAAAAATTGTGAAATAAGTAAAAAAAAGTAAAATAAATTAGTGAAGATTTTTGGCGCGATCTTTCTTCCCCCTTTTATCACAATTGTTTCTTATTTTTCGTCATTAATTGTAAAGTTTTTTTTGCAAAAATTACATAATTTATTTGCACTTTACTCGATTAATTAAATAGTGAACATGTTTTTGACGCGTATATTTGCATTGGGTAGAGAAAATCAGTGTAATTTGTGGTCATTGACCTTTGTCGAATGTTGTTACAAAATATCAACACTAATGACCTTGGAAATTGGTAAGTTTTGTTGTAATAATTGTAATTAGTAATATTATTCGAAATAATTATTGAAATAATATATGTAATGATTGATTGTTTCTAGGTTATGTTAATACAAAAGCCAAATGGAAAATTATGAAACGGCTATGGGATATAATACATCTTGATATGGATTTTCGCCAAATTAGATCGTTGAGGGACAAGAATAATTCCACTTCTTGAAATATTGGTGAGTCGAAAATAATTATTATTAATATATTGATTTCTTTAATATGAATATTTGATATATATGCATTATATTATAAAATTGAGATTAATTTTAATCCAATTAATTACACTTAATCATATACATAACCCCAAAATATTAAAAAAAATAATTTATTTTTTAAACGAGAAGATTGGATAATAATTTTTTTTTCTGATAACAATTTGGTGTAGGGTATAAAAAATTAAAATAGACAATTTTTTTTTTTATAATTGAGTTTATTATTATATTTTATAAAAGAATTGAAACTTATGACAAAGTTACGTGGTAAATATAATATTTTGAGTATAAAAACTATAATGAAAAAGCAATTTTAATTTCCTGAGTGTGGAATATTATCGGTGAAGTGTAAAACATTTGGTTGCCTGAAAGAGACATTATTATGACGTCGTTACTGAAATATCGCGGATAATGTAAAATCGGTAGTGTATATTGCAATATACGAACTTGTATATTGATATTAAAGTAAATTTTGCATAATTCAACTTCTGATAGGTTATTTAATCTATATTATCAATAAAATTGATGGTGAATATTTTTTATAAATAATTATTATCAAAATTAATTTTTTTTTCTTCAAAAGTAAATTTTCAATTATAATGACAATCATTTATTGTATTATTATTTAAAAAAATAAAAATAATGGATATTTTTTATTTTTATTTAAATAATATAATATGAGTGCGGACAGAAATGAAGGGAAATCTTTATTTTTAATCACAATATGCGTTTTTTTTCTTTTTTTTTTTTTTTTACTTTTATCGAAGTGAAGCTTGAAATTTTGTGAAAGATACACAATATAAAGATGGGATAACGCATTGAACTCTCTTTTGACTTTCACTATAGCGAAATAACTATTTTTCTGTTGAACGAACCGGGAAATGAAAGAACTAGAATATAGAGAAAAGAGGGACGAGGATAGATGAAAATGTAAATGCTACGAAATGCACAAAATTCTTAACAATAGAAAATACATGAATGTATAGTTGGCAATATTCTAGATACACAATTTCGAGAATTTACCTACAAAGATTTTTTTCTATTTACATTTTTCACTGTCTGGTAAATAAAAAAAAAAAAAAAAAAAAATCTTTTTAATTATCGAAAATTTTTTATTTTTAATTATTTTCATTAAAATAATTTTTAATTTAATTTATTTTTTTTATTTTATACAATATTTAATTGCATAAACACTGGAAAAAAATTTATTTCATTCAAATTAATCACTATTATTAAATATTATTTTTTACGCTGAGAAAAATTTTGTTTGAATCAAATATTTTGTTTTGTATTGATACAATTTTTTTTGATTATGTCTAACAAATATTTGATTCAATGAAATATTTATTTGATAATAGATCCAAATAAAAAATTTTGTTTTTTTCTTTTTTTATATATATATATATATAATATGCAGAGAAAAAAAAATTTCCGATATATATAGTGGTTTGTCAAAGGAGAGGAAAAGTTCAATTTCAACATCCTTTAATAAAAAGCTTTCAGATTAGTAACAGGTTTTCCATTAAAACTTTAAAACGAAACTTAAAATCGTAACGAGCCGAACGCAGCAGCCAATATACAGCTGTTTTACGAGTTTAAATTCCATTTAAATTTTAAGTAGAAAAATGCGAAACAATTCCACAAGAGAAAAACGCGCATTCACATTCATTGTTATAGATGTGTTTTTTTTTTTTTTTTTTTTTTTAATCAAAAAATTAAATTAAAATTATGTAAAAGGAAAATTAATTTAATTTATAAAAATGTTATTAATTTTTCGGAGTTTCGAATTTCTCCTAAAATACAAAAAAATTAAATATACTAAAATTTGATAATTATTTTTTTAAAATTAATTAATAATTAATAATTGTTTTTTAAATACTTGAATGTGTAATTAAATTTTCGATTAAATATTTCTTATTTAATTGAAATAAAAATTATTTGGTTCAAGTAAATAATTTATTTTGATAATTTGTCAAGTAATTAATTGAATTAAATAAATTTTTTTTCAGTATAAAAATTTAGCAAAATCTAAACGAATTATTATTATTATTTTACAGTTTAGTTATTTTGAGAATTTTCAATTTTCGTGTATATATCAATATTATAGTGATTTCATAAAGGAACTATGTGGCCAGCTATATATATATGTATATGATGACGTGAAATAGTTAAATTCATCACAAATTCCAGTTTGATAGTATAAATTTTACGATCATTTTTATACGAAAATCTATATATACAAAACGCATATTGTTGTTATAATATTGATTTTCCATAAAATATATATATATGTACAGTTTCTGTTTATTCTCACAAAAAAATTTTTTTTTTTCATATTTTTGTTAAATTTTATATTAAAATTTTTTCAAGATCAAAACAATAAGATTTTTTTTTATATAAAATAAAGTTTGAATTCACGCCATATAGAGAAAAAAAAACTTGATTTTAAAAATATAAAAAAAAAAAATTGTAAAAAGTATAAAATTGAGAATAAAAAGGGGGTCAGAGGAATAAAAAAAAAAATCCAATTTCGATTGTGAAAGATTCGTTGATTTATTTATAGAATTGGGGCTTTTTCTTGTGTTTTTATCAGGACTCCTCCTCATTTCGTTGATGCCTACGCTATTATCGGGGACAATCTAATCTAGCCTTGCTTACCCTTTCATTTAACCTTTAAGTAATTTGCCCCTTTCGATATAAAGCACCTCGTTGACATAAGTGGATGCTCAACACTTAAACTCTAACCCACTATATATATATATATATATAGTATAACACTGCTTTAGTAAATAATTTTCACACAAATTAAATTGTTTCTTTCAATGTCGATTTTCTCACGTTTTTTTAAAAAAAAAAAAAAAAAAATTTATTTGATTCAAATAATTGACTATTATCAAATAAATAAATAATTTTTATCTGAATTACTCTCTAAATCTGAATTAGTAAAGATGTTTACTAATTTGAATTAGTGACTCACTTCTTGCTTCTGAGTTAGTAAAATTTTACTAATTATTAGTAACTTTTACTAACAATTAGTAAAATTTAACTAATTCTAAAGCCTAAATTCTAAATTCTAAAGTGAGTCACTAATTTAAATTAGTAAACATTTTTACTAATTCAGATTTAGAGAGTAAATAAACCAATAAATTCTATTAGAAACAAATACCATTTAATTGACTCAATTTTATTTGATGCAAATAAATATTTATTTGATAATACACGGAAAAAAACACAGAAAATTATAAGGTATTAAAATAAGTTGAAACGCTTATTATTTTAATCCAAATTTGCTTATTTTAATACCAAAATGGATTAAAATAAGCGAAATTGGATTTAATTTTCTGTGAAAGTAATTTTTACTACTTTCAGAGTAAGACGGGAACTGTCCGAAGTTTATGCGCATCTCTAGCAACTTTTACTCCAAAAATATAGTAAAATTTACTATTTCCGTAGTAAATTTTATTGTTTCCAGAGTAAATTTGACTATTTTTTTGAATAAAAGAGAGAGAT